AATTGATTAAAGAGTAGCTTATTTAAGGATCTAAAGTATACACAATTATAGGACTCGAATTCATATAATAAATTTATTATTACGTTGTATCAACTTGACTGTAGACCTGCAGGTCGACTCTTGAATCTAATATCAATCCAATCTATCATCAATGACATTTTTATATTGTACTTATGAAACTAGAAATTAGGTTATAATTGGAATCGGTTTGCAATAGTTTGCATTAACAAGTTACACTAATATGCATCTATCAGAACAATATGAAACCATTATGTTAGTAATATTGCAATTAGAGGGTGCGAAACGTCTCAATTTTAATATAGATTTATTGGAATTTATTTCAGAAGTAATCCCACAGTTCAATGAGAAAATAATCGCTTCGTTATAAAAAAAGCCTTCTATTTTTAAAGTTTAAAAATCCCTAATTGTTCAAAAAGCGACGATATATTATTTAAAACCATAATTAGCCAGCATATAACAATACAATTATTAAAGCTATCTTTTTACCAGACTCAAAAGGGCTATGTTATTATTAGATGTCAAAAAAAGGAGTTATTACTAGTATTTTTTTTTTACTAGATATTCCGAGAAATCCAATTACGTTCTTTTAGTCAAGAATGTGTTTGAGTATTTTTTTAAGGAATCGATCAGTGGGATATGCAAAAAATTGTGTATAATAAAACATATGTTTTATATTAATCTTTTTTTATACTATGACGCAACAGATATGGGACCAATTTGTATGTAAAAAAGAAAATTGGGATTTTTACATTTTTCCGGGCACTTTTTCCAATTTTTCTCTTAATAACAATTTTATTCGAGCTTCGACGAATAATTGAAAAAAAAAGCTTAAACCGTATTGGTCCTGCCACTGTTGAGTTTTGCACTTAGCAAAAATATTTAGCAATTCATTTTTATTTATATACAATTAATAAATTACGTTATACTCGTAACTATGTAGTGAACATAATCTTTGTTTATTATCCATCTCCTTATACCCGAGTAAAGCGCAGTACCTGTTGGTTTAGCATTTTTTGCTTAACGATCACGTAATCATGATGAGCTCATGCATAATTATTTAATGTTTTTAAAATTACTTACTGGCCATAACGACTCGAGATGAGGTTAAGGTGTTCATAACAATCATTCATTTAATAAGGTTACGTACCTACTTAAAATATTTCGGGTGAATAGGCCCTATTTGTTCTTGTAAAATATTTAAAATAATAATGATATACAGAGCTAAATAAATCTATAGTAATATAGGTATAGACTAATTTATTAAAATTTTACTGCACTGATATATAGCGTATATATATAGCGTAATATATATAGCGGCACAGTGTATTCTGTGACATCCATTCATTTTCCTTCATAAATGGACGCCACCTTTTTGACATTCTCATTTCTCAGGAATATAAACCTTAACAAAATATCGTCAGTTAGATTCCTGTAATTTAATGATAGGTAACACTCGTTTTCAAATATTCAAAGATTTTGGGATCCAGTAATAAAATATTAAATAGGATGTACAATATACAATATCAATCTATATTATAGACTTTAAAATACAAAAACTCTGATATTATCCGACATAAATGGCATAAATCAGAGATAAAACACACGTATATATTATAATAAACTAGCTAACAGTTGTATAACATATTTCCATATAAAACAGCGTAACACTTATAATATCTGCTCTCACTCGAACCGCGACGACGAATATAGAAAGGATGATTATGAAAATTAACAGCCTTGTTAGAAAAGGAAATAACGCGAAATTATCCCATGTCTTGGAGAAAAAATCGATTATTTTGAAACTAAAATTATACCAAATAGGACATACGTTTAAAGTCGTATGCATGGGTAAATAGATAGATATATAACTTATTTGCATGACTTACAGCACACAACTAACAACAGACATTGATAGGCATACACAGTAAAAGGAGATAAAAGAATGCATATACAAAAAGAAAGCAAAATACATAAAAGAAGTATTTTTTCCTGTGGGTATAATTAATGTGTATGTCTGTCCCACTCGTTTTTTTACCATGAAACAGCTGTAATGCATACTCGTATGTGCAGTTTGAAGGATAGGATATGACAATTAAATTACGGGGTACAAAGATATTATATCTTAGTTTACAGGAATAATAACGCATGAGGTATATAGTATGGGTATATTTATGGTACTATTTATGCCCGTAGGTGACAGTTACTACTTTCCATCAAATAAGTCGTTAACCATTCTGTAGTTAACACTTATTAGTTTTTAATATAATTTAGAACATTGTAGTCGAGTAGAATGTTTTCAGTCTGTTATCAATGTTATCATTTTAGCATTTAATTTTTCACTGCTGAACAAAGTCCTCCTTTATAGGCTGCACATTCCAAGCCTCCTAAATCAATCGACCCCTTGAAACATAACTGAGATTGTCGTTTAAATTAGTGACAACCAACTAACTGTGAACTACTATACTGTACTTGTTGGTTTACTACGAGGTCGTCTTTTGACAACCTATCTTCACCATTAATTATAGATTAGACTTAGACTACTTAGACTGACTAAGTGGCTGGCCTATTATCACTTCAGTTTAATGACCTTTCTGGCAATATCCATCAATTAGGTTTTTTTCTTTATGCTATATCATCATCATAACAACCGTTAACTGACCACTGCTGAACATAGACCTCCCCCTATTTTGGGGTTGCCAGTAGTTGCCACGCTTGGCAGGCGAGTTGGCAACCGCAGTAAAATTTTGGTTATATTTAAGGAGAGACGTTGCTACCCACCTCTCGACTGTTAAGTTCGCTTAGTTACCTCTTACAATATCTACGGGAAGGAAAAGAGTGGCCCATTCTACGCCGGGGCCACTTGACAATATACCTATTTCAAATAAACAATTAATTAGCCTAGATTATAATAGTTTCAGATTCTAAGGAACATGCACTATCTTAGAGTGTTTTCAATTATATCTCGTCCTACTGGAGTATTCGCTCACTTGATCTAACCCCGCCTTTTGTTCTTAACAATTCTACATCATAACATGCCTATAATGTGGTTCACCTAATTTATACAGGTAAATACTTGTTAAAACAAGTTTTAATTTTAAAACTAGACACAGCATTAAATATTTATAAATAGCATAGCATTTTAAATTATCAATAATATTTGTATCATGCCATGCTATAACTGGTATTCAACTTGTGACGCCAAACACTCCAAACACTGTTTATCTAAAGAATTAGTTACTAAATAATAATGAGTATGTACAAAAAACACATACTTTGTACGACTTAGGTATCGCTATCGTGGAATATTATGGAAAAACTTGACACTCTATGTAGACGTATACGTACAGTGTATGTATTTTAAAATATTTATTTAGGAAAGTAATGTACATATTTTTTTTAAATATATATTTCTAAGATATAGGTAGCCCAATAATTTTAATTGCAAATTTATAATAAACTTAAAAAAGAAATGCAAGTAATTTTCGGTATTAAATATCAAATGCTTAGTAACAAAATATGCTTGAATTCAAAACGGAGTAAATAACATTTCCAAATCAAAAAACGAATATTATCTACGTTAAACGTTTTATATAAACTTTATAAAAAATATATGTTTAAAACAATATAGCAAAAATACTCTGGTGTTATAATCCAGAATCGAAACCGGTTAACATAAATGTGACCGTGTATTCTAATGGATAAACCTATTAAATATCTTTAAATTTATATTATTTATAATCATTTGCAGTGCCTTCAGGAGTAACTGATAAAATCGTTTTGTTACCTCAAATTCCGTCAGTTGTAAACCGATTCAGAACATTTTTTATCTGAAAATATATACTTACAGATTGGTCTCATAAAAAGGTTATCAAAATAGTTTAGTTTTTAAAACAAAATAACTAGTTTTGCCACAATTGAAGTCGATTTTTCTTTGTGGAACACAATCTTAAATTATGTATTGAATACTACTCTTAGAGACGATTTTCCCAAAATGTTAATCTTGACATAAACGTCAATAAATTTTGAGCCTCATAACAGTTGAATGCACATTAGGAGACTGAATGTTTTTTTTTTTATATTTTTGACCCATATTTCTTTGGACAATTATTTAGTTTCATTCATAGAAAACTTCCTTTTAACGATGCAAATTTTTTTTGACCACGTGTACCTACTGATATGCATATTATATAGAAATATACTCGTAGAAAAATTATAAAATTTGTAACACGAGAGATATCAACGAAGTAAAATACAGTTAAATACATAGTTCTTACATTATACAAGCTTTCATATATTATATGACAGAATAACTCTCGATAATAGTGATAACTTTTCTACTACGTTCACTTTGTCACGTTAGCTTAATCTATAATGTACGAGTACATAGTTCTAGGGTGACAATTAAGAAATTTATTTCTCTTTCACCCGCCTACTAACTAACATCATTATTTAAAATATGTAAGTATAATTAAGGCCACATTAGATACAAAGTTCACTCACCTTAGTTCAAGGGAGGATTATTAATAATGGGATTTAACGCCATATGCAAGCAATATAAGTCAAAAACACCATCGTTGTTAATACCTAGAAAATTCGTCACAATAGGCTAATTTACCTGTCTTCATTCTCACCTATCCTTCATTGGTAACCAATCAGAATATAGCATAGCAAACACGGAGTTAACATTGCATTTTCATCTCATAAAAAAATACTAGCTTTAATAAAATTTCTATTTGCTCGTCCTTATTATAAAATTATAAAATATCGGAGTTTAACACTCATTAATGGTAGAAAAAATATCCTAACAAAGATATGATCAATCTAACCGTATCCAAAACTTTCATTCATAACCAGTTTATGAGTGATGAAATAACAATTACCTAATAAGTAGGAAATCATTCTGCAATCCAAAATTCCTGTAGTGGTCATTGGCACCCTGTTTATATACATAAATTAAACTATTAAGTAGATATTCTCACCTCAGGTGGAGCAGCAAACTTCAAGTTGGCGAGAGATCCGTGAGACCGACTCCTATGTTCTTGTCTTATGCTGTATGAAAATGCTCGCTCATTCAAATGTCCTTTTTTTCTATATATACCGCCTGCATCATCTACTGCCTCTAGTCCTGTCATGCTCTGGGCAGCTTTCATAGCCGGTTGTGGTGGTTTTGAACGCCGAGGATCGACAGTAGCATATTGTAAACGTCCTCTCCCTGGAGGAGGAGGACCGGCCATATAAGGACCCGGTGCTAAAGCCGCCGGCACACGTCCTCTATGTCCTAACGTAGCCGGTCGTGCATGCGGCAGTGTGGCTGCTGGATGTGCCACCAATACCATGGGATGTGCAGCCGCCCACGCTGGAGGCGCGCGTCCTAATGACCTTCCATTCATTACTGGCGCCGGCCCAGGCATTGTGGCATATAATTCATCCGCCGATGCAGACGATTTTTTCTTTGTTTTCTTTGTAGTCGACTTCTTTTTAGGTTCCTCAGGCGGAGGAGGGGGCGGAGGCACAGACGCAGGTCGTGTGATCTGTCGAGGTCGCGGTGCTCGCGTCGGGTGCGGAATGTCGTCACTCGTATCGTCACGTTCGACCTCTCCAACCCACACTTTATGATTTTCATCTCCATCAAAAACTTCGAGCTCTTCTTCATGTTCAGGAGGTAATTGCGGCGGTGCTCGCTCCGCCTCCAAACGTTTGGCATACGAACTATCAGCATACGCATGAAAACAACATCGGACTAGTGCGTTGGCGGCTGCCTCACGACGACAGATGAAGGCGTGACATTCCAATACCTTTATGCCTTGCGTACGACGTAAAACCGCCGCAAATAAAGGAGGACGTCGCGGAGCAGGCGCTCGAGCGAACGGTGAATCCAGGGGTAAAAACCTCGGTGCACCCTCTACGGTCACCCGTCGAACAGCCGCACAATAATGTAAACTCGATATCGGAAAAAACCTCGCCACTCTAGACCCACTCTCATCGACATTCTCCAACAAGATGCCGTTCGACCAGACGGACAGCCACGAATCTATCCCGCCGGTGGTCGCTCCCTTTTCCGGATACAACTCACGCAAAGGTTCCTGAATGCCTTGCAGGCCGTCCTTACTCTGCTGAGGCACTGCGGAGCCTAAATATAGGACACGGCACCTACAAATCGGAGTCGACTCCATTTCGTCACTACACTATCACAACATGTCACTAAATCACATTAATACACTATTTAGTTAGTTGGCGTTAATTCACTCGTAAGGTACGTGCGGTGGCCGCGAGACAGGCGCGGGTCTGAGTGAGCGGAATTCAAGATGGCGGATGAGAGCCAAAGCGGGGAAGGGGGGCAGCGAACAGAGCGGACGCGGGGTGCGGTTGCTATACCTGCGCTTACGCACCTGTGAAGACACCTTTACGGCGAGTATGGGTAGGTAGATGGATAGTGCCGATGAACCGGCATTGTGTCAAATGAGTCGTCGCGAATTCGGCCGCATTTCTCTTAGCCGACGCGTCACCAACGTGACGGAATGTCAGTGTAGGTCCTGCAGTGAAATCTGAAGGTCGATTGACCGATGGGAAATAATTATTTTCATTAGAAATTCATTACGTGCCTAAGCATACTTAATTACCGTGACGGCGTTAATCGATATCGTACACTATATTGGTTTTCATACTAAGTTAACATTGTACAAATCAGACCATTTCCAAGTATCTAGAATCCATCTGTGATAAGGATTTTCAGTAATATAAAAATATAAAAAGTAGGTATATATAATATTGCACACCATCACTCCAGACGCCTGTACTATAAACTAGAACCTGTGTTATGAAAACTCAGCCAACGCACATCTGGGGGGTAACAACCAAAAAAAAACAACATAAACCAATTTCTAAAAGTCATTTTCTAAATTTGCGCGAACTGAAATCAAATCCAAGACCTTACTAACAACGTGGCTACCACTGTCTGCCAGAGGTCGATAATAAATTAAAAACTTCAGTAATGTAATAAAGTGTATTTATTTATGCTTAATATTTACATAAAACCTATCTAATTTTTTACTTATTATCAATGTAAAAATGCATGTGTCATTAAAATATATTTGCTGTATAGTATACGAATACAAAGAAAAAACAACGTGTTTAAATTAAACAAAACTATTTACAAATTGTGACATTCGGAATTCGTCCAGACACTTTTTATTGTAGTTTTTGCATTCTTAAATATGCAAATTCATGTTTCTACGTAATCGCGTACCTACTCGTATTTTACAGTAACACAAAAAGTCATAAATTATATAATTCTCCTTTTGTAAAATAATAACGAAATCCATTGAATCATATCAAGCCTTATATATATAAAAATTCCACAACAATACGTTTCATTCAGAAAGGATTTCTGCAATTACCTCAGAAACGGAACGAAATCCTTCGTATTATATTCTGATAAGAATTTTAAAATTGGTACAAATCTAAAGAAAATTTAACATTACACATATACAGAAACGGTACTATACAAAATATTTTACAGTCACGACAAACAAAACATAAAACTAAACTGTGGGATACTTCAGACAAATCTGTTTGGGTATCTCTCGTGTTTTTACAGCCAAGGATCTATGCTTTCATGGCTGTTTGTTCGATGAAGAGTGAGATATGGCAGTAAAATTAAAAGGTACTTAGACAAAACATCTTAGTACTCAGAATTTGCAGCGCATGAGAGAAATTATGTGCATAACAATGTATTAATATCTGTAAGCGACAGTTACCACTTTCCATCAGGTTGACCACCAGTTTGTATATATATATCATTGAGATCGATGCAAACACAACTGCTTCACGGTAGAAACACGAATGGGACATTCAACATTTGTACAAAGTCTCCGTCTGGTAATATCTGGCATAACAATATATTCTGTACATAAAATTAACCATTTCAATTTGTCCTAACGGACCGATCGAATGATATATATACATTAGCGAAATCTTTATTCACTAAAATTAAAATTTCTATTTTATACCACAGCGAAATCTTTATTCTAAGGACTAAGATAAATTAAATTTCTAATAGTCAAAATTATTATAAATTTAGTTTGTGATAGTCCATAAAACAGTAGTTAAATGCAACTATCATATAAAAATATTAAGAGATAAATTTAGTGAATTTATAGGCCTCATTGTATTTAGAATTAGTTTCAAGTTCCAAATGGTATATTTTTTTTTTATTTATTTATTCATTAGTACATGTATATACGACGCGGACTTTATGCTGAAAGCATTCTCTCCCAGTCAATCTCTGAGCAGTGTCAGAATGCGAATGTACTAGGAATAATTGATCAAACATCATCATATCAGCTGTCCATTGCTGAACATAAGCCTTCCCTAGGAATGTTTTACTAGTAGTTGCCATGCTTGGCAGGCGGATTGGCAACCGCAGTTAGACTTTGGAGATGTTTTACGAGGAACGCTGCTACCCATTCCTCGCCCTCCCTTAGTCGCCTCTTACGACACCCACGGAAAGGGTCCGCAGTCTCGAGGGAAGCCAATCCGTGCTAATCTTGTCAGAATTAGCACGCTTCAGTCCCCAGTTATGATGTCACCGCAGCGGATATACATACATACATACTAAAATAAAATAAATAAAAAAATATCCTCTAGATTAGCTAACTACATCAAACGTATTTATGCTTTAATAATAGATGCCATCTAGAGATATCGTTATTACTTGATACCTTTAAAATACAATTGACACATATCAATTACACCAACAGCCTACTATGTAATGTTTGGTTTCAAATTTCATTATATAGTAACTAAGGTAACAATTAACGATAATTTATAATGCAAAACAAGTTCACATTACAATCGACCTATATATTGTTACGTAAGAATAATAAAAGATACTTAGAAATACGTGTAATATAACTATCTGAATACATAAGGACTCACAGACAAATTCTGACAACCAGGACATTGCTAGCACGACCAAAGACAAAGTTATTACCATATCCCACGTATCTTAATCGATAACTAGTCAATCGTGTGAAATTTGCATTTAACAGAAAAAATAAAAATTTTGTTATTTCTTAATTATCAACATAATCTTAGGTGAACAACTACCTAAACCCAAAAGAGGGCAATAGGCTGACCAACCATCAAATTAGATTCAAATATGCCTGATGATGTCGCTATGATAACTTACCTTAGCATGTCACGATAAAGCACTATTTTCCTGTCACGATATTATTGAAGACCAAAATGTATGCAATTGTACAGAAACTAATTTCAATTTCTATATATGTACATTTTTTTTTTGATGGGTAAAAACGGTATGGTAACCCCGCCTGCGCTAACGGGATACGCTGGCGGAGCACCAGTGAAGGGTGATAGATGAGAATGAAAACAGGCCAGTTAGCCCATCATGATGAATTCATCAGGAATTAACCATGAGTTTCCAGGGGGAACCGCGAGGGGATCGACCTGGTTGGGTATATTGCTAGCAATGGGATTCTCAGTCTCCATTACTAACAATCCCTTCCCCCTATATACATATATATTATACTTTCAGAAAATTAAAAGAAATAATACATTTAGCTTTCCTGTTATATCGTGACGATAAAATCGTACGGAATCGTACCGGGTTATGGTATATAATTATAAAATTGGTCAAATGTTAATTGTTACTTTTATAACAACGCCGGAAACGCTGCAACAATCGACAAATTAAACAATAAGTGTTTAATCTAAAAATAGCCCTTTAATCCGAACTTCTTTAAAATGTTGGCAAGGTTGAATGGAAGACATCTCTATTTGAGATAATTACTACCTAACTATTACCCACTGTGTAGATGAGTTGTTAGTAATGCGGACTACCAGTCCCATTGCTAGCAATATATCCTATCAGGACGACCTCTACATAGTCCTCTCCTAGAGAAACCAACATGCTGAATTGCAAGTAAATTCATTATAATGGGCCAACTGACCTGTCTTTTCATTCCCACCTATCATTCTTCACTGGTGCCCCACCAGGGTATGCCGTTAACGCAGGCCGGGCTACCATTCCATTATCATCCATTAAAAAAACCTAGTGTGCATTTCTTTAAAATTATTTTCCGTCTGATATACAATAAATAACTATAAACAAACAAACAACGTAAATCATATTTTGTTATCTTTGCTTGACGTGGTTGTTCTATTTGCAAGACCCCTTACAAAGTGGATAAGCTAGATCTTGCTATGTTCACTTTTTTCGTTCACACATTTCGATTTTGCGTTCTTTTGGACCATATATTTCTGACATTTTTAACGAAAAATAATCTAATACAGCTACATAATTTAGATACTAGTTCTAGCTACTTTTTAATTGTCTTGCATTAATCATTTATTAACGCATTTCCTTTCTTTGCGAGTGAGAATGAATCGTACATTAAGAATAAGAATGAATAGAGGATATTTTCTCCTTTTTATAATTTTGCAATATATTGTATTTTGTAGAAAACTTTTTAGTCACTAAATGATATTTTTTAAAATATATGTAAATCATGGCATCCATAGTACAAAATATAATACAAACATCTCTTTATAATTAAAAACTTGTACGTTAACACAAATTTATTTGTAGTGTTTTTTAGACAAATCAATTATTATAATAAGTAAATAAATTTAAAAATATTATAGATAACGAAAACCTTATTTACCATTTATTGCTTTATTTTCATAATTATGACCACAACTGCAAAAACTCCAAGACAAAGTGGCATATTATGAACAAATAAACAGCAGACATACGGAAGCGTTCCGTTCGTGTTCATGCGCACTAAATGTTCATAGGGGCAGCTACGTACACTCCCTATAAGATGGTTGAACCCAATGGTCGGTGATTTATCCGTCATACTTGTGAACAGATGATATTCAAATTGTTCATTACGTGCCGGATATTCTCAGGATTTTGCCGCCAGCTAACCGTCAAAGGCGTCAAATATTTTTGTCCGGAGCGGCAAAATAAATAGATAAGGCACTGAAAGCATCCACACATCTTTAATTAGATATACAATTCTTTTTATGTTACATAATTATCGCGTAAATATTTACATATTATATTGAATTTATTAGTGTTGTATAATAGAAATAATAACGAGACTGTTCGCATATTAGCTGTTTGTTCTAATTGATAAAAATATTAAAGGCACTACAAACAGTAGCTGTAATTATTATGTAAATTGTTTACTAATAAATCAATATTTCTGCGACTTGTAACCAGGTTCATCTGTATGCTGCGGTGCCTTCCTCTTCTGTATTATATTTTGAATCTGTGAACAAAAAAAAATAATGAATGAATATACTTAAAAATATGAATTATTTATTATAGCCATTCCAATAAGACAAGTATAGTTAACGTGACCAGACGTCCCGTTTTGAACGAGACTGTCCCTTTTTATAATTACGAATCCCGGTGTCCCCGAAATGAACTATAGGATGCGAAATTGTCGCATTTACGGAAACCGCGCAAAAATTCGAGTAGTCTAAAGGCGATGTTACTAATAAAGGTGAATATAAAAAAAAACGTGCCAAGAGTTCCATTCTTACTTAAAATCTTCACCAGCTAGCTAGCTATATTAAAGCAAATTTGTTCCTCCGATAAATATAAAATTTTTGTTTAGTTATATTTATATTTATCGGGTATACATTTTTATTATTAACTTTTTTTTCATTGACTACCTGTTAATTGACCTAAATAAACCAGTCTCGTTTTGAGTCAAAGAATAAATAGTCACGTTAGGTATAGCATGATTATTATCTTCGTACCTACCACACACATTTACAAAATGAAACTATACCGTACTGACAAGTCTGGAAGCAACCTTATAATAAAACATTTTATACCGGGTGAAAGGGGCTGGTTGGCCAAAACGAAAACAGCTGATTCAGATGAATAGTCTGAATCAATACCACAAGTCAATTACGCTTCTTCGTAGACAGTTTTCGTACGCTTGTGGCGTTGACCTTACTCAGCTGATTCCGCGCGTCAGGGTAGGATTTTAATACCAACATTACGTTGTTGTTTTTTTGTATTTCATGTAATATTTTAATATAAAATATTATTATTTCTTTATGTGACATAGTATCATAGATTATATAATTTTAAATGAAAAAAAAAAGAATTTATTTTCCGGAAAGAATTTTCACTGGTTTTCAGTTCAGAATAATGGTCTGACTTCACTGATTCAGTTTTTGCCAACCCGTCACTTACACCCTGTATAAAAACCTTAATCTTCGGAACAACGTCTGATGAATGAAATTCAAATCTATACACAACAATTACAATTATCAATTAGATTACAGGCTAATGTGTTTACCATTAAAAAAACAGTATTCAGTACCTGCTGCCACTCTCTGTCGAGTTCCGCTTTCTCGCTCTTATCTTTCGTCTTCCTAGTCTTACGTCCGTCCTGCGTCTTTACACCGTATTGGAACGCAGCTTTTGGCAACGCTTCCTTGCTACTCATATACGCCGAATACTCCTCTTGTGTATCGAAGTCCCACCGACCTGAAGTAAAGTGAAAAAGTAAATAGTATAACAAAACATCTTGCGTTACTATTACACTAGTGCCCCATCCTGGCTTTGCACAATCGTAGATAGGAAGTTAAAAAAGTATTTTAAATTAAAACTTTACTTGGACCTTCTATTGGTCCAACGATAACGATATTAAGCAGAAGGTAGTTCACTCACACTGCGGAATTTGTCTTACTTTTAGCATATTTATGTCCATCTTTATTTCCAAACAAAAGGTCCAGTTCAATCCAATATTCCGAAATAATTTTACAATTTATAAGTACATAATCAACATTGATTATGAAACTCTTTATCTTTAGAATCTGCTTTTATTTTGAAAGGTTAATATGAACAAAAATTTGTTATCCTGACATATCTATAACAGTTAGATATACAGCCTCAAAGAATTTTGTGGGCAATGCTGCATACAATAAACATGTAATTTTATATATTATCAATGGTTCTATAGGCAATTTTTCGGTATCTCGATTTACACTACTGTAATTTTAGTAGAGTTATCTATTTTTTATAATATATAGCTTAAGTTACTTGCTAATAAAATAACTTTCTATAGGTATAAGAATTTTTAAAATTCGTTATTTAGTTTTTGAGTTTATCCATTACATACAAACAATGAAATCTTTTTATATAATATTAGTACACTTGTACTGTTCGACAAATTAAATTTGACTAAAAATAAAAATCTGAGTAGTGCCGCAGTTTATTTAATTTATTTTACTCTATATAATCAATTAAAGAATTATATGAAAATTAAATAGAAGCAGATAGTAAGACGTAAATTGGCACCAAAAATATAAGTCAAACAAGCTTGTTTATAGTCATAACCTAAATAAGTTTCTAAAAGTTTGTAATAAATCCTGAGGTAGTGTTCTTTTTTTTTATTGTTGGCAACACAGTTTAATTATCTTTATTTAATTATCAGATATGTATTATACCATTTCCCGCATTATTTTTTTATAATTTCATAATGATAACAACAATACTTTGAGTTTGCTCCTAAAAAAACTACTACATCAATCGTAACAAAATTAATATGGAACTAACAAGAATATCATCGAATGCATAAATAATTACGAAAATATTTTGTATGTTGACATTATAATTTTTTTATGCAACTTAGAATGGGAATTAAGTTGACGGCCCGCCTGATTAAAAGTGATAACCGTCGCCTATAGACATGAGCAGTACCATGGATATAATAAAGTATATTGTTACACACATAATACCCCCCATGCATTGCCATTCCTGAGAAATCAGGTGTTATTCCTCTGTACCCTGTAAATTCACTGCCATATCCCTTCAAAGCGAAACACAGCCATGCAAACACAATTGCTTCAAGGTAAAAACACGAATAGGACAGAGGTGCCCAAGCAAATGACTTTTGTACAAAGTCTACCTCTGGTATCAGTAATTTAGAATCATACAGACTTTCTAAAGCTTCTTCAGAATTAACAAAATAAACCCTCACCTATAGGTCCTTTCTTGTTGCCAGCATCCATCTTAGTGTAATCCACCTCATCATCCGAGTCATCGATGGCGTCATCCATTTCGCGCAGTCCAGGGTAGCACTCCGCGTAGCCCTCAGGTTCAGCCGCCAAGCGAGAGAGTAGCGCCGCTGATCTCTTGTCTCGCTCTTCCGCTGTAGGCGCCGGGCGCCGGGCCACTGGACCTGGACCTATTTAATAAATAACGATACAATATCACAATATTAATGTGAAGGAAATTAATATAGTATATTATTTAAAACTAGCAGTCCGCCTAGGCTTCGCACGATTTTTTAGAAATTAAAATACAGCCTATATTACTCACTGATAATGTAGATTTCAATGGGTGAAAGAGTGTTTCAATCGGTTAAGTAGTTTTTGAGTTTATCCATTACAAACAAACACACAAATAATTAAATCCATCTTCTTTATAATAACAGTTTAGAGCAAAATACTTTCACTTAGTCTAAATTTTCACTATATATCATTCAATTATTAAATATTTCATTAAATTTTTAATGTATTTTAGTATGTACACATGCAACTGGTTTCCGAACATATCGTCATTATCCTTCTAATAAATATTAATTAAGTTCTTCCAATAATTCAAATTTGAACATAATCAGAAAATTATAGTATCTTATCTACCAACTAATACCACCAAATAATAGTTATATAAATATATGCAAATTTGGATCTTTCGTTTTTGGATCTTTGAAAACATGTAGCCTAAATGGGTTGAAAGTTTATTAATATATATATGACGCTATATTTGACAACGTGAGTAAAATGTGATTATATTGTAGTACTCATGACGACAATATAAAATAAATATGTCAAACTACTTTCGAAAATAATTTTGTAAATCAATGCAAAAAGCAATTTATTTTCTGCCTTTTCTATCATTGGTAAAACAAACAGTGACATTGACTACTAATATTAACTAATGTTAAATTATATAGATGGAGGATCGAGTGTCAAAAACAAAACAAATTTAATCAATAGTTGACATATTTTTTTTAAATCAATGCGCGTTTTTCGATGTTACAAGTAATTAAATAAAAAATTTCCCAGATTAATTTTTTCTTAAATGGGAATTATTTTTTGATATATATCAGAATAAATAGTTTTTTAATTAAGGATTTACTTATTTCTCAGAAATCATTAATTAAATCAGAATTAATTAAAATTTTTTCATTTTCAATCATTTTAAAACATATTTCAGGTATGAATCAAATTAGAAAATGTAAGTATTTTACGAATCATTATATATTACTTATCTTTTTCCTTGAAATATACTGAGTAATATATGTACATTATGGTATATATATAATATAATATAAGGATATTCAGGCACACATAAATAAAAAAGTTGACCTGTTTTTAGCATTCCATATAAATACTTTTGTTTTACTCTATCTATATAATCTGAGGTATGTAAATGTTTAAATGTCAATTAAAAACGAACCTTCTTCCTTTTCGGTTTCCATTGGCTTGTCGAAGTATCCTGTGCGCGGTCGTTCTTCACGGCGGTCGGCGCGCCTGTCTGCTGGAACGTAATCTCCAATTTCGCCATATATTGAATCATCAGCTCGCCCTTTCTCCGTAACCTTGTCCTGTAGTATTACATACGTTTTAAAAAAAAATTAAAAGACCTTCGACACGTTAAATTATCAGGTACCCATCAGCATAGCCTATTTATGACACTTGTCACACATCCAATTATGAATATCTAGCACGAGAAATATATGACAAAGCTAATGGTATGATCTAACAATAAATGCCTACATCAATCATTTTTTAAATGATCTTAAAATGGCTTTTTAATGATCTTGAAATCCCCGTTTAGTAATTAAATATTCAATTTAAGATTTCATTACTAGAGCCTTTTACTTTTTTTCATTTTATTTTTGTACATAACAATTATTTATTGATAATTAAATAACAATATCTATGCATTTGTGGTCCCGGCATAGAAGAGGCCACTCCTTTCTTTCCTATAGGTGTCGTAAAAGGCGACTAAGGGAATTTAATGGTCGAGAGATGGAGAACAGCCGGCCGGCCGATGGTGTTTTAAGAGGAACCTCTTAAAATGTTCAGCAGTCAGCAACTGGACAGTCAACGGCTGATATTATATTATATATAATCTCTCAACACGCCATATGGAGGCACTCAAGAGTCTGACAGCATTTTTTTATACTATGAAGGTGGTAAATAAGCATACACCCTATCTGATGGTAAATGGTCACTGTAACCTATGGACAGCTACAATACCAGCAGTGTTAAATGCGCGTTGCCGACCCTGAAAAACCTTTTATCTAGACTTTTGTTAAACAAATGAAGCATAATAAAAACTGTATCAGTAACTAAGATACCTTGGCTTTCCTCAATTTCTTATGCCTCCCATGTCGGAGATATGAGAATATCTGAGCCAGCTTATCTAGAACCACATCGTTGGCACTGGAAGCGGAGCTTCGATCGTCAGGCTCTGGAACATCGGCTTTGCTACGCGTCAGCGTCGTAGGTATGTCGCTGTCGGCCGCGCCTTCTTCCTCTAAATCTACCACATATGCCATTCGTCCCGGTGCAAATAGTTCGTTGCGCGTTACTTTTTTATTTCTAAAACAATCAAATAGGGTATATCACACTCAAGAATTAAAAACTATTTTTAAAATGAATTATTTCATTGATTTTCAATACCGCATCAAGATAAAACATACACCAGTTTTTAAGTTACACCATGAGGAATATAACTGAGAAAACCGCATCCATGCAGTAGTTTTTATGTAATGCCGAACAAAGAAACAGACAAAATTTCTAAAAATTATTGTTTTAGCTTCTATTGATCTTCTTAAGGCTCCTCATATAATTTTTTCTTAAATATCTCCCAAGATAAAACGTTGATGATAAAAATATAATACATATTTTTTATTATACCAACCTAAATGCTATACCTACACCGTGTAGCAGCAATCTCTATAAATAATAGGTAAAAATCATCCACTTTTTTAACTTGTATATCCCATCAATCGTGATAGAGGATTTTTAAACAAACACAATAATAAATCTATTAAACTTACTTCTGTTCCATAATCATGTTGTAAATATTCCTGCCCATAGTAGTCTTGAATTGCATTTCTTCATCCTAAAATTAAAAAAGTTAAATTCAAATATTTTACTTTATATCTAACCTAATTGTGGAATATAGTGTAATTCAGTCGCCAGTACTTGTGGCTAACGAAATTAAATACAGTAGTTTGGTCAAAAAATATGCAAGAATTATCTTATATTTATTCAGACATTTATATAGATTAACTCAATTATTTTTCTTTATCTCAATTATTTTTAAATTTATAATCTACTTTTTAATCTGGACAACTTAATAAATATAGTCACCATAATTAAGATGAACATAAAAAAGTTATTAGACATTATTTTTTTATAATGACATAAAATGACAAACTAGCTGACGGCTCACCTGATGGAAAGTGGTAAATCGTCGCCTATAGACATAAGGAGTACATAATTTCATTCCTTTTTGCCCAGAAGGATAAATAATCTAAATTAGACACTGCCACTACCTGTTTATTATAATGCACTGTTATATACCAAAATTACTTACTGCATATGTAACACTTACCACTGCCACAACTTCTTTCTTCTCTTTCACAGGTTCAATAGGTGCAGAGACTAGTCTCTCCATTTCAGCTTCCTGTTCTTGTTCTCGAGTTTGTATTTCAGAACGCACCTGTTAAAAATTCCACCAATATAATAAGTTTTTATAAAATAACGTAATTTGTGAAGATACTTATGACCTACAATGAAGAACGGACGTTTGTTTTTCTTTCATGCAAAAATTAGTGAATAGAGTTAAATTAAATTTATTACATGGGTAGCTTACATTCTAACTTAGCACATAGACACTTTATATACTGATTCACATGAATAAATCCTAAGAATAGAGCTGATAAATAAATAATTAATTAAATCATTAATTAGTTTAATTTTGAATAATTAATGATTAATAATTCACTAATAAACAATTAATTAGCGAGAAGTCATTGCCTACAAGCTGTAAGATATGACATGGGTTTTGTCAGTAATTGCCACGTTTGGCAGGCGGATTGGAGACGTTTTAAGAGGGATGCTGCTGCCAATCCCTCGCCCTCTCATACTTGTCTCTCACGATACCCATGGGAAAGGAAGGGGTGGCCTATTCTATGCTGGGACCACCACTGGTCATCCTTCACTGGTGCCCCATTAGTATATAACTTTAGCACGGGCAGGATCGTATTCTTCACATACTTAATAGCAGGCATACCATATGATAAGAGAATGATGGCAGAAGATGAAGTGACAACACAGGAAAATAGTACTTAAAGAGAAAGATAGTAGGACTTAGCAGAAATTTTGAAATTTATATATTTACACTATGTAATATCATAATTTTTAATATATCTAGACAAGAAAAACTTTCTAGAAGAAGTCAAAAAATTACAAAAAACACTAGTGTCCTATAATAATATAAAAAAAATGGTTGTGCTGCATAATTACAAAATTTTTCTACCAGTGTTTCTAAGGAAAATATGTTGTTTCACAGAATAAAAATGACGCTAATAATTTTGATTTCACCTGTATAATAGACACACATTATATATTTACCTTTTGTAAGAGAGCATAATCAAGACCTTTGACCAAATGAGTGTGCTCCATGTCACCACCAAGATATTTTGATTCCTGAAATATAAGAATTACCAGTCAATTATAGATACAAACACATACTGCACAAATGAAAAAAAAATGTTAATGACAATAAAGGTATACCTGAATCATTTGTCTTCTTCTCTCTTTAGCATCCATACCCGATTTTAAATCTGGTGCAACAGCTCTAAAAAGCAAAAATTCTATTAAATTTTTACTTATATAATCACTCACAAAAAATTGCACATAGTGTTGCAATTTAAAATGAAAATAGACATGAAATAAAATAAGGTGGTAGTGAAATATTTCAAATATAAAACTCACTTTTAATTAAATAGTGTAAAAGCATTATTTAACCAGCTAATGATATTTTTACTCTAATCTTACTTTTAGTCAAGCATAATTTGGTTGTAAAAGCATTTACAAACAAGTTGTACACATGCAAAGACATTACTGTACCGATTTTTAGTCTCTAATATTGTACTCTATTTTTATAAATTATCTGAGGGATAAATTTTATATATAAAAACCTTTTTGTATGATTTGTCTATTAACCCTTTGCACTCCAGCCTAGTAACTCAAAAGGATACCAATAAGTCATTAACTTGACAATAATTTATTATAATGTAAACATTATAAACGTATCGTAAACAGGCTACCTACATAAGTGTTAAGGGCTCCGAGTTAGTAAAACAAGCATGTTGCCGAAGCCGCAACAGTAGATTTAGTGTTAGCATTTTAATGTCGCAAATACGGTGACAACGGACTGCAAAGGGTTAATAATTGAGCCTAGTATTATTTCCCTATTAAGAAATCTCATTATTTTTAGTTTTTAGCAGTTCAAATAAACAAATTAAAACAAATAAATTAATTAGTACAAAATATTACAACAGAATATTCTAACCTGTAAGCACTACTAGTATTACTAGTAGGATCAGCAGGGCCCAACTCATTTAGTCCATCTCGTCTTTCTCTAGCTCTGTCCCTATACTTTTCTGCCAATTCAGCAAGTTTATTGTCCTCTTGTTTTTTTAAAGCAGCATAGTAAGACTTTTTTTTTCTTCGTAATTCACTTTTGTTTTCTGAAGGTGCAGGCATTGATCTGAAATAATAATAAAATGTACATTTGTGGAGTGACCATGCCAGTGGGGTATTAATAACCAATCATAGTTTAATAGAATATTCATAATCATCATTATGGATATTCTATCATTGGTTTTTTACTTTAAATAACATTGTTTATGCAAATTGGATTGGCACACAAGCTGATGACCCACCTAATGAAAAATGACAATAAACTGTGTCAGCTATGGTATTCCTTTCTCTAGAAGCAAGATATCATACCCTTCAAATTAGTCTGCGAGAACACCTCCCTAATAGCAGAAATATTACTTACAGGTCATAAATACCTAACCACTTTGAATTTTTTAATTTTTGATTCTAGTTCCTATAAGCGGTATAACCTTATAACCTTACATGTCTCTTATAATAGGACTATTAAATAGATTCATACTCGTTCATATGACTGGCCATCTATTATTTTACAATTATACAGAATTCAAATAACAAATTATTACCCAGCATTGGCCATTGCCTCCCGTACAGAACCCGAGGGATGCGCGCCCCCGGACGGAGTCGCCCGTGGAGTCATCAATAGTTTCCTGAAGTCTTCATTAGTAAGTCTTTGAGATGCTGGAGTATCCTCAACACTTCTGTGTTCGTCCATGATGAATTTATAACTGGAATAATCCTCGCTGTATTCGAAACTACTTCAGTAAATAAAGCCAAGCAAAAGCAAACACGACCGAGTGTTAAAATATCAAATTTTATCAATAAATTGCTGATATTATAATCGGAGCAATTATTGAATTAACAATAACTCTTCTATTCCATTATTTAATTTTCATTTTATTGCCACAAAATAATATAATATTTAAAAACGTACTCTAAACAAATTGACTGACAATCATAGATTAGGCAGAGGGTTGACAATAAAATCACAGATTAGAAAGACTATATCTGAAGAAACAGATGATATAATGTAGTGATTAGTGATGACGAATCCAAGTGATTGTTATTCGATAATTATTAAATTCTATTTTTTTATTCTACTACAAAGTTATTAATATACTAACTTTTACCTACTTTAATTATATCTATCGTAAATTGGTAATTTTTAATATAAATATAAATTGGCTACATTCTTGTCCCTTATCAAATAAAAATATTCCACCAATCGGGTCGACTCGGCTATGTGCCTACCGATTCTAATGGATGATTAGCTATTATTTGTGGAACCGTATAATGAATTAAATTAGTAGTTGAATGAAATTAACAGTTGGATAATATTAGTAGTTGGATAAAATTAATAATCGATTGATTTTAAAATCATTTGAATAATGCGCATTAATTACATAATAGAATAATTAGTAATCGTATTTAATAGGTACAGGGAAGAGTCTTTGTTTTCGTTATTCTGATTGACTACTAATTAATAAAACATTTGAATACGGAAATAAATAAACAAATAGTAGGTAAATTCATTACGATGGGCCAACTGGCCTAACTTTTCATTCTCACCTACCACACTGGTGCCCCGTCAGCGTATACCGTTACACCGTTCCATTATCTATCATTAAAAAGAAGCGATTTAACCCATAATTATGAAATTTGGTACATTTACACATATTGCGCTGTATGGAAAAGTATATAGACTACTTTTTATCCAGATCAGTGAATTATTATATACAGCTTTCTATAGTTTAGAAATACCAAGACCTAACAGGATATATTGGGGAAAGGGATTGTTAGTATGGACTCCACGCCGTTTATCCTGGAAACCATCGTGACTAATTTATCATTGAATTCGACACGGTAGGCTGACCTGCCTTTTCATCTTTACCAATCATCCCCTACTGATGCCCAGCCAGTGTATATCGATAAAGGAGTCGGGGTCATCATTCTGTTATCATCAATTAAGAAAAAAACAAGATATATTGCTATCATTTAAGCCCTTACATTCCATTACTATGAATCCCTTTTTCCCTGAAAGAATATATAGCTTTGCCAATAATGAGAACGCTTTATTAAAGATATTGGCAGTGAAATTACAGGGTCGTACCCTAAATTTCTAGGCATAACATTTTAGTCATCAGGAATGGCAACGAATATACTACTTTTCATGACCAAGCGACGATTACCGCACCGCTTCCCATCAAATTAATCATCAACTTGTTTATTCTGTCATAAAAAAAAGATGAAATGGAAACGATAATACCACCTGCGCTTTCGATATAAACTAATGAGGTACCAGTGAATATTGATAATAATACATACAAGTCACGTACCTAGGACTTGCCATCTATACCTGTATGCTAAGTTCCTTACAAGGAAATCATTAGTAGGTTACACAAGACAGGGAAACTAAAAAGGCAAATAAATAAACAGAATAACATTTTTTAATCTCAAAATACACTATTATACCTACATACTTGCATTTGCCATTTTAAATACACCGTTACAAAATAATGTAAATATGTAGATATTTTTTCAGTGAGATACCTATTACATATAAATATATAATAAAACCCAATTATAAAGAGTAAATAAAGAAATATGTTTCCTATAAATAATGTCTTTTAACCAAATATAGCATGGAAGGTAGTTCCTTTGAATCCAACATTTCCTGTGGGTTCATCTTGGAATGTTATGTACATCCTGAAATAAAAAGAAACTTATTAATATTGAAATTTAATAAAATTGGGAAATGCTAAAGGAGATACAATACGAAAAATAAATATAAACTGATTAGAATTATTTTATTCATTTCCACTACCATTCGTATATGTACGACTGCTAACACTCGCAAATAACCACCACTATTACTACTAGAAACTCCACAACCCTCCATTTTAGCCATCAATCTCTGAATGTAATTCTAATAGCGGATTTAGTCTAATCAAATAACAAGTGATGTGGACTTGCGCAAGATAACATCTAGTTCAGTAAAATAAACAAATATAAGTGACATCAAACTAACGCAAACAGTACCACCAGCCAACAATACTACAAGCTTTTGAAAAAAAAGCGGTGAAAATATAAAAAATATACTTCACTAATCAACAGGTAAGGAATAAAAAAAACAATATTTATTTTTAATGATTGTTTTATATAATAATAATTATAAGCATTTATACTTAAATATAAAAACAGTTACATGTACATACAGTATATTTGAGTAGATGCAATATAATGTTGATAGTCAAGCTACCTTTGATAGATATGAACACAATGGGTTATGTAACAACAATGCACAGTTTAATAAACATAACTCACATTACAGCGCTATGTTATGAAAGCAATAAATATTAAACTATATTATTACTAACTTGGTTTTACAATGTCGAGAAACAAAATGTTAGTGAATCGATACTGTTTTTCCTAAAACTAAGTTTACATACCATTAAAAAATAATTTCAAAAATAAGGTTTAGGAGACTGTACAAAGTCATTCGCTAGGGCACCTCCATCCCATTCGTGTTTCTACCATGAAGCAGTTATGTTTGCTTGGCTGCGTTTCGGTTTGAAGGATGGGATATGGCAGTGAATTTACAGGGTACAGAGGAATAACACCTGAGTCCTCAGGAATGGCAATTCATGGAGAGTATTATGGGCGAAATAGTATACTGTTATGTCCATGGTACTGCTCATGTCTATAGGCGATGGTTACCACTTTCCAAATAGGTGGGCCATCAACTAGTTTGCAATTCGAATTTGCATAAAAATCTGATTATCTTAATCAGTAAAGATATATATTCAATAAAATGAAGTTCCTTCAAGAGATCAACATAAAGAGTGAATTATAATTAGCAAAATCCACAGAAATAATGTGTATGACCTACAGTGGTATGGATTAATTAATAGAACTTACAATTGAATTCAATTTTACAATGAGCAGTACAAAATATTGTTAAGTAAATAAAAAGGGGTTCTGAGAAATATAACACTTATTAGACTATATTTAACTAAAGATATAGAAATACCAATTACCTATCCGAAGGGACACCTAATTCCTTTTCAACTAGTTCAAACAGAACTTTAGCATGCTTTTTATTCTGTTCCACGCCAAGGGATCCAATTGACATTAAGTTGGCAATAGCACAAGGCTCTGTACTACCTCCAAAACTCATTAATAAGTCTGGAACAACGCTCACCACGCAGTACTGGAAAACATAATAAAAACAAATTACTTATTAACCAATTTGGGTATTATTATTATTTTAGGGCAATCTGTGTCACTGTAGCGCAGTAGTACACTGCTTTGTTTAGATAAAGTTATATATAAATATAGTGCATCCAAGCCATTTTGAATCTAAAACAGACAAATAGAGTGACTATAAGGAAAAGTTATTATGTTTTCTATATGCCGCCAGTTATGGAAAACAGAATGATTTTAATTAGACTAAAAATCATCTATAATAAGATTTGACATTATTTGGCTATGAATTGAACAAAACACTCCTACTAATTTGTTACTCTTCTGATAATGGTGGAGCCCTGATTGTCCACATAATTGACGATGGGTCAGAATGACTAACTATGATGGTTCCACGAACTTTCAACCACATGAGTGGCGCTATGGACAAATTAACATAGAAGCCCTTGCAATTATATTCGATTTCAAAAATTTTCATGAATATTCGGCATGCCGTAAATTTGACATCATTACGGATCATAAGCGTGTCTTTTTAATCGCTTGAAATCCATTCCTGACCAAATATTACCTAAATGTTAAGATAGTTATTAAAGCTTAGTTGTTATAATTATAGCATTAAGTATAGACCAGGAAAACTCATTGGAAATGCAGATTCCTTTAGTCGATAGACAATATCAAGTAGTTCTAGCAGGAGCAGAGAAAGATCTGAGAAGTTCCATTATTAAATGAGCAATCAGATGTTTTTTTTTTATGGGTGATAAATGAAATAGTAACCCCAGCCGCGCTATCGGTATACACTGGCGGGGTACCAGTGAACGATGATAGATGAGAATGAAGTAGGTCAGTTAGCCCATCGTGACGAATTCAACAAGAATTATTCTCGATGGTTTCCAGGGGGAACCACGTGGAGGTCGACCTGATAGGGCATATTGCAATATATCCATTGCTAGCAATGGGACTGTCAAACTCTATTGCTAACAATAACTTTCCCTCCACAACCAGAGGGTTAGGACCCTAATGTAAAACAAATTGCTGTAGATAGTAAGAAAGATGCAATTTTATAGATAATTATGTTCTATAATTAATTATATTCCAGTCTTGAACTCATTTTGGTCCCACTGAGAGGCTCTTTCATATATTAAGGGATGTTTACTATGGAACAACAGATAATACTAAAAGCACTGCAGAGTAATTTTGGATATATTGCATGCCCCAAATGCTGGTATAGTTCAATCTAATGCTTCTGCTAGAAGATATGTTTGATAGCAAGATATGGATTTACAAATTGAGTGACCAGTGGCAGAATGTGTGAAATAATCAAAATAAAGAAATAATCCTCCAAAAGATCTACAAACCTTTTAAAAAACCTTAGAGTGGAGTACATATTAATTTTTCAGGATCCTTCCAAGATAAAACTTTTGTAATATTAGTTAATAGTTACAGGAAGTGGTTTTTAGTAGTGATTATTTCATCAATGAGTAGTGAAATAGTGATAAGTGTGCTACGATATATTTTCGCTTCTCAGGGATTGCTAGATATTTTAGTATCAGACAATTGCAGGGCTTTCTAAGGGCAGGAATGGAATAAAATATAAATACTCATCTTCATAACAACCTGCCATGAATGGAAATATTGAATATGCCAGCCAAACATTTAAAAATAAACTGAAGAAATTGTCATATGTTAATAGTAATACATCTTGGGCTGAGAAACATCCGAAAGTATTGCATCATTTGTGTATTACATTGAATAGTAATAAGAAATCAGCAGAGATTTTAAATGGCCATCCATATACAACTGCAATATCAAATTTACACCCTAACTTTGCACCTGACAATGCTCAGGACAAACATGAAGCAGCAGCTCAACATTTTTCTAATAGATCATTTATATTTCATCAGGCAATATTAATGCAAGTTTATGAGCCAGGACGAAAGTGGCTTGGTTTTAATTCTGATACACTATAAAATTTCAATGGATGTCATCACATTTACAAGTCCCAGGGAATGAAACAATAGACAAGGCAGCCAAACAGATTATTGAAAATGAAACAGAAATTATAGGTAAGCCATGTGCAAATGAACTCATTTGTAAAAATTAAGAGTTGTGTCACAAAACATAAAAACCATTTTAAAAACATTGATATCTTGGTTTCAAACAACATGTTTTTCGAGAGCCTATTTAACTACAACATTCAAGCTGCAATCTAGTCATTTTATACTCAACAACAACAAATTTTATCATCTTATGGGAGTTCAGCAGTCACTAAGCAATATATACTGTAATAAAATAGAACACTTATTATATTTGCTGGTGGAAGGTGGTCAGAATTGCAACCTGAGACAGTGAATTCTGAGAGATATGCTTTAATAACATCAATGTAATCCTTAGTTAATCTGGCAGTTGCAATGCCAAACACCTACACCTATGGGTAAAGGTGTCCCTGATGAATTGAAATAACAAACCAAACAATTAAACATTCTCTATGAGGCTGGCATAGTTATCTAAATGTACTGAAGATTGAACAAAAATTAGAAAAAAAAAATATTACTCCACTTTTATAGAATTGACAGTTCATTTTATTTTTATTCAAATAGTAAAATTCACCAAAAATAATCAATGATGCTTTATGAGATTTATGATAAGAATCAATATAATAATCTTCAATTACAACAATAATCTAAGACATATTTGATCTCTAGTCACTTGATGTGTATATTATGGTAGATTTGTTATTAGAAAGTTATGTGACTTTTAGATATCACTAATTAGAAATCTCTCATTTTCAATTTATGCATTGAAACATTCACATCTTTAGATCACATCATTATTGATGTAATTCAAAATTATCTAAACAGTTTTATTAGCCAACCTATAAAAGACTATTTATCACAACTACTTAAAAAAACCGCCATATACTTATGCAATATAATAATATAGTGTTTTTTTCTTAACTATATTAAGTATGAAACTTGCTATCTTTTGGTCTTAATTATAATTACAGTGATTTATATTTTTAAATATTAGCAATTATTTAATTTATTCTACTCACATTTAGTCTATTTCAAAATAGGCTGTTCATTCCATATTTGACCTTCAGGTTTATGAAAAAATACAAGAAGTAAAAATCAAGAATACACAACTACTTAAAAAAAGTACAAAGCTACTAAAGCTACTACAGTCAATTCTACTTTCTTCCCTCATTATGGTAATGGAAAAGGGGAGAAGTGATTGTTAACAATAGGGATTAGTAGCCCCATTGATAGTAATACACCTTGCCAGTTAAAACCTCCTTGCCGCCTTTAAAGCCTCCTTCCAGGGGGAACCGCCCTGGAAACTATCATGTTCAATTCAAAGTGAATTCATCACAATTTGCCTACATTCTAAATCTCACATATCATCCTTCACTGGTGCCCCGCCAGTATAAACTTATAGCGCTGGTGGGGTTATTCCATTATCATCCATTCTATGGTGAAGGAAGATTACCAGACGAATTAGATTATTATACAAATTAATCATAGCATCTTTAGAATCATGAACACAAAAAATGGGTCGATTTTATAAAATAAACTTTTAATATACGCACACTAGACCTTAAACTTTGTTCTCAAGGGCAATGGTTTTATTTGTTCCATATACCGGTTGAATGAAAGTGCATTATTAAATATACTATATTAACCTGTTCTGGTTTCCCAAGTGCTTTAGCTAGTACTGGAATAGCTTTTGATACAAAGTCCTGAGGAACTTTGGTTCTTGGCAAATTGGTTTCTATTCTGAAGTGAGGCATCTTGACAATAAAATACGGAAATTTTAAATACTTTTATCACTAATGTAAATATAAAATAGATAAAAGTAGATAAATTAAACGAAAGACAACACACAAAGTTATCACCACAGATTAGAGAGACTATGTCTATATCTGACAATGTCTGTTGTCTTGTTCTAAGAACAAGGAATTACATAGAAGGAATGATAAATAAAAACTATAAATCATATGGTTGCCTCCTCTCTTCTTATGTAAATATATTTAGTAAAAAGAGGATGAAAGATACGTCATCAGTTACTTTTTTCTCAATTTATAGCAAGCAGGTGTATAAAAAATGTGTATGTAAAATTTTTGTCAATAACAAATTTTCCATTACTAGATTCGATACAATTAATATACAAAGTATGCAAGTAAGTTGTATCTGAATTTGGTAGGGATATACGGCCGTATAACATTTTCTAATTAAAAAATTTACATACTCATTTTATATTTACACATAATATTTTTATTATAGTATAAGTAACTATATCTGATATACCATAATATAAAGTAGGTATATCAGAAATTATAAGTACCTAAGATATATCATCTATATTATAGACTAAGAATAATAGTAGTCAAAATTGCAGTTCAAATATGGTATCCCTAAGAAGCAAAATCTTTAAATGTTTTAAAAAAATTAGTAGAAGAGGTATTTCGTCTATGGTAGGTTCTTTACTATCTAAAACCTAGTGATGTTTTATTATCGATGACGATAAGCATAAATTACATCAAGTCGGTATTTTTTATAAATAAAATAGAATAGTCTCATACTGCGCTATCAGTATATTTTGGCGAGGTACCAGTGACAGATGAAAATTGTAGATAGTTGCTGTTTTTATGTAAGTAAAATTTTTAATGTTTCGAAATATAAATTTATTTATTCTATTACATATGTTGTCAGTTTGTAATTTCCAATTATAGAATTTACCGACGTTTCGATAAAGAATCAGCAATATAGAAGCAGGTATGTAGATATTATTTACCTATAAAAGCTTTTACGTCGCATTAAGTCCCAATTGTCTATGTAAAATATGTGTAAACAACGCAAAATTTTAAAATTAACTATATTAGCTGTTTCCTGCTGCTTGCGTGAATCAATATATAAAGTATCCTGTATTAAGCTAGGATATAAACTATTTCAAAGTTAGTTGAAATTCATTTAGTTTAAGTATAATTAAGTACAATGTGACACTTGTGAAGAGGTAACAATTTTTTTTAATGTGTGATAATGAAATAGTAACCCCGCCCGCGCTATCAAAATAGATTATGATGAATAGACAGACAGATTTCTAGGGGGAACCACGTGGAGGTCGACCTAATAAAGCTAATTGCTAGTAATGGGGTTGTCAAACTCCACTACTAACAATCCCTTTTCTCCCAGAGCTATCTAATTAGGTTGATATATTATTTCCATCCATTATATTTTACGCTTTTATGTTTTAATTGAAAAAATCGATAGATAACTGAACACACACGCATAATCAATATGTAAATGACTACCAAAATTATATAATTATTGTTTGTATAAGAAGCGATTTTCATTTTTTTAACTGATTGATAGTACTAATTATCGCTATCGATAATTTATACCTAGTGCCTACGATAGCCCTACGTAGCGGTTGAAAACTTCTTTTTTCGTTCATTTGCACATTGTCATTGTTTTTTTTTATTCTTAATAGTCATTACAAAAAAAGTTTTATTATTTAATTACATTGGTAAGTACCCACTTTTATAAATTAGAATGTATATATATGGATTATTCAATAATTAGTGTGTAAAATCAATTAATAAGTAGAAAATACATAAAAAACAATTTCACGGAGCTACAATATTATGACTATATTTGAGATAGGTACGTACCTAGGTAGTACCTGTCTCAAGTGTTATTTGTATGATAAGATATCCATACCTAACCTATTTGTCTGTATGTATGTAATAATAATCTATCTGTTTTCCATTTATGTACCTTAATAGACTTAATATTGTTTTAGAAAAAATCACCGTTGAAAATTACAATTTTAATCTTGGTGATTACTTGTTCAACTAATCGATTTTGAAAAGTGTATATAACAATGGGCGCAGAGGAATCTAAGAACCAAAGGTAAGTGTAAAATTATGCGTTGTCTGTTTAGTTGATATCTCTTCTTTTCTTTTCTTGCGTTGTCCATTCCTTCACTTTCTTTGTCCACTTGTTGTTGTCCATCCTACAGACTTCTCTGGCCTGTTTCCATTTCAGATATCTAATTCTATATATAATATCCATCGCCTGTTTTTCTACATATTTTTATGTCACACAGATATTTAACATATTTAAGTAAGTTAGTTGAAATTACATGTCAAGATTTCCATACATAATCAGTTACAACAGTACTTAATGAAAATGCGAACTAATAATTAAGCAGAATAAAGCCATTGAACATAGTCTGCTGATATTTATATCAGCATATATATTATTGCATATATAGTAGAACAAATTAGTGTTTCTGTATTAATTCCAACAACATTGCATACCTTTTCATTAAGTTTTATTGTAACAGACATAAATTTAGGTTTTCTATAGATAAAAAAATTATTTAGATTTTAATATTTGTATATTAAAATCTAAATAATTTTTTTATCTTGTGATAAAGTGACCTTATGTATAAAATTATAGAAGTATGTTTAACTCAGTTTTTTAAACATATTGTCATAGTCATAGAATACTGGCGGATCTGACAAAGATTACATATATATATCCGTCAGTATTCTACGACTATGACGATATCACCTATTAAAATGAAGGAGCTTCTTGGCAGCAGAAACACGAGTGGGATAAAGGTGTCCAAGCAGATGACTATTGTATCAAGTCTCCCTTTAATCATTTTCAAAACTGACACAGTTGCTTGTCAGGAAAATTAGCAACATACTACTACCTAAATACATTTATTTCACAGGAGAGATGCTGAACATAATGGCTTTACAAAAAGTCAAGTAGAGATGTTACTTAAACAACAGAAACAAATGTATGATGAAAAATTAAATGAATTGTTACATAAACAAAATCAGAAGTCAGCCGAAATGCGAATCAGTGAAGATGCTATAAGGTAAATATTTTTTTAATTCATTATAGGTGCTACCTGCAATAGTGGAGAAATTACAGTTGTGTTGCTAGCTTTTTAGAAAAGAATATGCACTTTTATTCATTTGTATAGTATTATACATAGTGTATAGATTAATTTTTTTTTTAAACAAACAACTATAAAAAATATAGATGCATAAATACATATATGTCATGTATTTACATGTGTACATTATAACAGTTAGCACATACCACAAGGCCTCCCATGAGTTTTTATGTTACTCAATTAAAAAGTAATTACCTAATTGTGTTGAATTTTATTCCTGTATGCAGTATTGATATAGTTAGATATATAGATTAGTGTACAAAAAATTACCAGTATTTTCCCTTTCAATACTATAATTACCTAATTGTTACTGGTTTCGATGTCAGGGATGTCCTTTTATACTATCTTATGTTGTGAATATTTTGTTATTAGTATAGTCTATATGTAAAGGGAAGTATGAAATACATGACCTTGGTAGTGTAACGATTTAATACACTCTCAACTTCTAATACTTGGGGGTTCCATCACCGTACTATATACTTAACATTAATTTTCATGAGCTTGTCTTTTTATATGGTCTGGGTGATTGTCTATGTATAATATGAATGTATTTAAAAAAAATAAGTATGTCCATGTATTGTTTAATACCCATGGAATAAGCTCTGCTTGATTTGGACCTAGATGGCGCTGTATAATAAGTATGTTCAGTGGCATTATTAACTAGGATTATGTACTCTTTTATAATATATTATGTTTTAGTATAAATTGTTAGTAGTTGACTAAAATTAAATTCATAATTGGCTTGTGTAATAATGTATTAGGTACTTAGTTTCATATAGAATCAGAGCGATATATGAAATTGTTCTACATTGATATAGGCTTGTTTTTTTTTTTTAAAAAAAAATCCATTTGCTTAATACTCGTAGTTACTGATTTTGTAGCTTCTCTTATTATATACTGACAATCATATGTATATTACATCAAACTGTATCCAGGGCAGAAGCAAAGAAGGAAGTGGAGCGAGTATTGAAGGAGCAATTCGGGCAAAATGTCCCGTCACCTCAGCCTTCTTGTATCCCAAGCACTTCGACTACTCCCACACAAGCTCAAGTGTACGTACATCATTAATGTTTTTATTAAGGCAAACAAATAGCTTTAACGGTGTCCGTGTATTTCTTTTTATTTATCACTAGCCATACCTCGCGACTTCCTACGCAAAGAATTTAGAAGTAGGAAAATCAATTATATAGGCCACTTCTACAGATATATACTATCTCGGTAGATTAAAAAAAATGTAATGACTATTCAAAAGTGCTTCAATGTAAGTTTATTTGGATAAATGATTTTCTATTCTATTCTATTCTCACCATCATCAAAATAGAACACATCAGATTTTAATTTCAAACGAAACACAACTGTGAAAACTCTACCAAACTTGGTGCAGTAGTTTTTACGTGATGCGGAAACAAACATAGAGATAGACAAAAAGTCCGTATATATGTGAGTATATAATATATACTGACATACATACATACACTGCTGGTCAAAAGTTTGAGACCACTATAAAAAATATAAGGAAACAAATAAAAGTCAACATGTTTAAAACTTTATGAAAAACAGGTTTTATTTAGATGTTACACACAAGATTTGAAATTCAAAAATTTCATGAAGTTTTGACGAATACAATGTTCTAAAGAAAACACGCACAAGAAAGTAGAGAATATTTTCATCAAAATCAAAGAAGAGGATCCTTTGCATTTTATGACCCATTTTACCAATCTTGGCATGCGAGCAATTAATTTATTTATAGTCTCTTGCGAGATATTCCTCCAAGTTTCGTTTAATACATTCCACATGGCCTCCTGTGAATGGGTTAAGATCGGGCCTTTGGGGTGGCCATGTCATGTTTATTAACATTTTTTCCAACTGTTTTTTTATTTTTTTCTAAATGGCCTCCACATAATTTTGAACTGTGCTTTGGATTATTATCTGATTGGAAATTAAATCCTTGGTAGATTAACTTTAGTCCGGAGGGAATAGCATTTTTCTCCAAAATTACTTTATAATGCTCCTTTTTCATAATTTCTTGAATTTGGACAATATTTCCAGTCCCATATAGTCTGAGAAACAACCCCAGACCATAACAGATACGCCACCATGCTTGACTGTCTACACACTACTATACATTGTGGCATCATCTTTTCTTCGGCGGAACGTCGAACGAAAATTCTTCGTTTTGAGCCGAATATTTCAGATTTAGATTCGTCACTCCATATCATTTCTTTTAATCTTAGGTCCAGTCTCAATGGGCTAAAGCCCGTTTTTTCTTACTCTACCGTTTTAGAAGAGGTTTCTGAACAGCAATGTAACTAAACAACTTTGCGTCTTGCAATCGTCTTTGCACTGTACACACCGATACAGGTTTTTCCCGAGATCTGTTGACTTCAACACGAATTTCTTGTTTGGTGTCTATTTCACTTGCTGGTTACCACAATAAATTTGTTTTCACTAGAAGTCGTAGCTTTTGGTCTCCCGGACAATCTTGAGTACTGCCAGTTTGTTTGTACCGTATAATCGTACGAAGAATACAAGTCTTCAATAATTTAAGTTGAGATGCAATCTCACGTTCAGATTTGCCTTCATTATGGAGAAAAACTATAGCAGAATGCGTTTCAATACTCTTTTCGCGAACTTTTCCTATTTTAGAAAGGTCTTGACTGTATATTCTAGACTAGATATTCGTAGATAACCCTGAAAATACGGGGGGAAAGGGATTATTAGTAATGGGGTCAAACAGCCCCATTACTAGGAATATACCCTGTCAGGTCGACCTCCATGGGTTCCCCCTGGATACCATCGTGTCCATGTCTATGGTATTGTTCATGTCTATAGGCGACAGTTACCGCTTTCCATCAGGTGGACCGTCAGTGTGTCAGTTTCAATTGTGTACAGGTAATCTGGGTCTTATTATAAGTTACGTAAGGTCTTATCCTAATAGTTAAGTAAGGCCATTAGTACATAAAAGTGTCTTACCTGTCTTCATGCATAGATAGGATACTTTGTATATTATATTAATTAATTATAGTATAATTAACTATAAATATATTAATTAACGCGGGCAAAGCCACAGTATACAGTATAGCTTTAAATTGACAAAAATATGTTCAATTATTTCCATTCGCTTTTTTTGCTAGCGAATTCAAAAGTGGTGCTCACAATTTAATTTAAATGTATTTTTATACTGCATAGTAATCCACTTATGATTAAAAATGAGAGCGACAAGAACCAGTTTTATGTTTATGTTACATATATATAATATTGTTTATTTTATTGCAGGCCCTTTAGATCTCCTACAACTTACAGTTATAGCCAAAAAGACCTCCAAAATCTCGTGGCCACTGGAACACATACAAGTTCACCAACTACTCAGCAAACTTCTTTGTATCCCAATATTAGTACACCGCCCGCGTCTTCTCCAAGAGCGGTCCAAGACCCGTTTGAATCATATGTGTTCGTCAATAAACTGGATGAAGCTAAAAGGTATATATAATAATATTATTGTTATTATTATTTCGGCCGTTAACTGTCCACTGCTAGACATAAGCCTTCCCCATAAGGGGAATTTTGCCAGTAGTTGTCACGCTTGGCAGGCGAGTTGGCAATCGCAGTTAGGTTTTAAAACATGTTTTAAGAGGGCCCTTCTGCCCATCCTCGCCCTCCCTTAGTAGCCTCTTACGACACCCACGGGAAAGGAAGAGACAACAATATAATAATATAATGTTGTAATAATATACTGGTAATGTACTTTCATACTAAAATCCTGTGCCATCATGTTTATTCTCTTTAATGTGATTAAATCTGTAAGAGAAATTTTTGGGGGGTATATGCATAATTATAAATGTAATTTTTGTCAGACTAATGCATACGGGTAAATAGTACCTATATATACCTACTTCTTTATTGCCGACATTTTGATTTGGATTGCACCACGTCGGTCGAAACGAAACGTGGTCACGACAAGACTGAAGTGAGCGACGTCTTCGTCTGGCAGTCTCTTCGGGTCCCTTACACTGTCATCATTATTATCTAGGGTCACTTATGGTATCCACACTGCATTTAAATAAAATATCACTTGTTTTTAGTGTACTAATCCCTGGGTCCCATGCTGATGGAAGCCTATATCCATCTTCCCTATTGATTTTTTTCGGATTGTTCCTAATTTCAATTGCTTCACATACTATCCAAAGGATAGGAAGTGACGCTCGATAGATAGAACCTTCGGGGCATGCAGGTCAATCCAGTGATTAGTAGAAATATTTAATAAATGTTCTGCGATCGCTAATTTATTTGTTTGCCTGTCTTTGACTGCCGCTATGTGTTCTTTGACCCTTTCGGCTATGATCCGTTTAGTTTGACCTATATGCAGCTTACCACAGTTACAGTCTATCTTGTAAACGCCTGATGTTTGGGCATAAAAGGCAGGCAATCTTCCGCTAAAATCAATTTCTTGACAAAAATTGTCCAACTACCTTTATCTTCACCTTTATCCCTCTTCAAGGCGAATTGGGCAACAACAGCCTAATAAATATTTTTTTATCACATTTATTCTATAAACACTTCAGGTCATTTTCACAGAGTGTAATGACTTGAATTTATTTTTAATTTAATTGTCTAGTAAATCTATTTAAATGTCTAGTTTTACACAATGGAGCTTCTATCGAAACCCAATTTTTAGTTAAAAAAGATGATTTAATCAAGATTTTCAATTTTTTTGATCTATAAACAATGTTAACGTAATGACTAATATTTCTTGTCTTTGAAGAGTAACAAAAATATACTGTAGGAGTAATGAAAAAATATTGCTTAAAATAGGCTTAAACACTAAATCTATGTAATTTATTATTCAATAAAAACAGTTATTATTATTTTTCTTTAATTATTTTCATTTATTGTTATCATTTTAGATTGCAACCCACTGCCCCGCCAGCTTCATCGCGAGATAGATCAACCTCAAGGTAAAAAAAGTATTACTTTTTATAATTTAAGTAGTATTACTTTTTATAGTTTATAATTTATACGGACGCTAATATTTGTGTATAATACACAAATGATATAAACGTCCCATCTAGAAACAATCTGCAAAATATTATCTTTATAAATTTATATATAAGTTATTAGTAGTGTATAATTATGTATATGAAATGTTAAACATTAGCAAATTGCTGTAATACCTTACGAAGCTAACACTGATGGCCCCCATCAGTGTTATAAATTATACTCATAAGTTTTTGGTGTTTTTCCACTCATGTTTCTTTGGGGAAAATACTTAGTTTTATCACTAGCACTTGATGATTGATTTCAATTTGTACACCTTGTTCATCATCATCATCTCAGCCATTATCTGTCCATTGCTGGACATATGCTTCCCCCATAGACTGCCATAAGGAATGGTCTAGAGCCACGAGTGGAGGAGTTAGTCTATCCATCTAGTGGGGGAGGAGAGGGAGTCGTTCTTCACTGCGTTTGTCCGTACGGGATCGCCACTCAAGAACCTTTCTTTCCCATCAGTTAGTACTTCAAACTATGTGACCATTACTTTGGTTCGTTTGCTGATATCCTCGTTTCGGATTCTATCACGCAAAGAAACTCCAAACATAGCTTTCTTCTTGGCTTTTTTTTAATGGATGATAATAGAATTATATACCCGCCTGCGCTATCGATACCCTCAGTGAGGGACGATTGGTGAGGATGAAAAGGCAGGTCAGTTAGCCCATTGTGACGAATTCAACTATAAATTAATCACGTTGGTATCCAAAAAGAACCGCGTGGAAGTCGACCTGATGGGATATATTGATAACAATGGGAACTAACCTCCCCATTACTAACAATCTTTTTTGCATAATAATAATCGTTTTTGCATACGGGCAACCGTGTAGGACCATGTTTCGGTTCTGTATGTCCACAATGGTAACATGCACTAGTTCAAGACTCGTCTTCACCTTATTACTGTACATTAATTGTTCTTTCCAAAAAGTATAATTCAAAGAGACCAATAAGCTAAAATAAAATACGTACTTGTATTTACAGGCAACGCAACCGCAACAATGAAGCGGATAACGAAGTGAAATGCCCGACATGTAGAAATACATACACTTCGAATATTTACCAATGCTCAAAAGGGCACAGTTCATGTAAAACCTGCAAAGATAATGGTCGCCTTTGTGGTATATGCCGTGATATGATCACTACCATGAGGAATATTTCACTGGAAATCTTTATTGCTGAGGTATCTTTATCAATATTTTTATAATAAAAATGTCATAATATATATATATGTGTGTATATATATATATATATATATATATATATATATATATATATGAATGAGAAAACTGACTACGATAAGGTCTATGATTGCGTCTTGCTACAATTGGTATTTTTCACGACATCAAAATTACTGTGAAGACAATTTATTTCTCTTTGTCACAATCTGAAATGCACACAGTCGCTCGCTTATACGCGCCATTCTATGTCAATCGTGCATTTTGTAAATCCATTTCGTCGTCTGCCAGCTTTAGAAAAATTCAAGCGACTCAAATTGGTAGCAAAATAATTTATTAATATTTTTTGCCTTAATGGCACATTTTTTTTTTACTCTGCTGTCCAATTGAGCAGTTGTAGCTGAGAACTGAATTTAAAACGCGATTGTAGATCTTTTTAAATTCTACCATATGGGCTATTTCATTACATTTACATTAATTCATCTTGATTAAAGGTGCAGATTTTGCTAATGGATAAATAGAACCATACAGGAGAATCCCTATCGATTGCAAGAATAATTATTAAAATCTGTTTAGAATTGATGATGTCGAGAAATTTCCTCGCATAAAAAAGTACAGACAAATAGGCGCCCGTGCAGTAAGAAGCAAGATTATATATAGTTATCCTATCTAATCGTTCTAGTTGGGGTCTTAGTGCTTTCATAACTATATTATATAATTATTCAACTATTACTTACTACTTTAAAAAAAAAAAAAAACAGTGAGCCAGCATAGTGCGGTATACGCTTAATGAATGGAAACTTCGTTTGATTTTGTTGATCGTATTCATGTACCTTGTTGTCTTCGTGTTCGTTCAGGATGGTGTGGTCTCATGTCGTGCTATAATAAAAAAAAAACCCGTTCCCCGCAATTTTTACACAGGTAGTAAAATTACGTTGTTATTTGATACTTTTTTAATGGCGTGTAAATGGAATGTTAATCCCGCCTGCGTTAGCGATAGACACTGCCAAGGCACTAGTGAGAAATGTTAGATGAGGAAGAAGTATTTTTTTATGTGCTCATCACTGGAATGGAATGGAATGGTACCCTGTGAGAGATAATAGATGAGGATGAAGTTAGATCAGAAGACCCATCGTCACGAATTCACCAGGAATTCACGACGATGGTTTCCAGAGAGGACTCAGAGGAATTCTTTGATACTAACACCATCTAAGTTTTTTCACAAATATAACTTCCTACAATCGACAGGTCGACAGGTCAAGCTGTAACGATTTACATAGTGTCTACCTTCTCAATTATGGAAGTTTTGTAAACAGTTCGGCAAATTCTCTACAACGATATACAAATAAACAGACGGACATATATTTCAACACTTGTGATTTTATTATATTATCTACAGATATTAAATGTGCATTAACACAAAATGATAGACAGTATCTACTGTATATAAGCACAATTTTATGTAATTTATAATGTGTAGTTTGTATTATTCTTTGTGTATACTTATGTATTTATGCAATGTATGCAGATCGTATGACTGTCTATTTTTATTTTTAAAATAACATACAATTTACATGAAAAGGTTTGCTGGAATAAATCTCTTATTAGAGATAAGCTCGCCTTTGTACATTATGTTTCAAATGAATTAAGGTTAACATTATATTTTGTGTACAATAAAGAAATTTTAAATAAATTAAATTGTATAATTTATACAACAAGTTATATAATTAAATTTAGACAACGGCAATAGGTTCGAAACCTACCACATTGAATTCTAATATGCTCAATGAAATGTGGACATGACCTTTGTTACGTTCAGTGCAATGGTTAATAGTTGACAAATTCCTGCAAGGACTACCAATTTTTATTTATTAAATTTTTACATTCCAGAAAAAGGTGAAATGCCCAAATACGGAAAATGGATGTTCCCTCTGGATAAAAAGATGTGATGTAGACACTCACCTTAAGGTGTGCATATTTAGAGATATGCCATGCCCACTTTCTGACATATTTGGACTGTGCCTTTGGAAAGGTATTTATATTATCTACTATCAAAACCTATATCACCAGTGGTTTCTTAATCATGCTCTGCAACCAATATATGCTTGGCGGAGAATTGCAGTGACAATGTTTTAATTATTTAAATCATAAATTAATTTATTTAAATCAGTAATTTAGTCGACTTGTTAGACTGAAAAGTTGCCTTTAGGTCAATTAAATATGTTTTACCGTGTGGTAGCAGAGTAAATAATACAGACGGTCCCCGTTGCTTTTTATTCTGAGAACGTCGAATCCCCATGAATAGGCGATTAAGGGAATAATAATATAGTACAGAAAAGTCGAAATAAAACAATATATGAAGCCACAGTTATTATTATTATTGATTGACACTTATAATTTTACAGGTAAATTAACCCAAATGGCGTCCCACTTCGATGATGTACACCAGATGCATCGCCAGGCCGACGTCGACAAGGAAATGTATTTGCTGAACATCAACAATAACGTCAATATCGTTCACTTCATCGTTATAGGCACCTACAACTTTTTGTTCCATGTAAAGATTCAAGATGACAAACTTTATATGACAACACAGGCTCTCGGCACAGACAATAGTGCCCGCAAATGGATCTACGAGATACACATTTATAATAAAAGTGAGCCACGCAGAAAATACCAGTACATGGATACATGCCACTCCATAAACATCCCCGTTAATGAAATAATCACTAACGCAAGATGTGCAGTAATCCCGTTATCTTATGCTTCCTCGTTTATAAACGAAGACAAACTCACGTACAAGTTCTTTATAAAGAAGGAATTTAATAACAATGAATTCCCTAAAAACAATCGTGGACAGGGCGCTAGGCGAAGAACCTAGGCATGACTTTGTTACAACTATTTCTTTATGTTTATTCTCTGGTTTTATAACGTATATATGATACTTAAATATAGAAGTACAATAAAACTAGATATGATGAAAGATATTTCTAAAGGTGACAGTCCCGCTTTTTTGCAACTACTTTTAGTTATAATGCGTCAAAGTAAGACGGTAATAAATAAAAATAATTAATATAAACGCAGAGAATAAATGCAAAATAAATAGTGGACGCCGTTCTCCAAGTTAACGATGTCTTTTAATAGGAAATTGTAACGTTTAATATAAGTTCTTTTTTGCTGTTTCCTCCACTTATATCTAAAGCATGTATACTTGGAATATTATATTTTTATCGTATAAATTAACATGCATGATATTTTATGTAATTAATGGAAATTTGAGTATAAAGATTATAATTTATGACTATGTTTTTGCTATTAAATTATAATCGTACAGCTCCATCATTTCTGTTATTAATATTTCTTCTATTTATAACATGATAGTCATTAAGACTACATTGTAAAATGTGTTTCGTATTAGAAAATATGTTTATTTTTTAGTACTACTATTATTTAACCATATAAACGACCTGCCCCGGATTCGCACAGGTGCAATATTTTCGTAACTTTTAAACTGGTCGTCATATTTTAGTGAAGCTGGTACTTTGGCTCGTTTGAAAGTACTGCATTAATATTCTATAAGATTTTAAAATTAACGGCCTGTTTAGCAAATAGGCCGTTGTTTTGTTGTAAGATGTACGCATTTATATAGTTTCTCCTGCGTCCTTTACTTCCGCGCCCTGCCTTCTGGCACATCAATTAACATGTTGTAAAAAGTAAACTTTATCTTCATAAATGCTCGATTTAGCTATTTCTTTCTATAAGAGTTTTTAAATATATATTAAACCTGTAAAACTATTTTTTTTGACTGAGATATTAAACTTAGATATAAAGCGTCGCGGACTTTTTTGTAAAGCTAAAAGTAATGAATATTCTTGCTATAGATTTTATTCTTTTATTTAAACCGTTTTGGCAGCGTATTATAGTATTTTTGCCGATTTCAACTATATTTATTGTAATTATTTACTTACCAAAATAAAAAGCACCTATAGTATATATACCTTTGTAACAGTACAAGAATTTACAAAATTGGATTAGTACTACCGGAGATTACCCCAAACATCCACATTCAGAAATTTACCTCTATAATATTATGTATATAGATTATAGTTGTTTCTCTTAGTAATTTTATGTGCTGTTATATGCCTTATCTAATTGTAATAATATGCCTAGGTGCATTCTTATTAAATTTTTCATTTTCAGAGAATTCTGGCGTAGACTCCTCACTAAATAATAATAGTAATTATTATGGTTCCATTACCCATAAAGAGGGATTCCAATTGTAAAATTTAAACGTAACGTACTGATTACTTGCTGTATGGATATATTTTAATTTGTATCGTTACTTATGAATACGGTTTCATGAGATTTATTGATTTTCTTATGAGTATTATCACACGTACTTGTTATTACGAATTCATATCATTTCTTATTATGAAGAAAATAAATTTTGATGTTATCGATTTATCAAAATTAATTGATTTTTGTTCATGAATAAATTGTAATAGAGGTATGACTTGAACATAATAATATAAAAGAAATACGCATTTTTTAATTGTACAAGCGTACCTCTAAAGAAGTTGTAGTGAGATATTTAGCCAGAGTTGGGTTTACCCCTGGCATATTGGTTATGAGTATAGATTTTTAATGGAAAGGTATAACAAACCCAAACTGAATTTGTATTTACAATGTGGAATCGAATTTTAAATTAATTCCTCATGCTATAAATGTAATTCCAAAAACTAATTCATAGGAATTAATATTTATAATATTATCTTATTGGTAAAAGTTATTTAAAATACTATTGCTAGATTCTTGTTATACCCATTCTGCTATACTTGTATGATATGACTGAAGTAATGTTTATGGGCAATACATCGACTATTGTGTGAGAATATCACCTTTTGAGGTCAAAGGGTTAGCTGACCTTTGCTTTCCTTTCAAACCACAAAGTGGCAATAATTTTTAAATTATCCACACATGAACTTGTGGTTTGAACTGTCACAGTTAATGTATAATTGCAAAGTTAATCGTTTGAAAGATGTTAAAGATCATATAATGTGCTATTCAATGTATTACATTTTATAGATTTAAACAATCTTGTATTGTGATAGGTATGTTGTAAATAAATTCATGGAATTCTGTTATTTTTAATATTTTATCTATTATTCAATTATTTTCTTCCATTGTAATTGTATATCCAATAAATTTTAATTAATTATATATATTTTTTATTTCTATGTAAATGTAATTTACAGTTCATAATAGTACTGGAATGCTTATTATCTTCTTTCACTTTTTAGTCTGACCACAGATAATATAATACTATACTAGTAGTCTGATTTAAAAACTATCATCTAATGGACTAGTAAACTTCATAATAATAAATGACGATAAGAAAATATCTCAATAAAAATTGAATTGCCTTGCAAATGAAACAAATTCTTCGAAACTGGTTGAATTATATGTTCGCAGATATTACATACAGAGTGCTTAGTACGAGTTGTGGCAACGATTTACACTTCGTACGCACTATAATAGTGGTTCTTTTCAAACTTGTTCAAACAGTTCATAAAACAATATATTTATTTATATAAATGTACTATATATAATTTCTAAAGTTTGAAGATTATACATAATACATAAAAATATTACTAAAATTGAAACAAGCATATATTTATTTTTCAAATTATAGCATATGTAATATTGCACGTCCATGTCTCCACCCATTGTCACTTGATCAAGGAACATAGTACGCAGAGAGTTGCACTTATTTAATCTTTTTCCTATGGTTTCGGGGATCATTTTTTTTTTCAGGTACCTCTAGTTATCCGCGGTCCACCCATTGCTTCTTGCTTCTACATATAAGATTTTTGAGCTATGGGACATTAAAAACAGAAAAATAATGATGCAATTTACATGTCGTGTCAATGATTAAACTTTATTTCATTGAAATGTGTATTTAATTCCACAAAATTGCAACATACAGTGACTTGTATAGCTTGTTTTCTATCAATAATACACATCCACCAATTAAGTACACATGAATAGGTAACACACCAAATTAAATTAACAAAAAATATAATTTTACATAGTGAACACATTAAGTTCGTTCCTTAAAAATTTATGTTAAAGCGTTTACTTGTTTAATAGAACAAGTAAATGGACGGCATAAAATTAGATCTTTCCAATACATTTTATTCCAATTTATTATTTCTTGCCGTCTTTATATGTTATTTAAATTGTTTATAACAGCTTCTTCATTGTCATAAAAATTACCAGTTTACATTAGAAAAGGAAGAAACATCAATGGTAAATATGTATATATATATATATATATATATATATATATATATACAGTACATAATAGGTATTTATTTAATTATAATCAGTATTTATCTATAAGTTGTGATAATTTTCGTTAATTTCCTTGATCGACTGGTGTGCCAAAGTTCAAAATGGTTATCTAAAACGCATTTTGTTAGTAGGTAAATGAAAGTCGGAAAAATGAATAGTTCTTAAGCTCTCATTTTTACGACACTTCTACACAAAGAACAGGGTTTAAGAAAATGTATATGTAACGTTTCATAATAATGCATGTAATCATATTAGAAATTTGTTACAAATATAGTTGCTTAATTATATAAAAAAAAGTTATATTTATACTGTCCATTATATAAAAGTAAGTACCTACTATCCTTTACTCTATTCATTAATCCCCACTCCCTGTATTTTGCAATATTAATCCAATCTATACAATTATTCAAATAAATTCAGAAGCAAATTTTAACTAACAGGTGACTAGAATTTATAGATCATTTGAAGAGCACCCACTTAGACTATTCACAATACAAAGTGTTTCACACCAAACAGAATAAATCGTGAACATTAATCATTGGTGCTTAAATAGTGATAACTAAGTGTAGGTAACAAACTAAATTATAACAACTTCCACATCATACAAATTGATTGTCAAATATAATATTATTTACTTATTTAAAAAAAAAATTACAAAATATGAAAGTAAACAATAAAGTCACATAAATACAATCACAGAAAACACCACTTGAATTAAATTGGGTATTTAGATGTCCACAACTTCACCCCACCAGATCAATCTAGATCAATTTGTATAGTGTAGAAACTGCAAAATATTGCAATAAATAATGTATTATTTATTATTAAAAAATGTCAGATAATAATTCTAAGGTAAAAATGTAATCATAAATAATAAACAAACAATTGATAGTCTGTAACATGCAGATAATATACCTATTTTAGAAATAGATACATATCGAAATAATTTTGTAGTTAAATATCTTTTGGAACATCATGTATATATTTCTTATTGAAAGTTTTAAGTTAATGCCACCAACATATCAGTCAAATTCACATTAATATTTTATTGAATACATATATACTCGAATACACTTCTTTCTAACATATAATTTTGAAGTTATTTACTTAAGTATATTTATATCCTTGCTCTAGCCTGTTTTTTGGAATGTAAAGGTAAGTAAATTCCAAGTAAAAATCACAATAATTTAAATCACATAGTTAATTACATTAAAATAAATAATTTATCACAAAATGGAATGTACCTATTGATAAACAATTACTTTTATAATATTTTAAACACCGGCACTACAACATTCATCAGTAACTATCAACCTAACCCAGCTTCGCACAGGTAGCAGAATATATGTTTACATTATTTTGCATCAGTTTGTTACATCAAGTTCGAATTAAATAGGTATAGTAAGCTATCCATAAAAGGTGGATATGCTATCGCGAACTTTTAGGAGACCTTTAAAAGAAAAACAATTCCACCACACCTTGTTATATCTCAAACAGATTAGGTATCACATTCAATGAAAATTCTCAGTCGACTTGATTTCTTTCAACATCTTAAACAATTATAGTCATATTTTAACAAATTGATGTAAAAATAATATTAAACTATTTATATATATTCCTCTTGAATCACTATCTATTGATGAAAAATATAAAAAAGTCCCTTGTATAGTTTTAAAGATCTTACAGACAATAGGTAGCACAATACTTGGTGAGTCACACTAAAATAAATGCATTATAAACAAAAACCTGTGGCCCGTAGTAGACTGATCCAAAATGATAGTATTACAACTGGTCTATATTATTTTCATGGCCAATTAAGATATCTAAATTTATACATAAAAATCGTCTAATATTTATAGTGAAATAAGTAGTGAACAGTATACCTAAAAAATCTTTATATAGCTATTACTCTCTATTCTTTAAAATAATAAAAAGACATTGTATGTAGTGCCAGCATCTAAAATTTAGTATGACAATTTTTTATAGGAAATATGGTAACAACATAATTACTTAGTGCCAATATAAATAGATTTCAAAATATGTCAAATTTAAGGCCATACCCTTGAGCTATAAATTTCCATTAATTATTGATTCCTCCATTGTAAGCATAATCTGCTTTGTTATGCATCACAAGGTGATTGTCCACAAAATAGAAGCTGTCAGAGCATGTCTCAAATGGTGCAGCTATCATCTCATCAACTAGAAACATATAATTCTTATTATTACCACAATTATTGATAGACTTAATATTGTATGTAGATATAGTTTTGACATAAAGTATAATTGAGGTCTAATTGGAGTCTTAAATGATTTTGAGGTAGATTCTGATTTCAATTCATAAATTTCTAAAAAGTAATATATTACAGATCAATAATTATATAATATGGCAGGCAGTGAAATTACAGGCTATGAAAGTAGAGAAAGTTAGTTAATTTGAAACAAAACACTGGCAATAAAAACCAGGTGTGTGGGCACTTTTTACCTGTAATCACATCAAGTTAAGTCCTAATTACAAATTTATAATACCAAATTAATTATTAGAAATGGCAATGCATGAGCACCATTCCAACACAATTTATTCTGTGATGTTTATAATGCTGTTAATATTTATAGGCAACAGTTAGCACCTCTAGGCCATCAGCTTATTTGTCATTCCAAGTTTTACAAAAAAATTCTGACTCATAGTATCTATTATCATTTCATATCTTACCAAGATCTGGTGGCAGTGCTGGGAACTCGTATATATGTTCACAAGTATTCCTCGAAAAAGGAATACAGAAACCAAACTCAAAATCAAATGTTTTGAGCAAAGTATCTCTGAAAAAGTGTTTCTCTATCATCCTGAAGTGGTTCACAGGACGTGAACCCACTGTGAACTCAACTCTAAAAAATACAGACTTTAATTAAAATACTAGTTTTAATGACAAATCACTACATGTATTTTTTTCAAGTTACATTAGTAAGTTTAGGTAGAATATAATACTAATATAACCACATTTATGTGATATTATAATTGTATTAAGATATTTAAAGAAAATGTTCTTTCTTAATGTATGATATACAATTTTATTAATTTTATAATGAAAATAATATTTTATTTAAACTATTTATTTGTTAATCTTTATTGACCAATATAATGTGGTGCAAAAGGCAGACTTAATGCTTTATCAGTCATCTTTAGGATGTGCATATGCTCAATGACAGTTTAAATAATAATAACATGGCTTCACTAGTTATATTTATATGCATACATAGATGTAAATTATATTAAAGGTATTTTTCGGTAATGCAAAGCCATAATAATAACTTACGTAGCTCCAACTGTTTTTAATTTTAAAAATTGTGGAGTAAACTGATATCTGACAAATCTGCCAGCATTCGGATCGAGAGGCTCCTCGGGCGCGTCCTCCGTGCCCTCATTGTCCACACCGAAGTCGGTAGGTGGCTTTGCTATCTCAAACAAAACAGTCCCAGTCTCCAAGTCTCTTATTTTGAATCTTGTAAAATCTATGTCGTATACATTCGCTTCAGGACTGCACAGATATGTATCGGTAATCCTGTCCAATCTCAAAACATCTTCCGGCGTTATTTCACTCGGAATTACATCGTCTTTATTAGATTCCAGTAAAGATATTGATTCGCATTTTTTCCCCACCAAACTCATTTTGCAATCGATAATTATTACAAAGAATTGAATATAAGTAACGTAATCTCAAATATTACAACAACTGATTAAAAATCATTAGAGAGAGCCTATCAAATCATTTTTATTTAAATATAAATGAAATATTCAATTGTGAAATAAAAAATAATTTAAACGAGTTTAGAAAAGGTTCCGAACAGAAATGTCAGGATATTTAGTGTCAAACAAAATTCAAAACTGTCAAATTAGATAGGTAATCAGATCTTTAAAACTTCATACATGATCACGTAATGTTCTATTGTAACTTTCTAAGATAAAAAAATGGAAGTCAGTTTTGGACTTAAAATCGATAATATAATATAATTCTGTTGAGAGGTAACTTAGATATTTAAATATCTATAAAAAGCAATATTATTATAATATAAAAAAACAAATTTAGAAGACCAAATATCCAACACATAATCAGTCTATGTATGGCTGATTACAAAGTAAAGCAAATGCAATTTATCCATCTACATATGGAAGGACAAGGAATTACATAAAAGGAATGATAAAATTGTCAATTCATAGCAAGATAGTGTATAGAAAATGTTATACGGTCGTATAACCCTACCAAATTCAGATACAAGCTGCTTGCATATTTTTTGCATAAGCCGTGTCAAATATATAATCTAGTAATGTAAAATTTGTCATTGTAGTACTAGTAATGTAATATTATACACTATCCTGCTATGAATTGAGAAAAATGACAACTGATGGATCTTTATATTTTAATTTATTATAATTAGTGCATATTGATCTTTGCTATAAAGAATTCATTGTGATGTCAAATAGAAATTTTAATTTTAGAGATAAATTTATAGAAATGGCTTCGCCTCAAAATCGACTTCAATAAATCTTAAGTAACAAATATAAGAAGTAATGAACGCAACATTAAATGTTGACGTAATATCCGTTGCGTCATGAAACGAGCATGCGCCTTGTCATTTTCATTGGCCGATCACGATCATAGATAAAAATTACAATTATCTGCCAATATATATCGGGCCATAGCTCAAGTCTCCTTCTGTGATAAGTCTTAATAATTCAGTGGTAGTGGACTGTCTGATGTGCATTTAAGTGAAATAAAATTTAATACAACATGCTTATCAAAGAATAGTAAGTATAATTACTAAGGTTATACCTCAAGTTGCAAATATAAATCGATTTTTTCTTAATCTATCTTAAAATGCCACGGCCCGTTTCAAAATTTCACTTTATCAGCTTACTGCTATGTAGTTTTTAATGTCACAATTAGTCTCTATTTATATATTTTTAAAAGTTGATACAATTTATTGAATCAAGATGAATAGTTGACTTGACACTGACAGTTCTTCAGGTCAAGGTTTTACCAGTAGCTGGCTGGCCATTTCATGACCACTTCATAATAGAGACTTGAGGTGACGACCAACATATGTTTGGAATTATATCATACTTATGTTCTTTTTCTTTGTTTTCAGTCGTGTAACGCTTCCTCTCACAGTAGAAGAGGTGAGTCCTAAAACTGAAACTCGTTTGTTTACATAGTTAACACAGCAGTCAGTTGAAAACCTAGTATTTTTTTTTTCATAAACACTTGTAACATATATTTTTTTGCTATATGGTTATAATACAGCTGTTCTATGATTGGCCTAACCTGACAGGTTAAAGGTATCCCCTAACCAAATTTTCTTTATCTTGTATGTTTGAAGTGTTTCTCTAGTTGGTTTTTACAACATTTTGATGATGATATTAAAGTTGATACAGTGTAATCACATATTACATCTAATATATAAAATTCTCATGTTGCGGTGTTTGTTACTAAACTCCTCCGAAATGGCTTTATAGATTTTTATGAAATTTTGTGTACATATAGGGTATGTCTGAGAATCGGCCAACATCTATTTTTCATATCCTTCAATGATAAGGGTGACCCACCCCTAAATATTATATTTTTATTTTTTTGACAAAATTTTATTTTTATTTTGATTTAGTATTAAAAAATACATACAACTTCAAATTTTCATCCATTTACGATGAACTCCTGTTTTAATCGTGATTTTTATATTCCGCAATGGGGTTGCAAGGTGGCAATCATATTATATATATATATATATATATATTATATATATATATATATATATATATATATATATATATATATATATATATATACTATGAGAAAATTTTTATTGAACTAAAAAACAATATTTTCTACATTTAATGTATATGGTAAAAGAATGTTTGCCGGGTCAGCTAGTAGACTATAATAATTACACTCCATGTAACAAAAACTAGCTGACCCTGTATATATTGTTTTGTCCCCAACTGTCTCTTACCAGGTTTTTTTTTCCTTATCAACATAGAGACTATCCTATCTCTAAAATTGAAATAAACAATATAAATAAAAATTGTGGTTTTAAGTGATTTCTGATTTTTATGTATGTGTAATCTTTCATAGAGTAGTCAGAAGTATTTAGACTTGCTGTTACTATGATTGTAACATTTGATATGTCAAATATATTGGAATCTATAAGTGTAGCATATGGCAAGGGACTTTATTTATAAGGGTAATATCATGTCAACCTGTGAATATTTGCAATTTGTAAACCTACATTAACCTGTTTTACTTACTAATATTTTTGCTCATTAAGTACCTACTGATTTAAAATAGATATGTTATTTTATGTAATTGTATCTTTTTTGAGGACAACTATAGAATTTTCATTCATTTATATTAATTGGTACTTAAAGTAATAACTAATTTATTTTTACAAATCTAAAAATATTTTTATCTACTGGATGTTTTTTATCATGTCCTGATAACTGCTTTAGACATTAATTGTAATCTAATAAATATATTGTTTATGTTAGGTCACCTTAATAAATTTATTATATTTCATTATCCTTCATATACATTTCTTTTTAAAGTCTATTGAAATTTAAAATAGTTTTTGTAGTGTTCCATAAAGTATTAGGTTATACCTGCCTTTATAAATATATCTTCAGAAGATGTCTTCATAAGGTTTTTGGTTACTAAGTAGCCTCAGTTGTTTTTCATGAAACAATATTAATAAATAATATTTTTATCTAAACAAAAATAACTGCACATAACATGAATAAGTCACAAAAAATCATAAAATAACTATTCCACATATATGGCATAAAAACTGTTGTATATGGTTTGCTGCTCTGTTAGCATGGACATTAACGTTGGCATCCCGCAGGGCTCTGTGTTATCCCCAACACTGTTTTTGCTGTATATTAATGTTAACCTTTGGTAATATTAATGGTTATGCAGATGACAGCACTGGAGATGTCCATTATATGGGTTCATTATGAAGGACAATTGAGAACAGTTTGTCTGAAATTGAAAGAATGGTAGCTAGGGTCTTTGATTGGTGATGATAAAACAAAGCCCAGTTTAACTCTGCTAAGACAAGCTTACACATTCACCGCTAAAAATACCCCATTTGCTTAGCTCCTCAACTCCAGGGCACATCCCTTAACATTTCTAAAAGTATTGGGATTCTTGGTGTCGATCTCTAGTGATGTACAGTTCCATGACCAAGGGGGATAGGGATTGTTAGTAATGGAGATTAAGAATCCCATTGCTAGCAATATACTCAACCAGGTTAACCTCCTTGCGGTTTCCTCTGGAAGCTATCATGGTTAATTCCTGATAAATTCATCATGATGGGCTAACTGGCCTGTTTTCATTCTCTTCTATCACCGGCCAGCCAGCGTATCCCTTTAGCGCAGCGAGGTTACCATTCCATTTTTACCCATCAAAAAAAAAAGTTCCATGGCCACCTCGAAGATAAGGTGAAGCTGGAATCTAAAAAACTCGGTGTGCTTAAGTGTTGTGAGCGAAGTAATACTTCACGCCGGATCAACGATTAAAGCTTTATAAATCGCAAATCCGACCCCACATGGAGTATTGGTGTCACTTATGAGCGGAAGCATCTAGATACCAACTTGAAAAGAGTTCAAGCTGGTATCTAGGACTCAGTGCAACGATGTCGGTGATCCCAGGCTTACAAGCAGTATCAAACCCTTAAGTCTTAGGAGAGATTTTGCCTCACTCTGCATGTTCTACTGTTTGTACAATGGGCTGTTCTTATAGTACGAGTAATTGTTCAATATGATGCCCGCGGCCACCTTCTACCATCGTACAGCTCGTCATCAACAAGGAATTCACTCCCATACCCTCGATGATGCCTATGTATGCCTAGATGGTTGCGTACAGCGCGGTTTCAGAGATGGTTCTTGCTATGAACGCTCAGGCTATGGAATAAACTTGCTATTAAGGTTTTTCCAAGAGACTACAGCATGGGGTTCTTCAAAAAAGGGATAAAGAGGTTTTTTCAGGATCGGCTACGCGCGTGTAATGCCTCTGGTATTGTAGGTGTTCATAGGCTACGGTAACTGCTTACCATCTGGTAAGTCGTATGTTTATTTGCCACCTTTGTGATATAAACAAATGTCAACATATTTCTGAATAAATAATTTCAATAAAAATATGTTCCAGGATTGTTTATTACAAATTGACTACGCAACTGGAGAATCTAATAAATCAATTATTGTAGGTTTTTTGAGCAACGTGAAATAGCGAACAATGTGGTAGTCCACCTGATAAAGTGGTAACTGTCACATATAGACATGAACGGCATCGTAGAGATCACTGTGTTGATTCATTTATGAGGACTAAGATGTTATAACCCTGTACACTGTAATTTCATTGCTATATCCTGTCCTTAACTTAATCAGCCATGCAAGTATAGCTGCTTAGCCACAGAATCACGAGTAGGACTATTTAGACAGATAATATTTGTACAAATTCTCCTTTTTTTTATTCAACTTAGTATGGCAAACGAGCTGACGGCCCACTTGATGGAAAGTGGTAACCGTCGCCTATAGACATGAGCAGTACCATGGACATAACAAAATATACTGTTTCGCCCATGATACCCCCCATGCGTTGCCATTCCTGAGGACTCAGGTGTTATTCCTCTGTACTCTGTAAATTCACTCCTTTAGGGAGTTTCAAGACGACAATAGTAATATGTGGATAATATTACATATATTTTGCCTTGTGTATACCGTCCCGGCATAGAATACGTCACCCCTTCCTTTCCCGTGGATATCGGAAGAGTCGACTAAGGGAGGGTGAGGGATGGTTAGCAGCGTCCCTCTTAAAACATCTCTAAAGTCTAACTGCGGTTGCCAATCCGCCTTCCAAGCGTGGCAATTACTGACAAAACCTCCCAAAGGGGAAGCTTATGTTCAGCAATGGGCAGTAAAAGGCTGATATGATCATGATGATGATGATGACATATATGATATACATTGCTTTTTGGTCTCATCAATCTGTATATCCTGGTCATGCGACTGCCTCAAGTACAATCTCATATAAGTATCTTTGTAAACTGTTCATCTAAGTTTGTATATAGCTGTATTAATGTGTATATTTACTGTTAACATATAGTTAGTAATGAAAAAGATACAATTCGTTGGCATTGACAATTTGATGGTAGAATGTAGAATTTTCGTATTTTTTTAATTTTATATTTGGAGGGCTATCATGGCTATAATCAATGTAGATGCGTAATAGTTTATTATTGATAAAATCCATTGACCTCGTATTATGTAATTTGAAATTGTGTTATCTCTGTCCCATCCAGCACAGCTGTTTAGTAGTTATTTTTATCAAATTTTGTTTTGTTGATTTGACATTCAATGATTATCTTGAATAATTTAATTGCATTTACAATTTTTGAGGTAACACTCGTGCAATGTCGCAGGTGTGGTGGTGAAGGTCCTATTAAACATCTACTGTATTATATTTCTGCTTTTATTGTGCATTATGTATAATTAAGTACATATAAACAAAACATTGGGGTTATACATCAGAGGCAGAGACTATTTAGACCCATGTAATTTATTTCGCGAGCGATCACACAACTAATTACGGTTAAACATGTGATGTGAGTGGGGTTTGGAGGGCATCCACTGAGCGTCTATGCGTGCTTTTGTATATAGTCCAGATTTCGGGCATATTGTGTTTCATAGGTAAATTTGGACTATCCCGTACATCTGCTGTAGTCGTGTTTAAGAGGGGCCTAAGTAGGCAGTGCCCACGCCAGAATTCTTTAGTGCTCACCCTAAGATATGAGCGTTATAGCTCCTTTTTTAAGAGTCAAGCCCTCTCTGGAAAATAAATACGCCAACAACAGTATCTTTCAAATACCTATTTACCTGCTTGGCATCTGTGGAGACAGCAGTGAAATTAAAAATTTTTATGCCATTAAATTAATTGTTCATCGTCTGAATTATGGCTCTATCCTTATTGAGACCTCCTAAATATTTTATTTGTGCTATATGGATGATTGACTTGTACATGCCATATCTTTTAAGTGCACAATTGCCACTAAAACATATATTGACTTATAATTTTGGTAACTTAACAGAATATTTAATAATCATATTAAAATAGAGTTATAAAATAATGATCATATTTATATGTATTTTTTCAAGCTAATTCTATTTATTCATGGTATCCAAATAATTGAATGTTAATAACATTATTAGCATCGTGTCGTTAAACATTGACGTAACGATTTTTTGTACTTTGTTGGCAAATTTAGATAAAGATTAAATCAAGTAATAAAATAATATCTATTGCTTCAGATACAGTTTTATTTCCTTATGATGTTATTAATGCGTTTTCATGACTCAACCAACTCTTATGAAATTTTGCATACATATAATATTTAGGGTAGAGTACATGACCCCTTTTTAACGTAATCAATCATATGCAATATATCTTAATTATGGGAATAGTTATAATTTAGCCTAAGGTAATTGAGAAGATATTGGACTGAACACTTTCATGACTATCAATAAATATAATAAAATCATAACTGGAAGATGTTTGTAATTGGAAGATATATAAGAAATCTATTATGGGGGAAGGGGGGGGGGGCTTATGAATGCAATATAATCCAAAACAATGATTTTTTGAATTTTTGTTTGTCCGTACGTTTGTACACAGTAGTTTGTGTATATCAGTCTAAAGAATCACATATAAAATGCTAGAAAATAACTGATCAGTTGATTTGGCTGAAACCTTATGAACTTTATGATGAATTTATTAGGTACGTTATTATTATTTAAGTATATAATACAATATAAGATCGGATTCATGAATTGTTCCAATGGAAATTATATACGGGAACTATATACTCGTAGAAGCAGTCAAAGTCGCGGCTAGTTTAAAATAATTCCTATTTTAAAGTTCGATGGTATTTTCTTTATTGTAATACATTATCTTTGCTGGTTTTAAACCAAGTTTGATAAATTTTTTTACAATCATTCCATTGTTGAGCATATTAATTTTGCAAATATTGAGGAGTGCTGCATATATTTTAAATGATAGATAGGTGAAACAAAATCTTAAATTATGGATATATATATCGCATGAAGCAATCTTTATAATATTTTTTAACAAAATTATAATCCTTAAACCGTATTATACACTATTTAACAATGTTTTAACCGTATTATGTTATATAACGAAGAAGATGATAAAAAAGGCATGCTACATGGGGTTGAGGCCTTAGAAAGAGAGTCCTAAGAAAGCATATCAAACTATTAAAAATAAGTATTTTGTGAAAGCGGAAGGATGTAGATACAGAGAGAAGCCTAGACTGACTTACTATCATTCGATAGTGTACTATCTGAAGGAGCATCTCCGAAACCAATGTACATGAGACTACGGACGTGAATTGAATTTAGAATTAAATAAATTGTCTACAAATGCATATATTGCTCTATATTACTCAGGTGAAAGCGAAATCGTTAGCGATAGGTAAAACTATGAATCTATTCATGCTATAAGGGATATTGGTTATAAATTTCGTAAACCAAAAATTTTATATTATAATTTTATAATGTCGGTTATTTCGTAGTTTATCGTGCCGTGCTACGGTAAATTATAAAAGCGTACCTAAGCTTGCTTTTGACACCTGATTATCTGTCTACACCGTAAGCGACTTATCGTTGCCATAGTTAATAAAAAGTTATATTAATAAAAAATAATTTAAGTAGTATTAATAAAAAAATTCTTTGTCTACAGTACCAAGTGGCGCAGCTTTACTGCGTGGCAGAGGTATCCAAAAATGAAACCGGTGGTGGCGAAGGCATAGAGGTCATAAAGAACGAACCGTTCAAAGACTACCCACTGCTCGGTAAGTGAATTCAATTAGATTTTATTAGTTGTCTTTGTATCTGTACGAGGAGTTTAATATCATTATGATAGCTATATATGTTATACAGAATTTATAAGAACAATATAATTTAGTATTAAATTTATCACTATTATAAAAATCCAGCCTCGTAGACAAATAGGAAATGATGTAGTTTTTTCAGTCTTGGTCTTCGGTAGGAAGTACATATACGCATGCCATAAAACGTTTGCATTACTTGTCTAAAAATATATTTGTCTCTGAATAACTAACACATATAAAAGGTTGTAAATTACTTATTTTACTTCAAAATACTTGTTTTCGATCAAACATCACAGTTTCAACGATAGGTTAATAAAACTCTAATCATGTAGATTATAGTTTCACATTGTAATTTATTATAGTTTCAGCCGGTGTTTTCATAAGTTGCCAATAAATTGCTTTCTCATGCTCATATACTCATATTTAAAAACGAAGAATATCAAATATCATTGTGACCAAAGATATATGTAATATAGTAATCTGTTTTGAAAAAAATGTATTCGCTAATGACATTTTAAGTGTCCAATTTACTCTGTTTCCTCGTTGTAAAATGTACTCCACTTATCCATTCGAGTTGTTTGCTCTACATAGTAGGACTTTCAGACAGTCTCATCTTCTGAATTCTATTTCGTTATTAATGTTTCAAATTCGTTTGAATCATTTTAAAAATGATGTATGTGATGGTTACATCTAAAAATAGGCATAGTTTGTACACTAGTTTGAAATGAGTCATGGCTGTTACTAATAGGTAGATAAGATACCTACTAAGAGATTTCTATATAGTGGGTTCGTCTCAACTTTAGAAATAATAAAAAAAGTCGGAATTTGCATAGGACCAAGCCAGTCGGGTCAGTTAAGAGGTAAAAATATTATTTCTTATCTATTTTTATCAATATCATCTATCACGAATTATCAAAAGTAAGTAATTGATTGTTTAGGTATTTCTTCGTATTTTCATATTTTTTTTTTAAATTTTAATTTATTTTATTATCTTTCAATACTAAGTATAAAACAAAATCGTTCCCTGTTTAATATTAAATTTTATCGCAATTTTCTCTATCATTTGTAATCTAGGTCTAATCTGTACAATATTAAAAGTACTTCTTAATAAAGTAGATAATAGCCGAGTTTTTTAATCCAATCCAGTTGCTTATGTAATGTACTCGAGTGCAGCCAGGATGCCTTAATAGTCATTATATATATTTCAAAATTTCCTGCAAACTATATGCCAAGTTTAAAAAATATTAGATTGCGCGCTCGTTCCTATTGCCTTTTTGTTGAACGTTGTTTCGACTTCAACCTGGAAGTCATCTTCTGGGTGATATCCAATGCACGTCACTTATGTTGTTTCAACCCCAGAATTTCTAAGCATGTCGGAAGAAATTATTAGGAGTGCACAGTACACCAGTGCCAAGCCGCCTGATTATAACACGGTAGCCTTCTCCATTTATAGGATAACCATGGCCAATAGTATTAACTGGGTTGTACTATGATGGTAACACAGATATCTATATCGTAACTACTCTGTATTCGAAATCCTTTGTAAATTAAAATACAGAGTAGAACGACCTACAGACCCATGAAGTGTTTACTTGGCGACAACCTTCCATACTCATAGATATTAAGTATAGGAACTTATTAACCGGAAAATTGTTTCTTTCTCACTTCTTAAATTATTTACAAAATTGTTGTGACAATTTATAAATAATAAAGAACCTGTCTATATATACATACAACATACATACAACCTGTCTATATATATATATATATATATATATATAGACAGGTTCATCTAGATCATCCATGACTTTTGTACTTGTTCACTACGTGTTGCAGTGAAATACTAAGATAAGTAATTATAAAAAAACTATGTTATACGAGAACTTAACATGTTACTAAGTCTTTGTAGTTTTGAGATAATCATTGTTTCCTATTTTAGTCTTCGTTTATTAATTATTATTAATTTTAAAATAGTAATTTGAGAGGAAGACTTTTATTTATTATATAATGAACCTGCGGTGTGACGGTCAGAATAGGATTATATGTTAATTTTCTTTCATTTAATTTTTCATTCGAAGAGGTAAAAAGGCGACTACTTCTAAAAGTGCGGATACTACGAACGATTCAGATAACTGCGGTGTTTGCCCCACGTGCAGTAGTAATTCGGGTACAATGAACATTATCTCGTTTTTATTTCAATGTAGATGTAGTTTTTTGCAATAACTTTATTTTTATAGTCAATAATATTAAATTTATTTAGGCCACAAAGTATAAATAGATGTAGAAAGTAGGTACGATATTAGAAGCGATAGTGTTTCTTTTTTTTTAATTTTTATCTTTATCTTTGAACTTTGTATGTACTTAGAGTTGGATGGTTTTCAACGTGCACATTCCATAGGCACGCGATTACATTGTAAACAACACGTTACGTCGCTAAATCGATGCGATATATACTTGTTTTTGTTACAATATTTTTATCTTTATATAAAACGATTATCAGTCGAAAAGTGGAAGGTCCCCAGTAACGTTGATCTAAATTATAATTGATAGCTTCTCAGCTGAAATTGCAATCCGAACTGGGCAGTAGATTCATAAAAAAATTGGCTATAAGTAAATTTACTTGAATAATTTTTTTTTTTTTTATATTTATTGACAAAATTTATATTCAATTATATTTATATTTTACACTCACCACAAATATTTAATAGGTATAACAATAAAGAATTAGAACAAGAAACGAATAGAACTACAAGTCTGTTTAAAAATTAGCTTTTATAATGTAATTCATTATTTTGGAACAGCGGACATGTTACTAACTTTACCATTTTCTATTCTTCAAGCCCTTTCATGTGATAGCCATATTAAGAGTGTTAAAAAAATATACGTTATAAAATACATATTACAATGTTAAGTATTAATTGGATGTTAAGACGTGAGTTTAATTTAGCCTGCAAAATGTAACTTAAATAAATTAAGACATATCGCAAGTCAAACACAGCATAGATAAATCCTCACCCTTTCTCATTTTTTATACTAATTTTGAGACTAAGCCATGAGTGGAAGTTCACTGGAGATAATTCTAATGTAGCTTATTTTGAATTCAAAATAGATAATTAATTATGTAAAGTACCTGTATTGTTAAATTTGACAATACAATAGCTATTTTCGATATTGTTAAATTAGCATTTACCTCTAGACGCTATTACTGAATATGAAATATTTTATGTTTGCTTTATTTATATTCGTCAATTTTTATACGATGTTTCATTAAAAATTGAACGATAAAATGCATACGCATAATGTGTACATAGACTGGGTTTTTTAACCCTGAATTATAGCAATTTATATTAGACTCGTTCCGGCATAGAATAATCTACCCTTTCCCTTCCCGTGGGTGTCGTAAGAATCGACTAAGGGAGGGCGAGGGATGGGCAGCAGCGTCCCTCTTAAAACATCTCTAAAGCCTAACTGCGGTTACCAACCCGCCCGCCAAGCGTGGCAACTACTGGCAAAACCCCCTAAGGGAGAGGCTAATGTTCGGCAGTGGACAGTTTAAGGTTGATATGACTACTAGATTACTACACTGACTACGACCCGACACCGACTTTATTAACGACTAGCAGTATCCCGCGGTTTCACTTGCATGAATCAGTATATAAAGTATCCTATATACTTTTTAGAGCATATTATTAGTATTTTATATGTGATTCTTTAGATTGATATTATATATTATACTATAGTATATTGGTATACCAATACCATTCTATTAACATCAATTATAAAAAAAAAATTATAACCGCGAAATTTGACGTGAGGTCGCGCGACGTTGTCATTCTTATTGGAAAGACATACGCGGTGCTCGCTACTGTTCTGAAGATGACGTCACTCCTGTTTGATCAGTTGTCGTAATGTTTAGCTAGGTGTGGCCGATTTCAAATATGCTTTAATTCCTCACATTCAGTTAGATTATAGTGGTTTAACATAATGCTATTGTTTAAATCATCATTTGCCAACCTTTTTAGTGTTGCGACATTGCGACCTGCTAAATAGCCAAAGAGTTCGTTAAGTACATTCTGCTCCACAAAAAAACAGCAATTATATTTATTTATTTAATACTTTATTGTATACACGAATTATACATAAAAATATGACACAGGTAATTAAATGTACAAAGGCGAGCTTAAATCTTAAAGAGTTCTCTTCCAGCAAATCCAAAATGCAAAGGAACGTCAATGTCAGCGGGTAGAGCGATGTACAATATTTTAAAAATTTTCAAAGAAAAGAACCAAACAGAACTATACTTACATATAAATATATATACAGATAAATAAATATATGTTCACAAAGATAGATGATGCTCTTTAAGTCTTAAAAATATTTAGGGATTGACTCTCATGGATAAATATGGGAAGAGAATTCCAAAATCAAATTTTAATTAGCAAAACACCTATAGAGAACTTCACATTACCTATATTATTGCACTTAATATTCATATGCTTTTTAATATAATTTTTTCTTTATATACATAAAGAAAAAAATATATTAAAAAGTACATACGTACTTTAAGTCTGACTGGTAAATAAGTAATTGAACCACGTCGCCCCGGTCCTCTGGTACGTATCTTTAATTGTAACAGATATGTCAAGTAAAAAAATCAAATACTTCAATTTTAAGCAAGGCTGAGAAAAATAATACAGAAAATCCTCGGGGAACATATTTTTCGAAGGTCTCGCCTCCCTACCGCCCTGCCGCTATTGAAATATTCTAAAAATAGTCCCTTGTGATGTGAGTTCTATCTTAGTTTTCACATTTCAGCGGTAGCTGTGTCAAGCATGTCTAGTTAAATTGAGCGCTGCGCAAACAAAAGCAACATTGGTAATAAATACTTTGTTCGAGCATACAATACACGCTGAGGTGAAATAATACATAGCCGTTGTGGATGAGTTATTAGATCGCAACTCGGAATTCACATAAAAACATGAACGATAAAAATTCTTTTGTATATAAAAATAAATAAATTTATTTTTTCGTAGTGTGATGACGAAATACAGTGTCTAAGACACTTTTAATTCCTTTTTATACCCAGCCAAGATGTCCTAAAAGACAACTAGTAAACATAACATAAAAATTGATCCCGCAAAAAAAAACTACTTCAAATGGGACAAACAGTTTTGATTTAAAATTTAAACACTCTGCGCCGATTTTATTAAAATTTCTATGGGACCTATCTTTAATTATAACCTTTTAGATAAAAAAAAATTCCAAATCGATTTACAACTGGCGGAGTTATGAGGTAATAAATGTAGAACAATCGAATTGAGAGCCTCCTTTTTGAAGTCGGTTTTTGAAGTAAAAAAAACTTGAATAAACCCTACACTCAAGCTATACAATCCATACTTGTATAATTAAAAGTCAATACTATGAATATTATTATCTGTACTATAGTATTAATGTCTCAAGAGAGACACGAGCCCAGCAGTAGGACCTAGATTGTGAATCCTAGTGAACAGAGATATAAATTAATACAAAGTTTATAATAATATAAAGTTATAATTAAGTATGTTTTTTCGCAAAAAAAAAAAAAGAAATAACTACTATGTCACAAATGAAAATGCTCCACTAGGCTCGATAATAAGTGAGCCCCGTTGGAATCGCGTCCCAATAATTTTCACTAATCGAATATTTTTATCTATTATCACTAAGCAGCTTTTTTTGCGGCAAATCACTTGATTGACAACAAATAAACAAATTACCATACTGCACCTATCTAATTTGTTTTCTTGCAAATTATAATCAGTCATATTATGACACTAAATCGGCTTATGGTTGATAGGAATTGGGTACCTATTATTTATTTGATAATTAAATTGATGTTGATTTTTTGTTGATTTTTGCTGTACCGTAGAAAAGTAGGTATACTTGTATATGCATTCTTCTAATAAGTAATGACCATAATCTTATTTACTGAATTATTTTTTAACTAATTTCGAAATACTGGCTTAGAAGAACTTTATATAAAACAAATTAATCCATAGTTTTAACATTAATCGGTTCATTGTCAAGAGAAAAATAAAATTATGAATAATAATTACCTATCTAATAGGTAATTATTATTCATATTTAATACTAATTTGTTTGACATTGAAATGCAGTGCGAAAGTGTATTATACACACGTGCTAGAATAAACCTAGACAAATCTGTAATAATCAGATAAATCATGGTTTATCTAAGTGAGGAGTTAATAGTTTCCGAAACGGGCCTTAGACGAGTTATAAAAGTGGATAATGTAAAACAAAGAAGGGACGTCCATAGGGATAATGAATTTCAGAACTCGGTATCTCTGCCTACCCCGCAAGGGACTTGGCAAGACTATAAGGTATAATAACGTTTATTTTATTTATTTACACTTTATTGCAACGTTTTAAATAAGTAACCGAAATTTTTACGTTCATGTCGAATTTAAAACTATAACTAATTTTAAATTTTGTTCTTAGGTGGCAAATATTCATCTGGTCAATACACGTACAAGATCTACCATCTCGCATCTAAAGTACCGGCATTCATCCGGTTGTTGGCGCCTAAAGGGTCACTGGAGGTGCATGAAGAGGCATGGAATGCTTACCCATACTGCCGAACTGTGCTCACGGTTAGTTTTTTTTTTATTAGTGAAGATGGAATGGCAACCCTGCCTACGCTATCGGTATACGCTGGCAGGGTACCAGTGAAGAGTGACAGGTGAGGATAAAGGCAAGTCAGTTGGCCCATAGTGATCAATTGAACAAGAATTTACCACTATGGTTTCCAGGGGAACCGCGTGGAGGTCGACCTGATAGGGTATATTGCTAACAATAGCGTTGTTAAATGTCATTATTAACAATCCCTTTTCCCTGCTTACGGTTAGTTGTCAAATATGTACATACAAAAGTAGTACAAAATATTGTCTCCTATATATATATACGATACAAGATATCAAATTTTGTACTGACATACTTCGTCCTTTTTTATATAAAGACAAAAATACTAAATCCACGACTGATGTAACTAGTGTGAAAGTGTAAATAGAAAAAATTGTACAGTCCGGTAACTTCAAATTTGTACATAAATTTCATGTTCACTTCTAATCCAATATTATAAACATGAAAGCGAGTTTGTTTGTTACCTTTTGGCGCCATAACGGCTTAACCAATCGACATAAAATTTTGTATTACATAGTATTTGTAATGGAGAAGGACATAAGCTACATTTTATTTCAGTCCAGATAATTATGAAAATAACAATCAACTTACGTGTATTTTGTTGTGAACTCATGATTAAAGTTCCCGGATTGTCTCGAAACTAGTTGAGCGTTCTTAACAGAAATAGACGTAAGTCAATCCAGTTACTTATACAAATAAAATATGGTCACTGTGATGTTACGTAATGAACTCTAACCTAAAAACCAGTTCTATATTTGTAATTTATTCAAATCATATTTTTTTATGAGAGTATGAAGCCTCAATCTACTGACACAGAATTTGGTTTGCCTTCAGAAATGGAATTGTCTGGCGTATCAATATTTTGTGCCAAATGAAGAATTATTTTGGGGTTTGTGACATAAAAAAAAATCCCGCAGTTTTTTGTTTTAATTTATAGTTCATTAAAAATAATTTGAACTTATGATTTTTTAGCAAATTTATTTGGTATTAAATACACAATAATCGAAACCTTTGTGGTGATGAACGTTACAAAATAGGATATTTAAAAATACTCCTTTTTTAAATGTATAACCCTGCAATGGCAATTCTTACTGTCGGAAGGATTATTAATGTTTCAATCTACTATTTAAAAACGAAATATCGATTAAACTTTTTTAAATAAATATTTTGATAAATGTTAACACCAAACATCTTTTATGATATATAACTATTTTTTTTTATTTTCACGTGAGGTAATGTATCGTACATAATGTCCAACATACAATGAAATATATTCTAAAATTATTGCAGAACCCGGGTTACATGAAGGAGAACTTCGTCATTTGTATAGAGTCCTTACATTTACCAGACAGCGGGGATCAGCAAAATGTAAGTTATAATATTTTTTTTACATTAAAAGCACTCCACTCTCTACTACAAACACTACCACATATTTGTTTAAATGTGAGCTTCATCTAATAATTTATTAAGGCCATCATAATAACATAAGTCCAAAAAACTAACCACGTTATATCTATGTCTATCGCATATTGCAAAATGCACATTTTGCAAGGTATAGTCTTTAACAGAATTCAGTGATATAGTGATGAAATTGAATAATTTCATCCATAAATAATACAGTGAAATGAATGTTATAGGGTAATAACAGATTTTTTAATTTTTAATTCCATAATCTAATTAATAATAATGTATAACCTTCTAAGAAAGGTTTATCACTTAAAAGATTTGAGAACTAATTAATATGCTCTATGTTTACCTCTAAGTTCAAGGAGAAGTAATGAGAGGTATCCGAACTTTTAAGCCAACCAAGTGGTCACTTACGTCACCTTATGACACGAAGATCTGATGTCAATCATAGTATCATTAAAAACCATCATAGGAAACGTTTAAAAATTACATTAATACTTTTATTACTATAATATTATTCTAAGTTAACACACTGAGACTTTAAACGAAAAATATGTTGAAAAACTATAAAAGAAGCCTACCGCAATGATGATACGCAACGCCCGGCTGTCAATATAGTACAAGAAGTTTTTTCTTATCATTTTTTGAATTTTGTTGTCATTCTGTATAAATAATTTATCTATATACCAGTATATGCTCAAAATATCCTTAGCGACGGAATAACCACAGGGAACATCAAATGTCTACAATTTTTATCTTCACATTTGCTTCTTTGATATTACAAGTCCTGGTTCAATATTAGTATTTGACTCATTCCACGCAGAATAAAGTTAACTCTCAGTTAACATATAATTAGCGTATTCGTCAGTTAAAAACATTTGATTAATATCAATTCACGAAAAATCAGAAACTGTTTAGTGGTTTAAACTTTAGTTACGAATACAGATTACTTGTAGTTGTCTTGTGTAACTCATCTGTCCCTTTAGATAATGTACACGAGACTTCTTTCGCCAAGAAAGAAGAAAGACACAAGAATTTTTTTAATAGATGGTATCTCTGCCTGCTCTATTGGTTTACGCCAACCCTTGACACCTATCGTTGGGATAAAAATTGTACTTTCAAGTTTGAGCAAATAATATACATTTACAAAATTTCATTAAAATCGCTGAAACGATTTAGGACATTACCGTGAACTAACATCGCCACATGGGAGTTTTATACATTCAGATTATTTCAGTCACGATTTTGCACGGTCTTGAAAAGAAAATACCGATATTACACGATGATAATATAGTTTTATATAGGCGAAAGGCTATTCTAAATTGGTTAATTATTTTTATTCGTTAGGAAAAAAGACTCAAATATTTCCTTTTTATAATTTATATATTACATTTGTTACACCTAAGAAATAGTAATTTTTCATTCGCAGAATTAAGATCTACAACTAGATCAGTCGGTAATTAATTTTAATTTTTAACTAAAAATATAGCAAAAACACATATGTTTAATATCTTATTAATCCATAGGTATTGGTAAGCAGATATCGTAACATAATTATCGTAACGTTATCAATGTATGTAGGTAAAATTATTTTCGTAGTCTTTCTGTGTATAACCAAAGTTCAAAGTAAAAATAGCGAATCTCATTCTTTATAGAATAAAAATGAAATGAAACCTATTAGGGATAATAGATAAGGATGAAGTCACGTTAAATGGCACATCGTGACGAATTCATCAGGAAGTAAGCACGTTTCCCAGAGGAACCGTAGCGAGGTCTACTTGACAAGGTATATTGCTAGCAATGGGGATTAACGTTGCCATTACTAGTAGTCCCTCCTTCCCGGAAACATATCGATGAAAAATTGTAAATTGTCGTTGTATGGGTTTAATCGGTCGATAACGTTATCTTTAAAATATCTAAAAGAAAATATTATCAGGTTTAAAATATACATTATAAAATTTTGGCCTTCTGATATAGTGATAAACAAAGGTAAACATTAGATAATATTTTTCTATAATACCTACCTACACGATGTACTTAATGTTGTAATTATGAAAGTGTCTATTTACTTATTAAATACTGTTTTACACGATTAACTTAAAATTAATTACTGGACAATTTTATATTAATTTATTATATTATAGATATTGATTTTTGTTTAGCGGGCTAATATCGCTTAAATTTCATCTGTGTAATTAAAAACGAATGTTTGTACGTTTGTCCTTTATTTGTTCTTAAACCATTCATCCGATTTGATGAAACTTTGGTAGATTCTGGGTTGTTTTCCATACATATTATCGTTACCACACACCAAATATTATTCCAAATTATACTAATCAAAGGAGCGTATATATATTTCAAATAATGCTACCAATACTCGTATGAGGTTAAACACATAATTTACACTGATAACCAAGTTAAATGTAACGTGGGTCAACTAGTAAATAATAAATAATTCAGTCCATAGACTAGTCATCTGGCTCTCAAACTAGGCTACCCTGTGTTATGACACTTTAGACTACGAACCAAAAACATCAAAATCCGAATCAGTTTAGAATAATTTATTTTCTAAGTGTAGTGAAACGGAATATTTGAGAAACTTTGTACAAAAGTCGTTTGTTTAGGTACCTCTGTTCCATTCGTGTTTTTTTTTTAGCAACTGTGCAGATGTATGTATTCTGTAATGTCAATGGCGCTGTTCATGTCTATAGATTGCCGCGGTCCATCAAGCCATTTGCTATTCTAAGTTACATTAGAAAAAAATAATAGTAAATCACTACTCAATGTATGCACTGACTATATCTATATATATAGGTATATTATGATGTTATTTCTATTCAACTACAAGGGGGTTACCTATATTTTTCATCTTAATCTTTTTATCAATTCGGTATTATTGAATTAATTAATTATTCATATCATATAAATTAGTTGGAATTTAATCAATGATGTATTGTTGGATTTATGATCTAACTGTTTTAAGATTGATAATAATAATAATAGAGAAAATGTAAGGAAATAGCATTGTGGAATATTTTTCTACTTTTCCAAAATGCTATGACCATAGATTAAAGATAGTACATTCTATTTCTACAGGTATGATAATAAAATATTTGAAAAGAATTGATAGGTCATGTAACATTTATTGCAGATAAATTTGAAATAGTAACTAAACTAACTAAATACACAACGTTTTTTTTTTTAATACAACATAGAATGGCAAACAAGCTGACGGCCCACCTGATGGAAACCGTCAGTGGTAACCGTCGCCCATAGACATGAGCAGTACCATGGACATAACAGAGTATACTGTTTCGCCCATGATACCCCCCATGCGTTGCCATTCCTAAGGACTCAGGTGTTATTCCTTTATACCTCAGTATTTTGTCTTTATCGCGGCAAGACCTCCTTTTTAATATTCAATCAAGTAAGCTCATTTCTTCGAGAGTAAAGTAAATTTTGTGTCTACTGCGATATTTTGTATGACACAAACATATCAATAATAGTTACTAAGTACCTTTGTGGATCTTGAACCTAATAATTACGTTGTTTTGTACTTACACAACGTTCTAGCAAGGTCGACGTTAACATAATTAATACTTGTCTCTAGTACTCATTAAAAAAGAAATAGCTAACGGTATTGCAATTTCCGCAATGCCCCAAGATGCTTCTCATAAATAATAATCAAAACTTCATAAATTAATTTGTACTGACATTTTTATATTTCTTTGATTAAAAAAAAAACACTAAAGCATTGCTCCGTCATGACAGCAATATACCTATGTATAAAACCATAAAAAAAAAATATGGGTGAAGATGGAACGGTAAACGGCGCCTGCGCTATCGGTATACACTACCAGTATACGGGTATCAGTGAAGTACAGGTGAGGATAAAGACAGGTCAGTTGGCTCATAGTGACCAATTGAACAAGAATTAACCACTATGGTTTTCAAGGGGAACCGCGTGGAGATCGACCTGACAGGGTGTATTGCTAGCAATGGGGCTGTTAAATCTCATTACTAATAATCCCTTTCCCCTCAAAATCATATACTGTAGATAATACCTGGCATTCTCTTTCTACATATAAAACGGTAGCTATTTTAATTTAACTATCACAAATGGGGTAGTTTTTTTTTTTAATGGATGGTAATGAAATGGTAACTTCGTCTGCGCTATTGGTATATACTGGCGGGGGATTAGTAAAAAATGATAAGTGTGGGTGGAAACAGGTCAATTGGCCCATCGTTACGAATATAACAATAATTAACCACATCCAAGGGGAACCTCGTACATGGGGGTCGATTTAATAGGGTATATGCCTTATGGTTTGTAAGTAACAGGAATTACCGCGATCATTTAGTTAAATTGTGGTATGGTAGAAGAAAAAACTGCCTCGAAGGCGGAGATTTAACAGCGTTACATCAGTCTACTCGTGACTATTCAGGTAAATTAACGTCGAAATAATTCACGTTAATTCTCGTCACAGTGACGTGCTGTGTAGTAAGATGCCTTAATTTGTTACACTCAATTATATACACCGTATAATGTATATAATCATCCTAATATAAAGAATAGAACAATAGAAACTAAATATAATTTAATATCGTAACTCTACGCCTAGTATAGTAGTAGTAAACATCCAAGGTCCAAATTCTTAAGTGATTAGCTATTGCAATTTGTTTTAAATGTAATTAAACGATAAGGATATGACAAAAGACTAAATAATTAATTTATTAATACCAACGTTTTGTTGTTTTAGGCGAGTAATTATACAGATAAATAGGGTCCATATTAAAAGACAATAATATATTTATAAAGAATCATTAGTCACATGATCACTTTTCTCTACAACCCCATAGTCTATATCTAATTATTTCCCAGAGAATTTCATTGGTTTTAGTTGTAATCATCTCACGGTAAGGATGATGATAAAGTTCTTTAATGGTTGCGTGCGATTATAAGGATTTTCCTACGCGATAAAGTTTCAATATAAGTTTCCTGTAATAGTTTATTAAAAAAAAATGAAGTTTCTTTGTAAAGTCGGCGTAACACATTTGACAAAGTTAGTTCCAGTTATTAATAAGCTTCGATACCATTTAGATCAAATGGGTCGTATACTTTATTATATTTACATTAGTACATTTGCGATAAAAATAATCTATGTGTTACAATATGTAATTAATTTATTAATTAGTAATCAAACAAATAGCGGAAATATCATTTAAACACTATTTAATTTATTTAAAATCATTATAAATTTTATTTAGATTATTATTATTCATTTCCTAATATTGGTCATGTTTGTTTACACAAAGTAGCATGTACTTTGTAATCCACCTAGAAGAATAAATGATTTGTCTAGGTCAGTGTGTGTTTGTGTTATGTTTATATATTTTATATATATCATAGACACACATACATTATCAAATTGTTGTTATTTGTTTGCTAGAAACACTTCATAAATTATAAAACTAGCTAATTCTTGCAAAAGTTTTCTTCCCTACCGTCAACCTATAAGCTCGATAGGAGTAAAAGCTATCCTATCAATGCATATTTACAGCACTTAAAATCTGTTATACGCTTTTAGAGATTAGCGTGAATCACAAATAATATAATACTATACTAGTAGTGTGAACGCACATCGTGACATGGGATTTTTATATATTAAGATATATTTATTTTATAGGTCCATGAACTGCCACCAGAGAAACTAAAAGCACGCGAAGTTGTGAATATTGACATCGCAAACGACCCGCTCCCGTCCGCTGACTACAAGGCCGAGACCGACCCTACCAAATTCAAGTCCGTGAAGACCGGCCGCGGGCCCCTGGTCGGCCCCAACTGGAAGAAAGAAGTGAAGCCGGTTATGACCTGCTACAAACTCGTCACCGCCGAGTTCAAGTGGTTCGCCTTCTGGACAAAATCCTGAGGTACGAAGAACATTTGTTAGCCTAGAAACTATATCTTCAAGCGAATCTGGTGGCGTTTTTGCTAATCCGTAGAATTTTGGTTTACCTGCTCCTTTTCCTCCTATTCCTTTATTGGTTTTATCCTTTTTAACAGCCCGAAGTCGTGTTCCCATCCTCTTTTCTACGTGACCCACACATTCTTTTTTTGTTACCGCAGTATCTCCATACGGTTTAGTATCTAGGATCCCCTTGAAAGTTTTGCTGTCACGTTATAAAATGCTTTATGTACTCCGATCAACGTATTCTAAAGGATTTGTTTTTTTTTTTTTCCACAAATTACATCCACCACAAAAACTACTCATGACCATGACATCTAAAACTTTCCCAGTGTACTTGCCGATCAACGTAGATATGAAAAGCCTAAGTACCGTCACCTGACACAGTCAATTCATCCTGTGGTTTTCCTGATTTTTCATTCATAGTTTTTTCTTGCGTAACAGCGAATGCCAATAAAGTATCACACAGTGAAGATGTAGCAATATGAATGTTTTCCAGTAGTGCAGTATAAGTAGAATTTGCAACACCCGAACACATGTCCATAAAGCTACAGAAAAGATTTACTCCTTCTTGACCAACTCCCAATAATCGCATCGCAAATACAAACCGACGATTAACCTCAAATGCATTTCCGATAACGGGCCTGAGTTTATAACTGTCTGTTTTTCATACACGATAAAATAATAAAGCCTATAATTGATCGCGAAATAGACACGTCACTTTTACAAGTTTTACATATAACTATTTCAGAGATTGCAGCAAATACAGAAACAAACTCCAAAATGCAATATGCGAAATTCGAAATGGGAACCTCCATGTTCATGTTATTTTTAAGTTTATTGGCCGAAGCTGATGTAAATACCGTATCATTTTGGTGGGTAAAACGGTTTCCACTAAACTTTCTTTTTTTACTACGACCAGGATGAACATTTTCACTCGTACTTCCTTTCCGTCCACTCATTATGAAAAAAAATAATTTGTAGCTGTTGATCTCTTCGAAGTTCAACCAATACTAAAATAACTTCGGGAAAATATTATAACAATAGAAATTTCATGTCTAATAATATATATATAAATAAATTTTGACATTTAAAAAAACCGCTCTTCCTTTTACCTGCTGTATCTTTAAAACGACTTCGAATTTTCTAAAATCGCTTTACTACCGTATTCTAGACATGTTAAGGGAGCAATTTATGAAAAAAAAAAAATCGATTTTTTCAACCCATCACATAGGAAGACCCCCTTAAAAAATCGTAAAGGAAATAATGTAACATACCTAAATATTAAAGACAAATTTATATTTATTTATGCCTCTTGTCTATTAATTTACTTTTACAATAGACATTGTTTATCATGTAATTAAAATTCATAATAGTCCTTAATATGATAATAGCTATTTGTAATTATCATTACAAGTATGACGTTGTTTTTCTTTTAACTAGTATATATTCTATTTCAGAGTAAAGTAGAAAACGTTATTCAGAAGTCGGAACGGCGGTTGTTCACCATTTTCCATAGGTTTGTATTATTTATTTGTATAAAACAAAATATCTCAAATGTGTGTGAAAGTGGTAACCGTCGCCTATAGACATGAGCAGTACCATGGACATAACAGAGTATACTGTTTCGCCCATTATACCCCCCATGCGTTGCCATTCCTGAGAACTCAGGTATTATTCCTCTGTACCTTGTAAATTCACACCACCCTTCAAACTGAAACACAGACATTCAAATACAACTGCTTTACGATTGAAACACGAATGGGACAGAGGTACCTAAGCAAAGGACTTTTGTACATATGCATATAGTCAAAAGTCAACATACATTAAAAAAAATCATAACTATTAAGGCATAGTCATTGACCTTGCATGCACGCACTTTTATAGGACAATAAAGAATAAATAAAACTATTAATTTCAGGCAAGTGTTCTGTTCGATGGACGACTGGCATGGCATGACCATGGCCGACATCCGAGCCATTGAGGATCGCACCAAGGAGGAACTTGAAAAGTTGCGTCGCGAAGGTGAAGTCCGCGGCATGCGTGCTGACAACGACTAAACGTGCGTGCGTATGTGTGCGTGCATGCGTACTTGTGTGCGAGTAGGTGTCGGGCGCGGGCCATAGAATACGCTCAGTAAACATTTATAGCGTCAATATTATAAAATGCATTTCAGATTTTTTGTAAATATTTGTTCAAGTTGATATGTAAACAGCGTTATCTCCATTGTCCTTTAATTCTCATTCCTAAAGGAGATATGCTATATAGTGAGGTTTGTTTATGCGTCGATGGACGATGTCCAAACTAAACATTTTTTTTTATAAACTTCGTAATAAAAGCAATACTTGTTATGAGATCCGCGCTCGACTCATTTCCTTCTCACGCTCACACAAATGCCCTAGCCTCTGATAAACAAATATACAAATCAATATTGGATATTAATGTTAAACGTTATTTCATCAATTCTCATAATTAAGTATGTATGTAATTGAAAATGTGTTCTCATAATTCATTGGACAAAGTAAATCAAATTATTACTTATGACTGCTGGCAGTCTGTTTACTGACGATTTCAAAAATAAGATTAAAATGGATAAAACTTAAAAAAAAAATCTTGTAAACACTTAGATAAAATCACAACAGACTAGTTAGAGGCGGGGGTATAGATTACCATTAGTTTAAAATAAAGAGATGTGGTATAGATACTATTTAAATGAATAACTAAATAAGTTGATGTAGTCAGTGGTTAACAGGTAGTGTTGTCGTTACATAAAAATAATTCGTTTTGACAACTACTCATTATCAACGAGAATTGGTGGAAATATTTGGCATCTAGGCCGGATTTTTAAATATTTCACTGTGTAATATTCTGTTAGTCGATCTAACCAGCCTAGACGGCGTTTTGGCTCTTGTGTATTTTGTAATAAATAAACATATATGTATAAGTAATTTTGCGCAATAGTAACCAATTAGTACTGGCACGAATGTAACTAGGAAGAAAAATTATTGGTGCAATATATTTTATCAATGGCAACCCAAGAGATGCGTACAGGTTGATATAGTAGTTGGGAGTGTTGCAAAATGAATATTTATTAACCTCTATGTGGTTTGTGGGCGGTGGTTGTTTTTTAGTAAAGTTATTATTGGGACTATAGTTTATTTATTAAGGAGTTGTTCAATTTGCAACACACTCAGGTGATTCATGTATAATAATTATTGATAAGTTTTGTTATTTAACAAATCAGTATTTTAATATTTGTGTGACATTCCAGATACAATACCAATAATGTATAACATTAATGAACATTTTAGGTTGATTTGCTATTTCATCTATTTTTTCTTTTTATTTTTAATAGCTCTCTGTGTTATATTGGATATTATGCAGCAATATGCATAAATCAAATGATACAATTATATATCAGTACAATCTATGTTATGCAATTAGTTTTATGTGGATTCCCCTCACATTTATTGTAATGAAGTCAGTAACTACAATTTTGTATTTAATGTTCCTCCATTTTAACCATTGCGTTACTTCTTATCGCGAATGTATTTATATGCTTCTGCGTTGCTCAAAATTCTTGGAGGGAGTGCTGTTATGATGTTGGAATTTCGTATATGTGGCTACTAGTCCTCTCCAAGAGTTCTGTTCGACGCTTTTTTTATTTTTGCTTAATTATTTGCACATGTTTTTAAGTTTTTTTTTTTTACTTGTTGTAATAAGTTATACATCAAATACAGCGTGATATACATATTTCAGAGTAGTCTTTTATTAGTAGATTATGTAGTAAATTGTTCGCAACCCGCTTTTAGCATTGCCTAGAGCTTGTGATTTGGTGTTTTTTTTTACAATTTTTTTTTAATACTTGAGCATTTAAAGTACTTAATGACCATATGATCACTAAAACTAGCACAATTTTATCTCCTATTTAGGCATTATAGTGAGATATTTATCCTTACATGATAAATTAAAAAAGAATTCTTCCCAGTCTAATGACAATATTTTTTTGTAGTTTGTCTTGGACCAAATAAAATCTTTGATGAAAACTGACGATTGATTTTAGTAGCTAAATTTGAGCTGTTTATATTACAAGATGGTAATATAACATGTTATTGAACAATTGTTAAAGCTTATTTGTAGCAGTTACCAAATAAAATTAAGTACACTGGATGATTGTTTATTTTTTGGAATTCCTTCAATTAATTCCTTCGTGTATTTTGTTTTATTTAATATGTGTTGATGTATGAGTGCACGTTTCGCATAATTTACTTTTACATGCTTATTATTACTTATTTTTCGTCCAGCGGATGTAAGATCAGTATTCTGTAGAGATATATGTCCATAGCACACTGTATGGTATTGGAGAAATTGAATATATATAAAATACCTATAGAGCGCTAAAATTGTCAATTTTAAAATGTTTAGCTATTTAAAATTTTGAAAGTTCTCGCATTGAAATGTAAGTATAATAATGTAATAAATAACATTTGTTGTAAAATGTACTATGAGTATTTTGAGGCCAACAGAAATAAAATTAATTTAATCTGTTTCGATTTGTTTGGTTTATAGACTAGTTGATATTTTAGCACCTCCATACTTCGAACACATTCGATATACAAAGTAAAAACAAACTTACGAGTTTCAATAGGATTGGTCATTTATTGCATTTCAGTTAAAAAGATAATTTTCATTTTTGAAATGAATAACTTATGCTAGCCGAAAGAATTGAAAATACAAAACATAATTGTATATCGGAACAATATTAGGCGATACAACTTTAAAAAAAATTAAATGAGGCGTGGAAGCGCAACAATATATCACAGAACAGGCTTTCAATAGGAGATTAAGGAATATAACAATAAAATCTCGACTAGGTGGCGTCTAAACCAAATGTGACCTTATTATTAATACACATTTCCATTCATTACCTAAATAACTGTTCAGATTTCTATATCATGACGTTATTTATACATTTGTACATATGAGCACATTGCATCAAGAATGCGGAAGCACTCGTTAATTACCTTTCGTGTTAAGAGGATCGTTTGAATTAAGAATAACCTATCGAAATTGGTACAATTTTAGAAATTCTTAAATATAATTTACATTATGTATTAAAAGTGACTGCAGTGCATAAAAACAATTATGGAATAACATGGAAATTAATCGACAACAAAAAATATGTATTCATTTTAAAAAATAAATTTCATAACACACATAGTATTCGCCGTTAAATCTAAAGTGCCCGTGATAGGAATCTAATTACCTATATGATGTTCCATCTATAGTTTTCATGTACTACAGGTGATGGTATACTCCACGGCCACTTTTTATATGAGAATCAACTATAGAGAAACTTGGCAATTGTACAAATCATTGCGGTAGCCAAATACATTATACACATTTGTATTACAAGTTAGTGTGGTCAAAACCAGCAACAGTAACTACATAGGGATGAGTCGATGACTGGACTTGGCCTAATCATAGACTGCCATAATAATCGTCAGCGACAAATGAAATGTAAATGGAAACTATATTTATTAATCAGTAATCTTGCACAAATTTCATACTTGCTAGTGTAACCGGTGCCTTTTCAGAAGTATGGCGCATGAGTCGAACACTAATCTATACATACTCGGTATTTCATGAAGCTCATACCGATACTAGTCTAGTCAATTTACTAAGTTGTACGATTGTCACAGATGTCAATGTATATTTCTATAACCGTGTGATAATATTTAAACACATGAATGACTCGGGACAGTATTTTTTTCTTTACAAATTTTGCATCAAGTGTGATACATAGGTACAGTTTTGATCTTTATAATGTCTATTTATTTATTTGGATTCAGAAATCGTTCAAAATATTTCATATATATATATATATATAGTTGTATAAATATTACCATTCCTAGGTACATCAATTTGAACTTTTGACATTATAATACTTAGAAACATTGTATTATTTACATAACCAATTGAATAATATAACTTATATCTATTTACAATTTTAGTGGGGTGGGTTGGGAAAAGTAAAATATAATTTAAAAAAAAAAAACATTAAGCAGACATTACTCCAGATATTACTTCTTGATACCTGATGCCTACAAACAGACATAATATGTAACACTTATTTGTTAATGTACCACTTATAAAAGGATTTTTGAAGGCTCACCTAATAATTTAAAATTGTTTTCTATGAAAAATAGCGTCTTCAATCTTGGAAAAATAAATTAAAATTTATTTCAAAATTGAGATATTTTGTTTTAAAAACTAAATTATTGAATCGATTTTGATAAAATGTCTATGAGACCATTCTAAAAGTATATCTTTTCAGAAAAAAAAGTAATTGGAGAAAGACTCCAACAAATTAAGAACCCCTTTTTTTTAAATTGTTAAAAACAAATGGACCAAATAGAAATGTCGATACTCTATTCAGAACTGTACGACTCAATATCATTTGAGAAATTTCTTTATAAATCTACAATAACACTTCTACTTTTAGGGGAGCCTTCTAAAACAATGTTTTTAGAAATTATAAAGGTACATTGTAATAACAATACAACAATAGGTGATAATTGCATTTTAGTAGTTACTTTGCATTCCGTTAGGTAACAATTTGTGTTACACATACTATTACGATGGGATATAGCGTTGAAGAAACGCTATACACCATCTCATCATCACCAGCAACACTCTCCGTATTTAAATTTTAGTTGAAATAAATTGTCTATATGTTCACATCTCGATCTACGTATGGTAGATAAAAAAATACAATAATAAATATAAACAATAAAATACAATAAAAGTACAAAGTTTTCAGTCTCCATACTTTTTAAAATACTTAATTTATGCTTGACTCACTTTTAAAACTAAATATTTACATACTTGTTTACCAACTAAATAACAACAAAATTAATACATAATTATATCGGTGCCAATTCAATTGCAGCGGTTGGTAGACTCTTTAATGAGATTAAAATTTATAAAAAAATATATATTTGTAACTTACATAATTATAAAACGAACAACAGTTTTTAAGTTAGACCTTCAGGATCACAATTGTGAAAACAGCATTAAATTCGGACAATATTTTTTTTGTGTGATGCAAAAAAATATTGTAGGAACATGCAAAAAAAAATGTCTATTATTGCAACTTTAAAACTCCTTATATTTTTTCTGATGTATCTTTCAGACATCGTTTACCTACAATTTTATTATAGTAATAATATATTTTAACGAAATATTAAAATGAAATTATTACGAAATGGCACCAATTTAACACCTATGTTAAAATTAATTTCATATTATGGCACATAAGAATTGACACCAAATAACTGAATAATTGAATTATAAACCAAATATAGCGTTATTTTTATAAGAACTCATGTGACTGAAACCTCCATGAGCCCCTTTTCGTTCTTTAACAGTTCTGTTTCCTTGACTGACTCAACTTCTTGCTAATGAGTTGCTATTTAAAAAAGCTACAACATCATTTGTATTAGTAGTTTTACTTTATCTTCTATGTGACATAGTATTCAATCATCAACCTCTAATTCAAGCTCAATGTCGGCGAGGCTGATTCGTCTTAATGTATTGATTATCATGTAACGGGAGAAGGCAACATATAGATATCTGAACCACACCATCTGGGACTTGTGCCGTTTCATAGCACGAATAACGCGACGGCTTTCTGTCCATCGAAGGAAGTACCTATAACAGTCAAATTTGGTTTCCTTAAATACACGGACTATAGTCATTTTGACTACGTATAACCTTTTGTGTACCCTGTACTCAAATATGTGCTCAACTATTTAAGTGTAGGGTGGGGTGGGGGATAACCACTCCAGGATGTAAGTGGATTTTAGAGGTATACGGAAAGACATTTCTTAGCGAATTTAAACATGTGGGAAAACAAGGCAAACGTATAAGTAAGTTTTAATTATAGACAAAATCGGGACCATCTGTGCAAGTCATATTGAACTATATGTTTAATTAAACCAATTGTACCTACATACAATTTTGATATTGACATGTAAAAAGTTAATATCTGCATTAATTTATGAAATTTTGTGATATTGAGATAAAACAATGTCACATTCCTTTCAATTCAGTGGAGTAATTACAGTACTAGTTACAGTTTATTTTAAACAGGCGAGGTGGGTGGCTAGATTTTTTTTATAAATTTCTTAGTTTAAAATCCAATACAGAATATTTTTCATTTAATAAATAATAAAGGATAGTAATGTTTATAGACAAGGTAGTAGAATCTATTGAGATCTGAGGGCCTACCATGAAGTGTTTTCCGAAATTTCGGGTCCGAACGAAACAAAAGTTTGATGTTAAAATTATATAATACATACTGTTTAAAAAGATTTAAAATGTTAAAATACTATTTCTTTGGACTTTTATGGTAGAATTTATTAACATGTAAAGATGTACAAAATGTAAAGGCCCATTTACGGGGCCGATTTTGGTATGAACAAAACCACGAAATTGAGTCAGAAAATTTGGAATTACATTACATGGTAGACCAACTGTACTCTTAATAATATTAATGAACATTTTATATATTTAAATATTACCTCTTGGAAGACAATACAAAGCTAAGTGGTAAATCTAAAAATCCCAGGTACTTTCTCAGTATATTTACAGAGTCTAATGTGTAGACTGTACATTCTGAAACACAATAATTTGCATAGTTATAAATATTGCAAATAATGTGAATACATTATTTGTAGATAAAAATACTGAGATTCATTCTAAAGTGACATATTTTATCTTTAAACTAAAATTTCGATTTAATAATAATCAGCAAAATTATTACTGTAAAAATCAGTATTTATAATTTTACAGATTTGAATCAATTTTTAAAATTTAATTCTTGATGGTCCATAACATAAAATTTTGCTAAAATATTAAAGATTAGTTTAGAGAATTACACTTTAAAATCCATCCCAAAACCTAGTTTTATGAATTATAAATTTATTATACAATTATAATTTTTCAAAACAAAAAAAAAATATTGGTGACAATAAGTCACAGAGAAAATTGTAATGATAGTTTAAAGTTAATGAGGACACTATTGGTGAGTAATTTTTAATTTATTAATATATTTAATTCTGAAAAGACCACATTCATTACTTACTTTTGGGCATTAATTTCTCAACAAACATATAAGCCACAGCATAGAAAACTGCTGAATGATTTACATGAGAGGACACACCTCCTCTATCAAATGTAACTAGGGTGTCTACATCTAATTTTTCTAACTCATGTTGAATCAATTTAGCTATTACTGGTACAGGCCACTGAGCTTTTGGATCATCCTGTAATCTTGTGTCATTAATTAGACAAATATTCCTATCTGGTAAACCAAGCTCCTCACATGCACTCCACAATTCCAGTCTTCTAATATTGCCTTTACCTTCATAATTACCTAAAACATTAATACTCAAAGTTATCACATAAGTAATATTGTGAGTTAAATTTAACAAGATAATTATGGATATTTAAAAATTTGTGTTTAATAAAAAATAGTAACTTTCCAAACACACAAAACAATTCAAGTTATCAGAAGGCTTTATATACAAATTGTTTACTTATTTTTACTGCCAGACAGCTGTGTTTATCTTATAATATCATTATAACATAAAGGGGAGGGAAGCATAACATGTTTGCTCTTAGACAATGCATGAGGCATATGATGGTGATGATGTATCATGTTGGTTATTTTCAATCTGGTGGGCTTTCAGATTGTTTGCTATTCTCAGTTACTTATAAACTGATAAATGTTAAATTTTTTTGCCAAATAATAGTTGTCTGTATATGTATACTTATTAAGTATAAGTATACAGTACAGTAGGGAAAATCATTAATAGTACATACCATTAGATAAACACAGCAAATAAACATCAGCACCCTGTTCACATAATCTGAAAATTGTGGGACCGAAGAACATGCACTCGTCATCTGGATGTGCAATCACTATTAAAACTCTTTTTGCCCTAAGGGAGCCACGAGTACGAGTCGGTAACCTCCTGGCATACCGACGATATACAAGACAACACACTAACAAATAACCCACTATCCATAAACTTATATAAAATGCAAAATTTCTGAAATATAACAGCGTTTCTGCTACAAATTTCAAATAAAAACTATAAAGATATTCTAAATCGTGTTGAGAGGAGAGTAACATTGCGGATAGTAATTACTTTTTATTTATTTAAATGTTATTAATTCCGTCATTGGTGTATGACAATAACATGATTTAGTTACACATTCAAATATTGTAAAAAAAAAAAGCTATTTTCAATTAATGTAGAATAAATAAGGATTTCTAAACATTTTGGGTGATTCTATTTTTGTTCTTTTTTTGGTTGAAAATTGTTATCAGTAGATTTACATGACATACTTGTGACCACAGATTACAGAAATTAGTTGTCACTTGTAATGTCAATAGTCAATCCTAATTATGTCAAGATGAATGACATTGAAGAAGAAAGACGCTGCTGCCCATCCCTCGCTCTCCTTAGTCGGCATTTACGATACTAACGCAAAATAAAGGAGTCTCCAATTCTATGCCGGGACCATACAGGAACACAGTTTAATATATATGATATCTATCTTCAAAACAATAATAACTGAGTTTTTGAGAGAATTTTTTACTCGTGTATTTAAAGCAACTTATTAATAGCAGACTAAAGTATTAACAAACAAGCTGCAGCATATACTATTTTGCTATTTGATAGCCCACCTCACTACTAGTGATAAGTATCACTTTATGACAAATTTAGAATTTTGCAGTTGGCAATTCTTGGGAATGTTGTCATTGTCACTGTCACGTTACTGTCATGCAGCATTGCCAGGTTGGGTATTTATTTCTTAATTTTGGGGGAAAAAAAATCTAATCGCACAATTTTAGAAAAATAAGATTCATGGAAAATGTTTTGGAAAAAGTGAAATGGGCTTGGAAAATTTGAGTATTTTTTTAGAAATTTTAGGTAATATTTTTAGTACTTGTAAACTCAGTACAGTTATATAAGATGCACGATTACAGTAAATATATTACTGATGTAAAGGAGAGTGAAAAGTGAAAACATATCACAACGTGTCATATGGCAAAATGTATTAAATAACGTTATAATTTTGTGATAGGTTAAAAATCCTAAAATACATATCAATTTGGAGAAAAAAATATTTGACGTTGAGGTAAAAATTAAAATTCTCATCTGGCAACCCTACTCTGCAAGTGTCATTTCAGACTTCAATGTTTGCTTTTATTACACTTAAAAGTAAAAATTAACAATTTTATTACTCTCAAAACTAAGCTAAGATTATTCATTGTATTCATTGATTAATTATATATTTACTAGTGATTAAAATGATTCAACCAGATTATCCTTCAGCCATGGGATTACTGACACATTTAAATTCAGATGAACTGAAAGAAATGCTAAATGACGATACAAAATTTGATGCAGTGCTGAAAGATGTAAAACAGGTACATTTTATTAAAGAATACGTAAAATCCTTTGTGTGCGAGGCATTAATGAAAACATAAATAAGATGTTTATATTACATTATGCCCTTGGTATGGTAAATAAAAGGTTCTAAGAATGAGTCATATCTCATTATTATTTATGTTTGCAAGATTGAATAATGCTTTTACTGATGGTTTAAGTTTATGAGAAGTTTAATGTTTACTCATGGTTTTAATGTTTTGATGGTATTTTTATTTATTTTGGTAACCTGGTTGATTATTTAATGCTGATAGGTTTAATAGTAATGTGTTTAATAAGTCTCACTTTATGATGATTGTGGGTACTATCCTAATGCAATACAAATATTTGTATTAATGAGCTTGTCTTCATTACCATAAAAATGTATTAATTACATCTACATAAAAAAAGAAGTACTCATAATATAAGCTTTCCTTAGTTTAAATTATATAGCAATATATGTTCAAGGCTATTTCTTATTACTAATTACTGATTTACATTTTATAAATTATTATTACTCTAGACTGATTCCATATTTTAGGTGAAAGATTGGGACACAGAAAAGGAGATGATAATTGCGAGCAATAGGTCACTGGCTGAATTTAATTTGGGTAAAGAACCAGAACTTGAACGGCTAAAAACAGAGGTGCAGCAGAAGTCAGAGCAGGGGGAACAGCTTTGTACCCATATACAAGAGCTTCTTGATAACTATAGTAAGTTGTTTTTTATTAAGAAAAGAAAAAGGTATATTTTTCCCTTTCACTGAAGTACCAAAATAAATGGTTGTTTCTAAATTTTTAGCTATAATTAAATTTGTCTAATGGATATTTTGTATATGCATTGTTGCAGAGTAATGGTAAACAGAGCTAGTAGTGACATTTATAACAACTGATTATAAATAATAAATTTTTTTGTATATACCAAATTCTATATAATATTATAAAAATGAATATTTGTAACTCAATTATATATATATATATATATAGGTAGGTTATATTCTAATAAAATAGGATAACGTATATTCTGACTAGCTTTTACTTGAAACTCCTTCAAGATACAAAGTAGCTTATGACCTTCTCTATCTCAAATACTATTCATATACCAAGTTTTATGATGATTGGTTGAACTATAAAAGTGCCAAGAGGAAACAAACAAATAAACACACATAGTTTCATTTATAAAAAAAAAGTGATGGTGAGGTCATACAACTTTGACTGTATTATGCAAAAGTTACTGGAATCATTATGAATGATTATAATTTCTATTATAGAAACCAAATCTGCTGGGATATCACCAGATACAACCCTCGCTGTGTTACAAACAACAGCTGCAGAAACTGAGGAGGAATCTGAGAAAATGGCACAAGACTTTCTGTCTGGGAAAATTGAAGTGGACAAATTTCTTGAAGACTTTGAGCCCATTCGTAAAAAAATGCACCTGAGAAAGTTCAAAGCAGAAAAAATGAGTGAGTTGTTGAGGACAGGCAACCAAACTTCTTATGGTAATGGTTTATCAAAGCCATACATACCATATCCCAGTTACGGAACACCACAAGGAGCTCCAAGTGTACCATATCCGACAGGAGCTTTTAACATGCCAATGCCAGGAATGTTTAGGAACCATTTTTGAAGTTTGTATTGTTTTTAAAGTGTAGATTGACATATTTTCCAATTCCTATTTGGAACTTGCATTTCAAGTCATTTCATATTTAATTACTAAGTACTTGCCAAAGTGCTGATTGAAATTTGAAATCAAAGAAATGCTCTAGCAATTATGCACTTCTAATTTAAGAATTTTACTGGTTTTGTATAATATTTATGAGAAAATTGTCCACCATATTTAATTCATAGAAGGATGCAAAAATAAGTAATAATGTTAACTATCTTTAATCAGTATACAGAAAAGGTATGTACCTCTGTTATTTTATTATGTTAAAATAATAATATATATGTACATGTATGTTAATCTCGACTACCATATGGACAAAGTTTTTGGCACAGCTAGTTAAATATAAAAAATTCAACTTTCAAGAGAGTTAGAATTGTAATATCTTACTTTAAAAGTCACCTTTCCTGCTCTTTAACTGTCACACAAAACGAACAAAATTTATGATTTATAAATTTTATTAAATATTTTTACTTAAATAAAAAACAATGAAAATTGTGTAAAAATGGTAACCAATATTCATAAAATATTATCTAAATTCACCTATCCTCCATTTAGACTTCTCTAAATGGAGGATAGGTGAATATACATAATATACACATTATAGTAACATTGTTTTTTATTAGGGGAGAGGGATGATAATGTTATGGATATTGTACAGTTGAGCAATAATTTATATGAATATTTAATTTGATTCAGTTTGCTCAATCAAGTTTGTGCCATATAATCCTATAATGTAATATTTGTTTGATTATGGTTGAGTTTAGTTGGTTATGTCGTCCCCTACGAACCTGGTAAAGCCCACTAGACATTTCATAGGTCTAAATTAAATATTTGCCGCCCTAATATTAGCTGTAATCCGCCCATACATTTTTACAATTTTGACACTTTGAGCTATTTACTTGACTGCTTTACCCTCTCCATAATGACCCGGCCATTGATTTGATTAGAAAAAACTTTAAAATTAGTGATTAAATTTATTCCTTGATCTAAATAAATACACATAAATCTCAAAGGTCTATATAGATTGTCTGTATTTACATAACGCAGGGCATCCTAGTTTGAAGAGCATGGAATTAGTGGAGTAGATTAAAACATTTTTTAGCGCTAATTAAGACTTATAAAGTATATGATGTAATTTTATTTATTATGAATGTACCTATGTAAATCTAAAAATTATAAGTATAAAATATAGGCACACTGGTTATTATATAATGAAATAGAGATTACTTATATAAGTTATCCATTTGTTCAAATTTATAAACAAATATTGACTGCCTTATGATTTATCTTACTATTATAATAAATTTGTAACTAAATGATGTCTGAACATGGGAAAAAATATAAGGGGTAATAATAAGATTAATAGATGCCAAAACAATTTTCTTTTTTTATTTGGTTTGTCTGTTTTTTCCAGCATCATGCAAATACTAGTCCATAAAATTGGATATGGTTCACAGTTATGTTCCTGAAAGTGTAACTTAAAATCTGGTGTATGTTTTACATCTTTGATACACCATCTAGAAGTGGTCTATTTCATTGATTTTCTTATTTCCGAATTACATACGTATGAGTAGCGAGCTGTAAGATAAAATTAATGGGGTATCTATATAATTTCTATGTCAATTCTAATTTGTAAGTAGGTGTATTATTTCTCATACAAATTGGTGTAGATAAATATAAAATAACCATCCGCTTAGTAACTTGGTGCTTGTAGAAATGAATGTGATTGATAAACTACATTTTGTAAATAATTAGGTACATATACATAATAATAGTAATTGTAATGTCAGACTTATTGTAATAATAGAATTCAAGAATATTGAGAATGAAATTTCTATAGTAAATTAATGCCATTTGTTTAAATTTGTTGTTTTTCACACACTACACTATCGGATTGTGAAATTTGAACATATAAATTTATGTTCAGATTTCTTACAGGTTTGCTTCTTTATTATAAGAACAGTATGTTCTCATCTTAGCACCATACATTAATCACTATACTTGACATGTTCAATATAGTGATTATGCTTGTCATAGGAAATAACAAGCAGCTGGCGAAACTAAATATAGTTACTTATGTACTTCCCTATATATTATACAAATGTTCCGATAAAGTGCTAATATGTATCTATATAATTTGAAATGTAATTATAAATTGTAATATATATGTATGGAAAACTGTACATTTTTCCACTACACGAATGTGTTGCTTATATTAAGAAAAGATATAAATAAAAAGTATGTTCACAACTGTCTGTCATTCCTGATGGGGTACTCGGGGGCTTTAGTCGACATTTGCCGAATTTACGGATTTCTATAATTCACTCTATTTTAACTTCTTTTTATTATTGCAAAATTTTAGCCTTTTTCTTAATATTTTTCTTTATAATAACAAGTTTAATCACGGATGTGGCAGACGAGCATATAACCAGGTTGATAGAAAACAATTATCATGGAATGCAATATTGGGCCTGTAAAAACCTGTTTATATTTACTAGTCTCCTAGGAAACCTCTTACCGACTTCATTGCATTGTCATTGCATTCATTGCATCATATTACACATAAAGGAATAAAAATATGATGCCAAAATAACAGTCTAAGAAAATATCTGATTTTGTTCAGTTGCAGCATGGTTTAGTCCATTTACAAGATAGTATTTTTTTCTATTTACCATAATATTAGGATAGAGAAAATGGGGGGAAGGAGGAAAGCGATACTATTAGATCATTACGATATTGGTTCACAATTTGTTAATAGCAATATCTTTTTAATTTAATAAAATGAAATTATTATTAGGTACTTTTATGGAACATAAGTATCTATTTAATATCATATTATTTATTAAATATTTGTTGTTTTCTAATTTGGCCACATCATATCTATACCATCCAAAGCTCGTGGCAAATTCATCGGATAAGACCCTAAATAAAAAAATTCGATGAATAGAATAGCAAAGTTGTGTAGTTTTACTTCAACTTTGTAGTTTATTTGTATAATTCGTGTATTCTAAAATTAAATATTTCCTATTGCGACTCTATTATTTTGCCACTGATCATATAAAAACCAAGGTTTTAAAATAAAGCATGATATATCTTCGGATAGATAATTATATCTCATGTGTTAATGACATAATTAACATACATTATATAATGTAAACATTCACCTTAATAAGCAAAAAAAAAAATGCAAATTTTAGATCACACATCATCTTTTACTTGAATTTGTACTTAATTATTAATGTTAATAGTTTTTTTTTTTTTAACAAACAACAATAATAATAAACAACAACTAATAAGAATATTCTACTTTATTATTTTAAACATTATCACATTTTTTTCTATAGTTGTTGAAGTATTTAACAATATGTACAATATATACAATGCAAAGTATATTATTAAACTGGTGTATTTTGAAATTAATCATTGATTTCTTTTTACTAAAGATCAAATTGATATTTACTCAGATTTCCTTTCCATTTTTTGTGCATTTTCTTTAATAATCTTATCTTGATCATAGTCTGCTTTACCATTAACTACTAATATTACGAATAAACTTCCTAAAGCAAATATTAAATATAATAATGCTTCCTGTCTGGTCGATTGAGTAATAGCTCTTCGATTTGCCATTTTCTTCCTTAGTAAATCTTTATCATATTGGGCCTTTTTAAATAAATCGCCATAGTGATTCTTTGACCTGTAACATTTTTTTATTACAACACAATTATACACAATTACCCTTACGTTTATTGAATAAAGAAATTTTTATTTTTGGTCACAATTTTAGATCTAAAACAGTTAATAGCGCTTAAGTTATATACAGTGTATAAAGGTATTTGTTATTTATTAGCTAAAATAATTCAATACACATCCACACAAAGGATTTGGATAAAACATACATAGATAAGTCATTTTTGGGTAAACACATAAAACCTTTATCCTTGTTAATAATTACCCGACTACTGTGAAGCAGAAAGGAGGATTATGATTTTGACCAGTATGTATGTATATTCATCTGTTTCCTTATAACTTCTAAATTACTTATCATAATGTACAAATGAAATGTGATTGGAAGCAATTTGACTGTCTACTAGTTATAGGATATATCACATCAAATGGAATATGGCGCCCTCTAGAGAATATAGTCATAAACTACATGGATGGATGTATGTTTGTTTATTCTTTAAAAACTACTAAATGGATTCGAATGAAAGTTGGTACACAGGTAGGTTATATCCAATCTTAGCTCATAAGATACTTTATACACTGATTCAGGTGTATGCAGCTACGTGAGTAGCTAGAAGACAAATATTAAATAGTTTGTACATTGTTATGTATGTTATTTCAGATGAGAATATTGTTTCATACTTTTTAGGGTGTGATTTTTCAGTAGTTGGGGTTTTACTTTTATTTGTTTATCCCCAGCATTCCCTAGTAAAGCCATAAAATACTATTGGAAATAATTTTGAACATAGTAATTTTATATTTATTTAATATACAAATATAAAAGAATTGATTGTATGTTTATAGAGAATAAACATAAAAAGCACTCAGTGGATTTAAAAAAATTATTCACCCATAGAAAGCTACATTATCAGGGAGTAACATAGGCTATGTTATTTTTAAAAATTCTATCTATCCATGCAAAGTTGGATTATTAATAATCTAAATTTACACAATATTTTTTATTATATCAGATTTGTTTAGTATCAATAAATAAACAAAATAATCTTACCAAGCATCAAAATCATATATAGATGTCCTGCCATCCATAGTGGGTGTTATATGGCGACGCTGATGTGACTTGTAAAATTTCAAAGTGGGGTCAGTTGGTTCAGGCTCAGGTCGGTACTCCATTCTAGATTTGTTCTCATGACCAACAAGCAGGCCTACAATAGAAAATATATTCAACATTATTTTTTCATAATTAAATGATTAAAATTTATTAGGTCCATTCTCATACCTATTTCCTGAAATAGTAGGGTTAAGTGTACAAAAGCGAGAGGTAAAAGTTTTTTTCTTGTTATATTTATAGATTTCTTATGTCTCATATTTGTGCACATATATCAGTTTCAAATAATCCTCATGATATGACGCCATCAGATAATTTACCTGATCATACAGTAGTTATACATGTAAGTATGTACTGCATTCTTAATCAATTGTCACAGTTATTTCATAAGTATTATAAAATTCCTTTAATATAAGAAACTTCATACTGGTTCATTCATAATTATCTATTTCACATATCTGCAACTTAATAATAATGTAGTTTTTAAAGGACTGTTATATTAATATTATTTCAAGTTTTAGTAGATAGATAAACAATAATTATTGTCTATGGTGTAAGTAATATAATACACTTGTATTATGTTCTTGTCATATTTAAGATTATTTTTAAGAGGAGAGGGCTAGCTCTCTTGAAAAAATTTCAAGAGAGCTAGCCAACATTTTGTTTGAAGGATACAGTTAACAATGAAACTATTGAGTATGAAGACACAACATTTAAGTTCTCAGGTATATGGAATTAAATAAGCCATCTTAAAAGAAATATAACATTATACTCATATTATTATTTAAAAAACAATTTGAAGTTAGAATATTACCTTTGTCATACATTTTTTTTAATTTGATATTTCCGAGAACCTCATATGCCTCTGTTATAGCTCTGAACTTTTTAGCTGATGTTTCATCCTGAAAGTGTTGTATTATTTATGTATGATACAATAAATAGACTGGTGAAGCTATAAAAGTCACCTTTTATTTTAATTTAGTTAGAACAACATCTAAGGGTATCCACTGACCAATATGTTTCTTGTACCGAAGGAAAATTTTACTTCATTGACACATTTTGTTTATTTTATCATCTTACATAACATAGGTAAAATGAAACGAAAAATATTTCAAATATTAACTAGGACAAGTATTAAGTTGAAACAATTTTAACATTTTATAGTATTGAAACTACAATTTATTTCGATAATAACTCATACATACCGAAGATTTATCTGGATGATAGACTTTTGATAGTTTATAGTAAGCAGACTTAATTTCCGATTGCGTGGCTTTCGGCGTGACTCCCAGGACATCATAATGGCTCGCGCACACCAAAGAAGACGTGCCAATTGAACGTGCTAGCTCAGAGACAAATCTGGATTTACAATGGCCTAGCATTGGACTAAAAAGAAGTAATCGTATCAGCATCTGTAACTTTTGCTTGGTAGGTAATGTAATTTTTGTTATTGACTTTATTCATGTTTATACTTACTATTTTTGATTTTTTTTTATTAAAATCTACAAATATTTGTTATTACTATTGGGCTAAAATTTAAAAAAAATGTTTAATTGGTCATTTCTAAGAGACGAGAATGACAAATATTTTTAATGAAGGAGATTTCCTAAATACTAGAGTATAAAAAAAAATAACAACTTAAATGACAGCAGCATAAGTCACTGTCATGTTACATGACAGACACATGAATTGGTACATAGAAAATGGCAGGTAATATGGTTAATCTATGAGCTTTTTTTTTATACCACTGAGGTGGCTAACAAGCATACGACCCACCTGATGGTAAGTGGTTACCGTAGCCTACGAACACCTGCAATACCAGAGGTATTACGCGTGCGTTGCCGACCCTGAAGAAACCTCTTTACTCCCCTTTTGAAGAACTCCATGCTGTAGTCTCTTGGGAAAACCTCGGCAGGGAGCTCATTCCACAACCTGAATGTTCGTGGGAGGAAACATCTCTGAAACCGCGTAGTACGCGACCATTGAGGCTGTAGGACATGAGGATGAACTCCCTGAAGATGGCGAGCAGTACGATGGTAGAAAGTGGCTGTGGGCATCATATTGAACAATTCCTCTGAGCACAATCCATTGTACAGGCGGTAGAACACGCAGAGTGAGGTAAAATCTCTCCTAAGATTTAGGGTTCAATACAGCCTGTGAACGTGGGATCATCGACAATTCTCATAGCTCGTCGTTGCGACGAGTCGAAAGGTTCAAACTGATATTTAGGTGCTCCGGCCCATAAGTGACAGCAATACTCCATGTGGGGCCAGATTTGCGATTTGTACAGCATTAATCGCTAATTCGGCGTGAAGTAATGCTTCGCTCTATTGAGCATACCGAGTTTTTTAGATGCTAACTTCACCTTATCTTCGAGGTGGCCACGGAACTGTACATCACTAGAGATGTCGACACCAAGGATCCCAATGCTTTTAGAGATATTAAGAGACGTGCCTTAGAACTGTGGAGCCACAGCAAATAGGGATTTCTTAGCGGTGAACGCGCAAGCTTGTTTCTTAGCGGGGTTAAACTGGACTAAGTTTTGTCGTCCCCAATCGGAGACTCTAGTTAACGTTCTCTCAATTTTAGACACAAGCTGTTCACGATTGTCCTCCACGATGGAACGAGGGACATCGGTAAGACCCGTATAATGGGCATCCCCAGTGCTGTCATCCGCATAACAATGCGGATCTGCCTTACGACTAACAATATACCTAGTTACTCGAGCTCGATCGTCTACGAGTCAAATTTTTCTTTTGACATTGTCATTTTAGGTTTGACATTATTTTAAAAAGGTAAAACAGTGACGTCGAAAAAGCGCGGGAAACGTTTAAAAAAGCGGGAGTGTTTTTTGATCTTCTTTAAATTAATTTTATTTTTATTTATATAAGGATTAGTCTTTTTTATATATTGTGTATTAGATTGTATATTTAATTGTATATTTTGTAGTAATAGTGTTTGTTGCTGTAAATATTGGTAAGTAAATTACCTATATAAACATTATGGATCCACCTATAGACCCTGGGGGGACAACCCCCCAGGTGTCTGCAAATATAACTATTCCATTCAATAATAGTTTTGATATATTGGGTGAATCTAGTATGGACACAGATGGTTCTAGCGTTGCAAGTTCTAAACGTAAGTGAGTACGTGGTGAACGTCGCATTTGCAAACATTGCAATAAAAAACGAAGGAGGCACACCAAGGGTCTTGAATCTAAAATTAAAGATAGTGATTGTCAATGTATTGAAGATGAGAATCAAACTCAAGTATCAATACCAGTTGTAAACAATACCGAGTCTGTTAAACCTGCTTCTCCACCCAGTACTTTAAGCAGAACTTTCTACAATGCCGAGGATATAGCACCTTATGTCATTCATGTACAAAAAAATGAAACACATCCTAATGATAACACTACATTACATCCTATTGCATTTGGTCGCTTTTTACACACTAATAAGATAAATAATATAGTGAATGGTAGCCTCAAAAGAATAGGAAGAAACCGTTTATCGCTTTCTTTCTCAAATTTTGAAAATGCAAATGCATTTTTAAATAATAGTAACTTAGAGACACATAATTTTAAGGCATTTATACCTTCTTTCCATGTAACCCGTATGGGAATTGTGAGGGGTATTCCTAAAGATTGGACAGAAGAGGAAGTAATCCAAAATATATCAGTACCGATAGGTTGTGGGAAAATTCTAAAAACCAGAAGAATAAAGAAAAAGACAATTAATGAAGGACAACCAAGTTTTATTAATACTGAAACCATTGTTATTACTTTTGATGGACAAATATTGCCAAAAAGAGTATTTATGTTTTACACATCATTAACTGTAGATTTGTACATTTACCCTACTATCCAATGCTATAACTGCTGTAGGTTCGGACATGTCAAGATGCAGTGTCGTTCAAATCCTCGGTGTTATAAATGCAGGCAAAATCATACAGGTGATAAATGTGAAGTAGACGAGGAAAATGTTTCTTGTATCTTGTGTAATGGTTCTCATTCAGCAATTAGTAAAAAATGTCCTGAATATGCACGTCAGAAAGCCATTAAAGAAACAATGGCCCATAGTTGTGTTTCTTATGCTGAAGCATCAAAATTTCATCCTCCAACTTCTAAACTATATTCAGATGTATTAACATCATCATCTCCTTCCAATAAATCTCATTTTCAATCTTCTTTCCTTAAAGAGAAATCATCATTACCACATATACAATCATCATATAAAAAAACAGTTACACTTAAACCACGCTCTCCTCAAAAAGCACAACAAGGATATGATCGTTCTGCCCATGAAGCCATAGTTAAGGAATATAATATTCCTGCTCCCTCTAATGGTTGTGCATTATCATCAAATAATATTGACAATAATCAATCCATCTTTGATATTATTCTCATGCTTATTAAAGTGTTATCGCAATCAAAAATGATACAAACAACTTTACCACCGTCCAACGATGCCATGTACAATGTATTTTCTCAATTATTAACTTCTCACAATGGATTACAAAGTCCAAATAATTCAGTGGAACTGTCGTAGCATAACAAATAAGAAATCAGACTTATTTTATTTGATTAATAAATATAATCCTTTTATAATAGCTCTCCAAGAGACTTGGTTAAAGCCAGGATATCCTTTTAGGATTTCAGGCTTTACAAGTCTCCGTGATGATAGAGCTGACGGATATGGCGGTGTTGCCATATTGGTCAAAAACTCCTTCTTTTTCTTCTTTTTCGCTTCCTGTATATAGCGGCATTAATGCAGCTGCTATAATTATAAATGGTATCTGTTTTGTTACTTTATATATTCCTGATCCTACATGCCAAATATATTCACAACTAGAACAATTATTTTCAATTTTACCTAAACCTTTTCTCGTAATGGGCGATTTTAATGCTCAGCACCAATCGTGGGGCAGTTCTACTTCTAATTTTTATGGTGGAAAACTCCTGACGATAATTGACACTTACAACTTATGTATTATTAACTCAGATGTACCGACACGTAGAACTGCACCGAATGAAGGGTTTAGTGCTCCTGATATTTCAATATGCTCTTCTGATTTAGCTTCTTCACTGTCGTGGTATCCTCATTCCTCTACCTTCGGAAGCGATCACTTTCCCCTCATTCTTTCTTTTCCAATTTCCATTCCCTCAAGTCGAAAGAGTGGTCCTCGACTTAAATATAATTTATCAAATGTAGACTGGAATATTTACAAACAATATTTAGATAATAAAATATCGGAGTTACCTATTGTTTATCATGGAAATGAACATCAATGTTGTAATGACTTGATAATTAATATGAAGGAGGTTGCTGATTTATTATTTCCTGTTAAAAATAGTGCTTCAGGGAAAATTCCCTCCCCACCTTGGTGGGACAAAGATTGTACGGAAGCAATTAAAAATCGTAAAGAGGCTGAAAAAAATTATAATAATTACATGACATCAGAAAATTTTGAAATTTACACCGCAGTTTCACGTTCTACTCGAAAACTACTGAAAAAAAAGAAATTGGAAGGTTGGAGAAGATTTTGTTCTTCTATCTGTCCAGAAGTTAATTCATCAGTCGTTTGGAATAATATTAAAAGATTCAGATCTGCCTTTAGTGATCATACATCACGTTCTGCACTCGATTTAACTTTAGCGAATAAATTTTTAGATCGCCTTGCTCCTAGTTATGTGCCGGAATGCCTTTACAATATTTCTCTATTCGTCTCTGACGAATTATCCGAACTTGAGTCTCCTTTTACTCTTGTAGAACTTAAAGGTGTTCTAGCTTGTATTAAAGACTCTGCACCGGGAGAAGACGGTATACCGTATTCCTTTTTTAAAAATGCTAGCGATGCGACATTAATTTACTTTTTAAATATAATTAATTCCATAATTATTTCGGGAAATATACCTACTTCATGGAAGTCTCAGATTATTATACCATTTCTAAAGCCTCATAAACCACCTTCTGAACCATCTTCATACCGTCCTGTTGCACTTTCCTCTGTCTTACTAAAGCTAGCTGAACATTTAGTGAAGAACCGTCTAGAATGGTTTTTAGAAAGTAATAACTTACTATCCCCGAACCAGTTTGGTTTTAGGAAAGGTAAGAGCACCTTAGATAATGTGAGCATTCTTATTTCAGATATTCATATAGCTTTCTCACAAAATTTGTCAATCCTCTCAGCCTTTTTAGATATAAATTCTGCCTATGATAATGTAATAATTTCTATTTTAAAAACTAAATTACAAGCTTTAAATGTACCGGTAATACTTTCTAATTTCATTATTAATATTTTATCAGAAAGAACAATACATATGGATCTAGATGAAGATACCAAATTATCTAGAACAGTATGGAAAGGCCTTCCACAAGGATCTGTTCTCAGTCCAATTTTATTCAACATATACACATACGATCTAGAATCATTCCTTGATAAATCCGTCAAAATTTTACAATATGCTGATGATCTCTTATTATATTTTATTGCGAAGTCCATAGAATCTGCTTCTGCCAAATTATCTGATTCATTAGATTTGTTAAAAACGTGGTTAGATGCAAATGGTCTTAATCTTTCTGTAACCAAGAGTAGTGTAGTTTTGTTTTCAAGAATGAGATCACCGCAACAAATTAAGGTGCTTTATGATAACTCATACATTCCTATAAAGACTGAAATTAAATTTTTAGGTATCGTGCTAGATAATAAATTAACAGGTCTGTCCCACTGTAATTATATTTCCACGAAATGTGAGCGTAACCTCAACATTCTTAGGTGCCTTGCTGGAGTTTGGTGGGGAGCACATCCCGTTTCACTAAAACTTGCTTATAATGGTCTTATAAGGAGTGTCATTGATTATGGAACTTTTTTGTTAGCTCCAGGAAGTTCATTTGCTTTTAAGAAATTGGATTTAATTCAATCAAAGGCCTTGAGGATTATCTCTGGAGCAATGAAATCAAGTCCAATCAATGCTTTACAGCTCGAAGTCGGTGATCCACCTTTGGTTTTAAGAAGGCAATATTTATCTGATCGCTTCTTTTTTCGTTGTTTACAATTATCTGATCATCCGCTTATTCAAAAGTTATCTCAACTATATATCTTTATTTCGTCTTCATCTTATTGGAAACATAAAAAACCTCCATGTTTAATACAAAGTTATGAAAAATATAAATCCATAGAATCTCCCACTTTTACATCGTCCTGTTTTCCCATTTATAAATGCTCATATCAATCTTTAGTTTTATCTCCTAATATTAAATATGATTTTGGGTTATCAAAAAATGATTCAGAATTGAATGCCAAATTTATGTTTATAACTGACATTGAATGGAATGAATGGCACTACATCTTTACTGATGCATCAAAACCAGACAATAGCGGTTGTGTAGGTGTGGGTGTGTTTCATTCACAATTTAATATCGTTCAAAAAATTAAACTTCCACCGGAATCTTCAGTTTTTACCGGGGAATGCTATGGTATTTTAAAAGCTGTAGAATATATACTTTTAATGAAATTACATAAGGCAATAGTTTTCACTGACTCTATGAGCTCTTTGCAAGCTCTAGCCAAATATCCGTTTAAATCAAAACCAGTTTATCCCATTATTTGTGACATAAGACAAAGTCTTTATCTTTGCATGTTGAGAGGATATTCCGTTTCTTTTGCCTGGTTACCAGGACACAGTGGTATTAACGGCAATGACAAAGCTGACCTTATTGCAAGAGAGGCTGTAACTTGTGGTGATATGTATCCGTATCATAATTACTGTAGTGACCTAGCTTGTCTCCCAAAAATATATTTAAGGTATGCCTGGAAGGAATATTGGGAAAAAACAAGTACAATAAAAGGAAGATTTTATCGCCTTATACAACCCGATATTCCTTTCAAACCATGGTTTTGTAAATTAAAGCTTGGAAAGACCGCAACAACTGTTATAACTCGTATGCGTCTAGGTCACGTATGCACACCTTCTCATTTATACAAGCTTGGTATTGTACAAAGTTCGTCGTGTAATTGCGGTGCTAAAGTGGCGGACTTGAATCATATATTCTTCTCATGTTCTAAATTTGACCACACCTCCCTTTTTAATCATCTCCGATCCATCCGTGTTCCATTCCCAACTTCTATTCTTACTCTACTTTCTTCAAATGATCCTATTATCTATAAAATACTATCTTCATATATATATGATAACAATATTAAGATTTAGTTATATTACATGAATACATTTATAGTTGCATCAATTGCTTTTCCTATATATTTATAAGTATATTCTCATATGTACAAGTATATCCTTCATATCCTATAAATATCCTAGACCTAATCCTTATCCTTTCTAAATTCGTTTGTGTTAGGTTTTTTTATTACTATTATCGTTTCCCCGTTTTGTTCTTGGCAAAATACCCTAATATCGGGGTGAACGCCACAAAAGAAGAAAAAAAAAAAAAAAAAAAAAACAGTGACGTCAACCAATATCAATTTGTAACTTGTTGTATTAGTCATATATTCTACAAACAACTTTATTTCACAATAAAATAAAATTTTTAATACAGGTTTTTCGTTTAAATCACATCATTACTTCCTGTAAGTAAATACAAATATTTATCATTTATAGTAAAGTAAAAAAATAAAACAGATGGCCTGTTGTAAATTCTGTACCATAAAAGGAAATCTTTGTGATTGTGTCACCGCGTCCCAGATAACTTAAACATAACACCAAAAAGCTATTTCTACACTATTAGTATGCGTCACATAGTCGTTAACGCCCGGTTTTTGACAAGGTACTGATGGACAGTACATAATAGAGACTTGGTTATTATTTCTAAACACCTGGCGTTAGTTACTTTTGGAGCTTTATCCGTTAACGGTTGTTCTTGTTATAATTTAAACTTTTAGTAAGGTAAGTCAAACAAGTTTCATTAATCGGAAAATTAAAATTATTATTTTTTTATTTTAATAACTAATTAGAGATTGCAATACTCTAATAATGTGTTAAGTAAATTCAAGTTTTTGTACCTTTTCAAATCTCTTTGTTTAGATACAATGGATGGTAAACTTCACAAATGTTTTTGGGAACTGAAACTTGTCACATATGTGATTACAATTTAAACCTTTTTTAAATTATAAGAAACTGCTTATAGGCCACTAATCTACATCTTTAACCTCATTGTTACTTCTCATCTGGTGAGATTGAGGTCATATGAAATCCTTTAATTGTTAAAAAAGAAAAAAATAACCTGGGAACAAATCTGATATTGTGGTTTTAGATAGGGCACTCTCAAGGGGGTTTTTGGGAGATATCACCATACTGTATGATGAGAACCTTGCTGGGACTGAAGAAAATATCTTGGTTCATGAGGTGATCGAAATGTGTAGGGTGGTGTCCACCTAAATCATCCCAATTGTTCTGTCGGTGAATGGTTCTTATCTCAACTAGTCTAGAATAATATCTCAGAAGGTTGGGATTCTGAGATGGCTCATTTTCTGGGAAAAATGCAGAAAGTGGTGCTTTTAGATACTGCCCGCATTGTACTGGGGCCCTGAACCCTGGCTGACTGTGCTTCAGCCCAGCTCAGGGTTAGTTTGCCATCTCCTCTTCTTAAGAGATATGTAAATTTTCTTTTTAAAAAGTAATAATAATAACACAGCAAATATGACAAAAATTTGTGTTAATGAATAATATAATATAAATAATGTTTTTAGATAACAATGTCATCCCGTAAAACAGCTGGACGTCGTGGGACCACAAAGAAGCGTGCTCAGAGAGCAACTTCTAATGTTTTTGCCATGTTTGACCAGGCCCAGATTCAAGAGTTTAAAGAGGCCTTCAACATGATTGATCAAAATCGAGATGGATTCGTTGATAAAGAGGATTTACATGACATGTTGGCATCCCTTGGTAATTATTATATTATATCCTGTTAAATATATTGCTACACAGCAATATATTTTGTTGACTCATTTTCCAATGATTATGAGTTAGTTACTTAAATAAAAATTTATGTTCATAAATGTCTGTTTTGTAATTAATTTTTGGAGTACTTATTTGGATGTTACATAGCCAATAAGCAAATATAGTATATGATATAATAATATGCATTTCATCTAGAACCTTGTAATAGTTATGAGGTGATTCTTGATTTATTACTCAAATATTTCTAATTGCTTTTATTTGGATACTTCTATCTTCTCTAGAAATTTTAAAAAAGAAGTATGTTTTTAGGTAAAAATCCTACAGAAGATTATCTAGAAGGTATGATGAATGAGGCCCCTGGGCCTATCAACTTTACAATGTTTTTAACATTATTTGGTGAACGGCTTCAAGGCACAGATCCTGAGGATGTTATCAAAAATGCTTTTGGGTATGTTTTTTATCATTTTCACCTAAAACTAATACTTAAGGCTATATTAAACTAGTACTTATATAGAAAACAAGATTTTAAATGTTAATTCATATTGATTTAAATTTAAAATTCTAGTCCTAGTTTTTCAGCTAAGCAGCTATGCTTGTATAGCAGTATTTTGATTTAAAGGTATATGCAGGTACTTCTCTATATCCTGTACAGAAAAATAACATCTTAGTTCTCAGAACAGTACTCCTCATGTATTTTTTTAATGGATGAAAATGGAATTGTTGCCCAGTCTGCGCTATCAGGATACGCTGGTGAGTCATCAGTGAGGGATGATAGGTGAGGATGAAGTAGGTCAGTTGGCCTATCATGATGAATTCCGATTAACCATGATGGTTTCCAGGGTTAACCGCGTGGAGGTCGACCTGTTAGGGTATATTGCTAGTAATAGGTATGTTGGATCTCACTATAACAATCCCTCCCTCTCCCCTCATCATGTATCACTACATAAGAAGTATCACATGCAGTTTGATGTGTTTGTGTGATGCCTGTAGTGTTGTTCATATATACTATAGATGATGGTTAGCAGTTTCTATCGGGTTAGCCATCAATCTAAATTGATAAAACAAAGTAATGACATGTAACAATAGTAATAATTTATTTATTGCCATCAGTTGTTTTGATGAGGAGAACAACGGTGTGATTGCCGAGGATCGCTTACGTGAGCTGCTCACTACTATGGGCGACCGATTCACCGATGATGATGTCGACGAAATGCTACGCGAAGCACCTATCCGCGACGGACTCTTCGACTATGTAGAGTTCACTCGCATATTGAAACACGGCGCCAAGGATAAGGACGAACAGTAAGCGATCGGTGCAGGCAGGTTGTAAGGATGTGCAATCAATACTTAGGGTGAGGACAAGTCAGCATTTCGAATTTTGACCGTTTAGGCGTTATTTATCGGTATTAAAATATTTGTACTATATTATAAGAAAAAAAAACTGTACAGTGAAAATTCGCTTGGGCTTGTCCTTTGAAAATTTATACTTTTTAACACTAATGTGAAATGATGGTACGATTAAGTTAGTAAGGCATCTTTTGGTATTTTATTACATTTATGATGACATTATAATGACGAATTTTTATTTCTTATAACTAAGTTTCATAATGGTACCAGTTCTTTTGATTTGACAGCTACCAAAAGTGCCTTATTAACCAGTCTCTAGTATTGAAAACTGTGTCATAAATTACATAAAGAATCAACCTGTTCGTCATAAGATCTTGATATTTACTATAAATTGGTAGAAATTGTATAAGAAATAGTTTTGTACCTATCAATCTCGAAAGATACTGAGGGTGCTAAGTAAACCTAGTTCCACGCTGCATTTTTTTTTTTTATTAATCATATGCATTTGTCAATTTAATTTCGTGTTTTAAAATAATTGGTCAATGTAGTTTATTGAGTATTCATTGAATTTAGCGTTCAACTCCTTTTAGTACAAGTATGTGATTGGCCGACAGTATTTTATGATCATTCCCTGAATTAGAAGCAAGTAGTCTCTCTGTGTAATTATTTTAAATGAAGTACTTATTTTTTAAGTTTAAACGAATCTATTATAACAAAGTAATGATTTATTTAAAATTATGAATTATATTGTGTTTTTTAATCATAATATAGGGCTTTGTTTGCAATCAATTATTATATAAAGGATGCATTTGGGTGATTTATTGTGCTTTCCATATATTGCACATATAATATTTGAAAATTTCCTATAATTGGTTGCAATGTTTTCATACATTTTTGTCGATTGTTTGGACTATAATACTGTTCAATAACTATTGTAATTCATCATAGTGTGTGTTATTTAGTAAATAATAATCATGTATGTATTTATATTGTCAGACTGTACGTATATTAAATTTGTACTTTAAACTGTAGTATTTTTAAACTACCCTATTATTTAGTTTTTTTGGGGGGTGGAGTGGGGAGACACTATATGCTTTGAATGATGATAAAAATAATTGTTGAATATAAAATTTGTTGATGATTTAATTAAATATATATAATTGACTGCTATAACAATAAAAATACTATTTATTTTTTAATGGGTGATAATGGTATGATAACCCCGTCTGCGCTATCGGTATACACTGCATAGATGACTGATGAGGATGAAAGCGGGTCAGTCAGCCCATCCTGACGAATTCAAGTAGATTTGCCACGATGGTTTCTAGGGAGAACCACGTGGAAGTCGACCTGACAGGGTATATTGCTAGTTATGGGGTTATTTGACCCCATTACTAACAATCCCTTTCCCCTCGAATAGAGCGGGTTAGGAGTTTTTTTTAATAGATGACAATGGAATGGTAACTCCACTTGCGCTAACGGTATATGCTGGCGGTGCACCAGTGAAGGATGATAGGTGAGAATGAAAAATCAGGTTAGTTAGCCCATCGTAATGAATACACCTGGTATTCAGCACAATGGTTTCCACGGGGAACCACATGGAGCAGGACCTGACAGGGTATATTTCTAGCAATGGGAGTGGTGGTGGTCCGCATTTCTAACAATCCCATCCCCCCCCCCCCCGCGTTAGGAGAGCTGGGAAGAAAATAGTTATTTAACAAATAAATTTTCTTTAAATCAATCTTTAATGACAGACCTTGTTCTTTTCGACTACTACAAAATAATGTTATTTTCAAGTAAATGACTAAGTCACGATTTTAATACGTACATAATTGCTTCATTAGTTTTTGATAGTAACGAGCTATTCTGAGGCTTGTTGATTGATGAGTCTATAAAGGTAGTTACTGTAATGAGCAATTTGTAGCGACGAAATGTTGAGAGGCAACTGATGGATATGAGTGTTATCGGTTCTGGAGCTGGCCAAGTGACTTGGTCAAGCACGCATATTCTTCCCATAGTTTTTCCAAAGTATCATAATGTATAAGTTTTAAGATTGGTTTTAGGCCCCTTGACCGTATACAGATTCCTTAAACAGTCATTTCAGACTAATATTTTTTTTCCATTCATTGTTCATTCTATGCTTTAAGATGATCTTTCAACCTGTGTCACTTCCGTTTATTTGTATATATCATTATTTTTATTATATTCACGCAATGAAACTGAACATAACTTTTTCTATAACTTATTGAGTGAGTTGGAGCTTACTCATAAAATTAGTAGCGTAAAAACACTTCAGTTTCCTAAGTTTTTTTTTAAAGAACGAAAATGGAATGGTAGCCCCGTCTATGCTATTGGTATATCACTTGTTGGCGGGGCACCACGGAGCGGGTGTTATAGGAAGTTGTAGGTATTCTGGATACGGAGATGTGACGTGGTGTCTATTGAAATAATTCCCGTGATTGTATATAAATCGTTATATTTTATAAAGTTACAAATTTACAATGCTATAATTAGGTGTTTACAACTTCACTGTGCAATAAATAGTGGAAGGTGCCTTCACGGTATACTTCATATAATTCCCATTACCTATGTACATTTATTACATTTATACATATTTTGCAAAAATATAATCCGTCGAATAGCTAAAAGGTATTTTTTATAAATTAAAATCTTATTGATAAAATTTATTTAAAGAAAGTGTTATTATTATAAAAAATAACTATTATGTTTGTTTTTTTTTTTCAATAACCTTTTGTGTACAACAAAGAATAAAGAACTTATTACATTTATTACAAAAAAGTTTATTCTGGGTATTCGCAATATTTTCTCTGATTTTGATTCGTAGGTGCTTATTGATCTATATATACATAATATTCACGTATTCTAATTATAGATTACACTCGCATTAAGAACGTGATCTCATCTTAGTCATTTTTGAAAGAATCTCTAATTTATGAACGGATTTTTTCACATTCGTGTCGCTTGTTATAGTGACCTCAGTGTCGTAGGGTCCATAAGGACCTACTCTAAGTTTTTGGTACATTGCCTTTGACTGTCCAAGATTTGATATTCTGGCGTTTTTCTCCATCCATTTCTCTTTAATCTTAGCAGCACCTCGTTCTGCGACCATCATGATTGTTCCTTGAGGGTTGCCGCTGGTCTGTGTGGGCATCACAGATGCATCTATAACTCTTAAACCTGTAATAAAAATATAAATTTAAAAAAAATATCTCGATACTTATTAAATATTGTCGATTATTGCTCTATTAAATGTTAACTATCCCAAAACTCACGCAATGAGCCAAGGGTGAACTTTTTACAATAATTAACAATGTGAGGTTTTTTATAATATTTAGAATAAAAAGAAGCTGACGGTCTATTCTATAGAATGCTGTAATCGCACCTATAGAAATGAATAGCACCATGTATATCACGTAATATACTATGACGCACATAGTGCCCCTAATTAATTACCATTCTTGAGAACAGATGTTTCCATACTTTGTAATTTCATTGCCATATCCCACACTTCAAAATAAAAAAAAAATTCAAATATTATAGGAAGCTTTCCTTTTCTACACAGCGTCATAGGTTATTGATCTATTTGATTTGATCACTTTTTTACATATTTTTTTATAAGATTTTAAGGCATTAATTATATGTATCGATCATATGTACCATGATGCACCATCCATATATATATATATATATATATATATATATATATATATATATATATATATATATATATATATATATATATATATATATATTATAATGGAATGGTAACCCAGCTTGCATTATCAATACAATCCCAGTGAGAAATGACAAGATAAAGAGGAAAACAGATCGGTTGGCTCATCTTAACGAACTAGTCAATGGTTTCCAGGGGGAATCACGTGGAGATCGACCTCATAGGGTATATTATTATCAATGGGAATACCTTTGATATTGTAGACCATCAGATCAGGATCTACTACGTGTCCTATGGCGGCTGTGCCAATTTGATGGTTCTGCGCGTCGGTGTGCACCCGGGCCATGCATTCCATCCATTTGTCTGACCACTCTTGACCTGTATTGGCGCACTGTTTCGTGTATTCCGGATCTAGTTTGATACCATACTTATTTTGTAATATCTGTAACATTACATCTCCGATAAATGAAAGTGACAAACCTGCAGAGATCGATTGATCACTGCTTACTTCCTGAAGAAAAGTACCACTTGTTATACCTATATAGCAAACATGTTTACGTACAAATATAATGCACAATATAAAAATGAAAAATTTTCATTTATTTATACTTTTTCCATACTTAAGTATATAACTACGGTTAATGTAATAGAAGTGTCTAGAGGCAAAAAAATGCCATATATGTTGCTTAATATATACACGGTGGCGGCAGTTTTTCGAGTATGTTTAAAATTAAGATACAAATATTATGCTAAGATAGGCTAATTATTTACAGCTTACATCAGTATCGAAGATCATCTTCAGGTATTTGATGGCGTCCTTTATCATGATCATATCATGAGGGTGACTGAAATACTCTGGGTAGAAGAGCGGCGGGTCTAACGGGTCCGTTGAGTTCAGGGTGATGTATCCAACGCTGCGAGGCAGTAGAGCAGCCGCGTTCGCGCTGTAATTTTTATTATCAACAATAATTGAGTATATATTTAATATCACTCGATACAGTATAGAAACTCCCTGTCCATATTTCGAGCAAACTATACCCTCTCACTCTGATTTAAAATGACTATTTGAATAAAACTTATTGCCTATAAATAATGAGTTTATACAGCATTTTTTTTTTATACGACTTAGAATGGAAAACAAGCTGACGGCCCACCTGATGGAAAGTGGTAACCGTCGCCTATAGACATGAGCAGTACCATGGACATAACAGAGTATACTGTTTCGCCCATGATACCCCCCATGCGTTGCCATTCCTGAGGACTCTGGTGTTATTCCTCTGTACCCTGTAAATTCACGCCATATCCCACCCTTCAAACCGAAAGACAGGCATGCAAACACAACTGGTTCACGGTTGAAACACGAATGGGACAGAGGTACCCAAGCAATCGACTTTTGTACAAAGTCTCCCTCTGGCATAGACTTAGTATAACGTACTTACATACTGATCTAAAATACATAGATAACGAAGGCCGAAAGTTTGCACGTATACAATTTTTGTAATAGTAATGTGTCTTGACTTTGTGTCGTTGTATATTAATTTATTAAGCAGTTAAAAACTGATTTATATTGCAATCTTGACAAAATTGTTGTTGCAGTACTAAAATTGAAGGAGCTTCTTCGAAGAACAAGAGTTAACTAATTCGGATTACACTTACAGTAACAGTTGGAGAGTTGGGCTTCGCGACTTCAAACAAGAGAAAGTTCAATTTAATGGCAAGCATTTTTTGTACCTATGTTGTGCAATATCTAAAGATATTGCACCCTAACTCTAATAATATTTCTGCGAATTCTTACTTACGATTTATTATTACATTTAAACACATCGTTTTTTAATTAACTATTTGTAAACTATATTAATAGTAGGGGGAAGGGATTGTTAGTAATGAGGATTAGCAACCCACCTGATAGAGTTTATTGCTAGCAATAGCTAGCAATAAACCCTATCAGGTCGACCTCCTCGCGGTTCCCCCTGGAAACCATCGTGATTAATTTCGTCATGATAGGCTAACTGACCTGTTTCATCCTCAGCTATCATCACTCATTGGTGCCCGGCCAGTGTATATCGATAGCACAGGCGGGGTTACCATTCCATTATCATCCATAAAGAAAAGAAAGAATCTATACTTATAGTTAGGTATAAAAAGATATTTATAATTTACTCACGACACATTTACACCGTTAGTAGGGCAAGGACCACTGGGTTCACCAATTCTGCCCGTCTTAGAACATTCAGCGTAGAAACCATTGAAGAAAATTTGAATATCGGGTTGCCTTCGCTTTTTGTCAGCCAAGCTCGAGTACAAAATACCTGTTACCTGTTTTTTATAAAAAATTTTTAATTTATAATTGTTACATCATAAAAATTAAAAAGAACTATATTTAATATATGGAATTTTCTCACTGCTAACGTAATTTTCCTCCAGTCCAAGCGAGATGTTAGTAAATTCACGCGGTTAATTTCACGTGTCACCCATTAGCTTATTCCTATTTGGACCACACTACCCGCTTACCAACAGGTGGGGTGTAGTTACTTTGATAAAGCTATTATAAAAAAAACTTAATCTACACGACATAAAAGAAAAGTAATATAATTTAACGAAACTAGTCTCTACTATTGAGAACGTATAAAGTTAGATATGGAATCATTTAGTGTAGGTACCTGCGTAACAGCTATTAATAGCTGACCTATTAAAATAATAAAAGAAAGTTAATGTAAATAAATAAAACTAATTTTATGAGACTATCGTTAATGATTGTATGATTGCCGTATGGTCCCGGCATAGAAAAGGCCAACCCTTCTTTTCTCAAATCGAAGTTGTCCTTACGGTTGCGGAATGGGCAGCAGAGGTAGAGGCAAGAGGGACTTAAAACATCATCAAGAGCCTGTGGCAAGCCCAGTTAGGTTGCCAACCCGTCTGCCAAGCGAGGCAACGACTGGCAAAACACCCCTTTTGGAGAAGGCCTATGTTCAGCAGTGGACAGCTAACAATTAATATGATGATGGATCTTCAATGATTGAAATCGTATAAAATTAGTTTAGAAATAGGAAAAGAGAATCATTTTGTATTGACACTAACCTGAGTAAAAATACTACCTATCCTTACTAATATTATGAATGTGAAAATGTATTTGTGTGTTTGTTACTTTTTGGCGCCTTAACGGCTTAACCAATCTCTATGAAATTTGGTACACACTTACTGTTATGAGATGGAAAAAGTCATGAGCTACTTTTTTTCCGCTCAGTAAACATATCCCGGTCACGCGAACGAAGTCGACAAACGAGGACAATAATAATTGAAAGAAGATACTAACCTGAGTAAGTGCTGTTGAACTCATCGGTCCAGTTCTCCGCAATATATATTCACTGAATACATTCCAATCCAGCGCTTGTGTGTTATTCAACTTCGTTAACATGAAGTAAAGAGTCGCCCCGTAATGGTTTCTAAAGTTCTTTCCGACTGGCAAATCTTCGACAACAGGAATGTTAAATTTGCGCAAAGTCTCGCGCGGTCCGACCCCAGAGAGAAGTAGGATTTGTGGTGTGTTGAGTGCTCCAGCGCTCAATATCACCTAAAAGACACATTTAGGTAAAACTGTAGTAGAAAGTGAAAATGAACTCCGCGTGTATTTTTTATGAAAGTTAAACATGTTAACGGCGGGGGAAGGGATTGTTAGTAATGGGGAGGTTAGTCCCCATTGCTATCAATATATCCCTATCAGGTCGACCCCCACGCGGTTCCACATTGAAACTATAAACCCTGGGCTTTGTTTCAGTTAGCGATTGCTACCAATATAGTTAGCAATAACGCTCGATCGTTGGAGTCCAATAAATCTATTTAATTTTAATACATAGTTACTGAATTTTGTTCTTTGGCCATTACATCTACCTAAGTTATATAGTCTCCTCTTAGTTTTCCTAAAAAAACCATATTTTATATAGGTAAGACGCAATCCTCCAATTATATAATTATAAAAATATATAAATAAAGCAAAAAAAAAAAAGAAAAAGAAGTGAACAAATTAAATATGATAAATTACTACGTGTCATCTTTTTTTCTTCTTTCCTTTTTAATTTTATTAATTTAATTAAATTTAATTTTGTTTTTAATACGCTACTTAGAAGTGCTTCATTTAATTGATTTTCCTACTTCGGAAGTCTATGTGTATGAAGGAGCGAACAAAAAGCTAATAAACAATAAAACACATAAATACCTATATAACAACATGTATATACCGGAAGGGATTATCAGTAATGGAGGTCTAAAAGCCCTATTGCTAGCAATGTATACTCTATCAGGCCTATCTATATATAAACGGTCTATCGTGGTTAATTCTTGTAAAATTCGTCAGATGGGCCTGATGCTCAAGTCGTAAACGATGGTTACCACTTTCCATTAGACGAGCCTTTAGCTTGTTTGTTATTCTACGTTACAAACAAAAATATAGTTATAAAATTCTAAATTTTCGACAATTCGAATGTTTTGTACGTAATATTTTTAGTTGAATGTTTTTTCAACCGACTTCAAAAAGGACAAGGTTTTGAATTCGATCGTATTTTTATAACTCCGTCAGTTCTCAGCCGATTTGGAAAATTCGTTTTCTGTTTGAAATGAAATACTTATAGATTGGTCTCATAGAAATTTTATCAAAATCAGTTCAGTATTTTCATACCAGATACTGGCCTAATTTTATCCTCATTTATCATTTCTCACTGATGCCCCGCCAGTATATAACGCAGGCGAGTTTTGCATTATATTTTCACTTATTAAAAAATATGTCTATCTATACCTATGTGGTGCTGGAGAAGGATGGAGAAAATTTGCTGGAGGGATCGAATTAGCAATGAGGAGGTCGTGCTTAGGGTTAAGGAAAAAAGACAAATTATTAGAACTATTGAGGACAGAAGGGGAAAAATGTTGGGACACTTGATACGACACGACGAACTTATGAACATTATAATAGAAGGTAAGATAGAAGGAAGAAGGGGGAGAGGGAGACCGAGACATAGTTACATCAGGCAGATCAAGGAAGGAGTTGGTGTCGTGTCGTATCAAGAGGTGAAGAGACTCGCTGAAAATCGTAGTGAGTGGCAAGAGCTCCACCGACAAGAGCGCAGCTCTTAAATAGATAGATAGATAGATACCTATCTAATTAATTCTCTTTTATCAACATATGTTTTAGGTAGGTACCTAAGTATTGTTGTAAATTTGCATAGAATACGAATATATTAAATATCTAGTTTAACTTCTAATCTAAAGTAGTCGATATTGTAAAATATAAACATTTATACTATCTATTATTTAAATACAAAAAAATAAGAAATACGAACATTCATTGAGTAATTTTTATTACTGCGTAGCGGCTGTTTCGCTTTTCGATGGTTCGATCCTCGCACAATACAAATATTATAACAATACAAGAAACTACGTTGAACACTTCTTTAAGTTCAGGATCGGGACTAGACATGACACGATTACAAATAAATAGTATATACCTAGATTTTTATTCTACTTCTGTGTTAAGGAGACTGTTTACCGTACCTCTAGAAGTATTACTTCTAGAGGTATCGTAAATAGTCATTCACGGTATCACTGTTTATATTTATATGCGATTGAAATACTACTTTACATCGAGTTGCTCGTAAGCTTCTCTGCCATTTTAAATTGTATATAAAACCTATATATATTATTACTTACCTCTTTAGAAGCGCGGACAGTTTTCTTATTCCCCTTTGTGTCAATGTATTCAACACCAACCGCGCGTTTTCCGTCCAATATGACCTTTGACACGTGGGAATGTAGTAAGACACTGAGGTTAGGCCGCTCCCACTTAGCTCGGAGGAATGCCCTAGAGGTTGTTATTCTTTGTCCGTTCCTAAAATATACAATTATAATTTTATAATAATATATGTACGGCCATTGCTAACAATATACTGAAACAGGTCGACCTCCCTGTGGTCCCCCCTGGAAACCATCATGCTGAATTCCAAGTGTATTCATTACGATGGGCTAACTGACCTGCCTTTTCATACTCACCTATACTCCTCACTGATACGCCGTTATACCGTTAGCGCAGGCGGGGTTATCATTCCATTATCACCCATTAAAATAATATATGTATGTAATAATCTTTGTCTACTTCCTTTACAGGGCAGTAAGAGTCGGGTACGAAAACATTAAGTTCTTGCTCTTTACAGAAATTTTATAAAAATATGAAATTATAATTTTTCTCATATAAATAAACTTACTTTCACATTTATAATAGTTCACATTTAATATAGTAAGGATTGTCATTTATTTATCAAAATAAATATAAGTATGCCTTTTAATATAGATATATAACCGTCCGTAATAATTTTTTTATGCAATTTAGAATTGTAAACAAGTTGACGACCCATCTGTTGATGGGAAGTGGTAATCGTCGCCTATAGTCATGAACAGTACATGGATATAACAGAGTATAGTGTATCGCCCATGAGAGCCCTCATTCGTCGCCATTCCTGAGGATTAAGGTATTATGCCTCTGTATCCTGTAACTACTACTTTATTCTATCCCTCAAACTGAATCATAGCAATGCAAATACAACTTCTTCACGACAGAAATACAGATGGTACAGAGGTGCCCAAGCAAATAACTATTGCAGAAAGTTAATTTTTACCAAATTATAAAATAATCTATTGTAGTTACTGGGTGAGCATATGTAATAGTAGAATAATCGATGTATACAGGAATATACTCACTCATTAAATGTCTGAGCAATGGAAAATCCATCAGGAGTACTTGGATCATTCATATCCGTTATAATAGGCAGGCCAGATTCGTAGATTGCATTTACTAGCTCGTCTACAGCTCTAGGTTGATAGTTGAACTGTGTCAGAAACATTATGGTAAGTAAAGAAGTAATAGATAGACAAGAAAACGCACCTGAATTATTAATCAAAGAACTAAAGATTAGTTATTCACAAGCAACATTTAAAGACTACATACATCATTTTTTAACCATCTCAGAGCTACAATATTTTTCGTGTTTATACATTACTAGCTGTATATCGCGGCTTTACCATTGTGCACTAATGTATAACTTATGCTATTCTGAGTTAGGATATAAGCTACTAGTGTACCAAATTTTATTTCAATTCGTTCAGGCGTTTATGCGTGATGAAGTAATTAAAAATGCATTCTCATAAATTTTCGTATTTATGATAGTAGCACATATAGGTGAAGTAAAAAGTAAAATACCAAATAATGCCCCTTATATGTAAATTTGTATTAACTATTGCAGTATTGTCTATTTTATTTTATATATACAGGCTGAAAACAAAATCGTTAGCATCCTATGGAGGGAGTGTTCTACAGGCGAAACTAAACATTTTCATCAAAGAGACGTCGAAATAAGAACATCATTCTTTATTTAACATACTTTGAGATACACTGACATTATTTCTATATAAGAAGTTTATGATTAATTTCAAGAAAATCGATTAATAAAATGTACTTTCTCATACATATCTCTACTCCTATTTTTACACATTTAAAAGCCGAATTTCAAAAAACTTGTGTAGATCATAAAAGGAACCTATTCCCAAAATTTGGTAATTTTAAGAATTCCTTTTTATAATATGTAAAGAATATGTCTGTACATGAAAAATATTAAGGAAAAAATATTCCTTATATGAATTTTTTAATAACAACATGAATCCCAAACAATAATTTTTTGAAATTTTGTCGCTACATCTGTCTATATGTTTGTTCCATCATCACGCGAAAACTCCTGCACCAAAGTCTGTTCAAGTTCCTTAAAGTCTAAATTAAAAACTGGTATTATGTTTTATCTTGATACGCCAAGAATTAACCACTTGTAGATCATGTATCACGTAGATCTATTTCATTGTTTTTCCTAATGAACTTCGCGATAACTTATTTACACATAATGTTTAAGAAAAGAGTATATATTTCTATTACTGATTCAGTATTTATACAAACTAATTTGGAACTAGTGGGTGCAGTAAAATTATGACGAGGCTATTACAATTTATTACCATTTGCACAGGCATAGGTCCAGAGGCTGAATGATATTTGTAGCTAACAAGCGATCCGATTTGCTTGTTCCCTTCAGTCATGTCAAAATAGGGTAAATTCTCATCCCACGACCAGCCCTGCGCGCCCGCTTTCTCCCAATCCTCATAATCAGCTTTATGCCCACGGTGATACATCATACCATTGAGCAATGTGGAGCCACCTGCCGAATGTAAGTTCTAATATTAATGATTTAACACGTACGTCTTATCTTATATGAAAAACCGAAAAATTTTAGTGCAGGTATCACCTGCACTAAATTACCATTAGTACCATTTTCTTGAGTATACTTACCAAGAACTTTACCTCTCGGATACATACAACCTTGTCCCTCTTGATCGAGGCAGTAATTTGAGGGTACCGTACGATATCGCCAGTCCACCAACTCGTTAAACCAGAATGTTCTATAAAATGATGGTATTCGAGAACCTATAGGTTCTGGTCCTCCAGCCTCTATAAGCAGGACCTGCAATTCGATCAGAAGAAAAGAAATTGTCAGAAGTGCCGAAAAATGTTTGCACTAGAATTGTTATCATATGTGCACTTGTATCTATTGTGTAGGAATTTTTATAGTACTACTCTCTTTAAAAATATAACTACACTCATATTTCTATATCAGGGGATTTTAAGCTTCGAGTGGTATTCATATTATTAGTACTCTGGCACACAAAGAAGCTTCAGATATAAGTACCTATTATTATACATAGAATGTAGCTACACCAAACTATATGTATATAAATAAGTTTAATAATTTTTACCCTATTTCTGACTAGAACTGAAGACAATTAACGAATCGCGAATTTGGACATACAGCGTCAACATCAGTCGGTAGTAATATCCGATCAGAAAGGGGGCATCTCAGCCAAATACCCAGAGAGGCAAAAATGAGGGCAGTTGACCTTGAATAGTAAATGTTATTTTTACTGGCATGACAAAACCGTCAGCCAGGCTGCAACTTACTTTAAAATTGTCTACTTCGCTAAGTCTACTAGCTACAACTGCACCACTTGCTCCAGATCCAACGACAATAAAGTCGTACTCCGGCTCAGGATTCTTTTCAGATACGATTCTATTGCACGGTGAAGCGATGTCACATCGTCCTTTCATATAGGATTCTATTAACATCATGAAAAGTATAATTCCATTGCATACAGGAGAGTTTACTATAGATGCTCCTTCGTCTACCAATGGACATTGGCATATCTGAAAATAAAGAATGTTATATTTAATCACTATCTTACTCTTATATTCAATAAGTACAGATTTCAGAGGATCGCGACAATGCGGCGTGCTAAGGTCCAAGAGGCGCCAGAAGCCACGTATCTACAAAGGACTGAATGCAGTTCTATGTTTAATTTGGACTAAACCGTGGATCAGCAGGAGAAAGTGTCCAATGTAGATAGACGAGAATACAGTAATATTTCGTAGAGGCGTCATCAAAAATTTTGTCAAGGCCGCTAGATAAACTAAGATTGATCCTTCTTATAAGTTTATTACAATATACGCCAGCTTTTTCCCGTAACTTCGTACGTGTGGATATTGGAAGTTGCTAACTATGTCTAGATGCTGTATTAATATCTCAATATACACCAGATTTTAAATTTGACCTTCAAGAACAAAAATGTGAAAATCGCATTCAATTTGGTTAAGTAATTTTTGCGTGATACGGAACGAATTGTTTTGGCTTTTATTAAGACCTTTTATATAATTGTTTCTTAAAACCCTCTAATGTATTAACATCGTCTAGTTACAATTTTATTATATTAGTAAGATCATTTAATACGTAATATTATAACATTGCCCACATTTACATTTAAAACCTGTACCAATATGCAGTCGTTTAGGAGTGACTTAAGAGCTGTTTAAACAGAGTAAAACTGGTGGGTAAGTATGAATAATTTTTGTACAGAAATTCCTTATGTAACAAATATAAATACGGGCACACGATAAGAAAAAAACATTAAAATTTATAATTTAATTGAAAATAGAGTATACGAAAAGAGATACGAAATTAATACAATAATAGAAACTAACGTACAATAAAGAGAAAGTAAAATATTTCACTTACTTCTGGTGATGAAATCATTCTAGATGAATGAAATGAGTTCAAAATTTTCTGAAAAAAAAAGAATAAGACTGAAATAAATAACTTAATTAGCGGTTTTTAAGAGAACTTTAATAGTTGATTGATTTGAATAGTTTTTATGAACACATTGGTTCATCCTTCATTCACTCCCTCACCCACAGATTATAATATGTATACTGTGTATCCTAAAGTGTGTCCTGTCTTACTTAGGACTTGCATTCACAAATTGATTTTGTTTATAATTAAACAATAATTGCATTATTGTTTGTAGTGTCTCTGGTGAAAGCGTTGCAAACTCAAAATTAAAAATATTATTAAATCTCACAGAGAATTATCAAAACCGGTAAAGATATTGCGCGCGTAACATAAAATTTACCGTTGAATTGCAAGTTTCTCTGGATTTGCACTTTTTAAAAACTATCAATAAACTATAAACAAATATTTCTATCACATAATAATCATTGAAATAAATACGATTTTTAAATTCGAATAACAATAATTTTTATAAAAGAATTGTTTGCAGTTTTTGTTACTAAATTCGTAAACTTTTTTATACACTAGCTAACTGGTCTGCGAAACAAACTGAAGTAATTGCTGTAAAATGATAATACACCTTATTGGTGTTAAATATTTCACGAGTTTTATTTTTGAAACTAAACGGCTGCCGAGGGAAAACAGCAAAAATAACTTGAGATATAATAAAATTAACCAACTTTACAGGGCATCTGACTGGTTTTTAATTTTTTGCTACTTTCTCCAAGTTTTGGCCTGTGGTAGTGCGTACTTACATTCGAATGCTTTGTCCGGATTCTGTTCGATTTAGACTTAAATTAAATCATACAACTATCACTTAAGGTTGAGTTTCATTAAATTTCGGTTGAATTACAGCAAACACTTATTTTCTGGGCACGTATTTAATTTAGAAGTTAAGGTCCCATAACGTTGTTATCATAACTGTATTGTTCCTCAGAATTCAAAAAATTTAGTTACCACTCTATTTTTTATGGAGATTAGTTGTAAGTAGTAAATCTTACCTCTCTAGGTACTTTTTTATGTGAACTGTCTTTTGAACGGGTGTTTTATCTTGCTACTATATTATTTCAATGTTAAGTCTTAACAACAACTAATTATGTATCTCGCACACTCTATATTATATACTGTGTCTTCCCCATGGTGATAATATATACTCGTATACAATTTCAACATGACTTATCATTATTGTGAATACAAGAGTACGTGTTCGATAAATTCTTTTATTGGCATTTTCCTTATGTTCATAAATTCTTCACCTGATTACTTGTTTTCCAATGTTTACAGTGGTGGAACTGGCCTACTTTGTTGGCTATCGGATGTTCCCAATGGTTATTGGCAAATACATATATAGGTAATTAAAAATATACGAGTTTCATAGCACATAATTTCAAATACGATAAATTTTCTTACTGTCCCAAACTCATTTTAGTTGCAGTTCTAAATGAATTAGTTGGTGTGCATTTTAAACTGCTTAACAGTATTGTAGTAACTAGCTGAAATGCTCCTTTAATAGAATAATTAGTTTAATACTAACTACCATAATTTTACGGTAAGTTAATTAATGCTCCTTTGCCACTCAAGGTTTGCTGGAAAAGATATTAAATAGTTACAGAGTTAAGCTCGCCTGTTGTACATCTTCATTTAAAATAAATTACAACAATTTAATTTCTGTGTACAATAAAGTACCTATAAATAAAAAAAAAAATAATGGCACATTTTTGAAAATAATATATTTATAGTAGAAGTCTGAAGTAATGTACAGGTGTTTTATGAATTACGAATTTTTAAATAATTAAATGTAACTAGACATTCATTAAGAATTTAAAGAAATTCTCACAGATGGTAATTCATACATACTTGTACCTAGATAATCTATCTAGTTTAGCCAAACCATTGTTTAAATGGTGTCTTAGTTACTTTATACGTTGTTGTAAAATCTTTATTATGCGTAATTTACAATGGTGTGTCCATTATTAGATTAAATTCATTAAAAGATTTAATACATAACGGCGGATTTATCTCATAGAGGGATTTTTTACAGTTAACTTTTAAGAAGCTAAAAGAAAACTATAGAATGTTCAGGGATAAAAACTTATGGTAAGGTATGTTTATGAAAATAAATAGTGTTGTGTAAGTAAATGTAAATGTAGGTAAGGTAAAAGAAAAATTTTAGCTCAAAAATAGCTTATGTGTTAAGATTGAGCAAATTATGTCGGCGCAATCAATTTTATATGAATGCTTACTGGACGAAAATTGTTTTTATTTCGCTTTATATATACGAATAATATTATGATCTAAGATAGGTTTGTATATTTACGTTTTGATAATTTAAATGCGTGTATAAACGTTTATATCCTAATAGAAAACATAAATTAAGTTTGTAGCTAATACGAACTTGTATAGGTACCTACTAAGTGGACTGTAATTATATTGCGTGTAAAACAGAGTTCAAGAAAATATTTATTTGTTTAGACGAAGGATACTTATTCATGGCATGTAGCATTATTGAACGAATAGCATCTTCTCTCATCTAGCGGTTTGTGTCGAAAAACATAAACTGATGCACAGAAACTGGTCAATTTCTTTTACAGATTTCAAAAAGGGAGTTATTCTGAATTTGACTGCTATAACTATACTAACTCGAGTAGGTACTGACTCGAATGCCTAATAGGTATTTTATTTGTTGTTATGATACCCAATTTTTTACTTATAATAGAAAATGTGAGAAAAACAACCATTCCCTTATTTTCCAAGTTTGTTAGGTGAAGAATCTGAAATAATTACAAATTATAAAGGTATATAAGAATATGACAGGAGAAATTGAACGATGTTTGTAACGCAGTCCAGTTTTTAACCACAATGAGAAATAATGAACTACATTATTAATAATAATAACTATTAGGTGAGTCGTATTCTATTGTATATACATATATCTCACACGTCAGTGTACGCAACTCTCAGCTTGTGAGTTCAACTCGCACCTGATTTTCTTGTTAAATCTTCTTGTTGGATCAAAATTTACTTGTTAATATTCATTTAAAGAAAAAGATATAAAGCTTATTTACTGAATATGTCAAATATAACATAGACAGTTGTACTAATATTAACTCTGCACACATACTTAGTATAAGAGACAAAATTAAATTTATTCCATCAGGTAAAGAGTGACTAATTATTTTTATTCACATTAATTTGGTTAAAAGCGATATTCACTCACTTTTTATTCACATTGAATTAATCATTATTATTTAAAGCGAATGAAATAATTTTTAATATATATATATATATGTATATATGTATAAAATGCAGGGAGAAAATGTAATAATTAACAAATCATTTCATTTCAGGGGAGTGAATGCTTTACATAAAAAAGCGAGGATTGAAAATGCAAAAAAAAGTTACAGTTGTCCCCCGATTGGTAGTATAGAAATACCACCAACCGGGGCGTGGAAGGTTTAAAATGTCGTTTGGACCCATCTTTCATGGAAAAATGTTCAGTTTTATTAAATGAACACTTTTTTTATTAGAATGCTAATTCCTATAAAATGATAAACGAGCTTATGACACACCTGATGCAAAGTGGTGTCCTGACCGTTGCGTACACTATGAAGTTCACATAATGCCACTAATGCGTTGCCATTCTTGAGAACTATGACTATGGTATTATGCTTCTGTACTCTATAACTTTACAGCCGTCTTCAAATCCATAATGTTTTCGATTTCACCTTGTACTTTCCCAAAGCAAATTTATTTTGTCCAACGTATATTATAATATTTTATACTAGCGACTCAATCCGGCTTCGCACAGGTAGTAGACAAAAATATGCTTATATTTTTTGCATTAATTTGTTTCGTCAAATATGATTTAGATTTAAATGTAACATATTAAAACAGTACTTGGAGTATTTTTAATGTATTTTATTTCCTATCCTGCATTAATAGTACAATATTAATTAGTAATTAATATTGTATCTGTCTAAATAGCTTGTGCAAATATCATAATGGGTATAGTAAGCTATTTTTAAGAGATTATCGTGGACTTTTTTTTTATAGATTTATAAAAGAAAAACAATCCCACCGTACATTGTTTTCTTATATCTCAAACGGATTAGGCAGCGTTTTCGAAAAACATTCCCGGATGGCTTGAATTTTTTCGACATCTTCAATATTCATCGCCATGTATTTCAACCAATATACACAAAACCTTATCAAATTATACACACAAATTTTCTTCAGTGATGGCTCTGCTGATTAATAAAAACTGCATGAAATCCTGTTCAGTAGTTTCTGAGATTATCGCGAACATACAGACAAATAGACAGACGCGGCGAGGGTAAAGTCCCTCGTGTGTCCCTCGTTTTGTGTTGTGATTTACGTTGCATTACATACTTGGAAATTTTGATATCAGAAGTCACCACTTTCACACAAGTAATAGTTAATAGTAGTGGGTACTCACCGTTATAATAGCCTGTCATTATATGATGAGAAATATAATTAAATTTGTAACTTTATATCCATTGATACAACTGGGTATACAAAGACACGTGACAATAAGCCACTGACATAGATAGGGATAGACGACGCACGCACTTCACATTACGAAACAATATGTGCCATCTACATTAGCTGTTTATTATCATATTACAACTACTAATTATTTGTAGAATTGTTTTTTAGTTACATATAGGAACTCCAAAAGTCCAATTTGAAATTTAGCTAATATTGCTCGAGTTTCTCTTTTTTTTTCGAGTCGAGCTTGTTTATGGTAAAAAAATAAAATTATACACAATGTAGTACTATTGTTACAACTTGCGATATCTATTTAAATTTATATCTGACACATACTTACGTACCTATTCATATTATTTAGTTAACAACATTTTACTAAGACATTGTTTCTAAATGTGAGGATCGCGACCTCTAGAAGGATCGCGGTTAGTGTTATAGGATGTCGGCTTGGTGAAATTTGGGCGTGTTACGTTCAACACAACGGTAAT